GCCTTCTTAGCCACAGCTGCCACTTACTCCTTGAGGAAGAGTTGTGAATCCAAGAAAACTCCAACCGTGGACCAGTCTTGCAGAGAACAGCCTCAGAAAGCCATCAAGATCCCCTGGACAATAACTGCCACCCTACACTCCCAGGTTGAATTAAGACCATTTCAAAAAAAAAGAATAGATAAAATAATTGTAAGCATATAATAGTTTTTGTGCAATACCCTACTGTTTATTTGTTCTACTTACATTGTTTGTGAACTGTAGCTCTCAAGTGCATCTCAAGTGTGAGATCCGTGTGTGTGTGTGTGTGTGTGTGTGTGTGTGTGTGTGTGTGTGTGTGTGTATGTTGCCAGAAGGAGAGGAAGGGAGGGAGGGGAGAGAGAGAGAGAGAACATAGCTAATTGTAAAAAATAACTCATGATCACTCATTTGCTTATATTAACAATTGTATCTTAAATATAGAAGCACTTGTGCACACAAAATCATGCCTATATGTATACCTTCCCTTCTTTGAGCAAACAAAGGAAAAAAACAGTGAGGAACAGGATGATGATGGGATAACAGTGTGATGCATAAGGAATGGAAGATGAAGGGAGAAAGGAACTGGATGAAAAGGGAGAGAAAGAGGTTCCTGGACTGAACGAGAGAAACCCTGCTAGGATGTCACAAACAGAATTTTCCTCCTGGAGAAATGAGCCCCACTTCAAAGGCAAACCATTGCTGCTCACTTCCTTGTTTTTTAATTTCCTTGCTTAATTTTTAGCAAAGTTATAAACACCCACCCTATTCTCAGATGGAGGAATCCTGGCTTCTTAACTAAATGTGCAGAAAGAGCATACCATGTTGAGCATAACCCCTTTTCATGTTAAAATCAGCCATATTTTTATATCTATTTATTTCATGTATGGTGTTAAGCTACTAGCCTTCAAGTCAGTTTACTTAACAAAGGAAAAAAATGGAAACTCATATAAACTTTTGTGTGTAGTCTAAATTTCTAAATAGTCCTATGCATGAAATTTCCAGAAGTAAAGTGTTTTGTTTGGATATGAGATCCAGAATGAGAATTTTGGATCACTGTTGGAGAATAAGCATCCCTCTATTCTTGTATTATTTTTATTTTTATAGTTCATTGCAGTCAGCAAGATGTTTAGACTCTTTGGCATTTTTATCTATCCAGCCATTTCCTGGCATAGGCAGATGTTATTTGACCTTCTTGCGCTGCGAGACTCCCCCCCTCTCGCAGGCTTGGCCCTCCTCACTATCGAGGGCCTACCTTGATGATGGATTTTGGAATCCCGAGAGGTGGCATGTTGCGAGGTGGGGGTTGTGGGTTTTTTTGGGGAAGTTTTTAGATAGGATTTTAAAGGGTTTGGGGAGGGGGGTGGGTTGTGTGGGTTCGGGGGATAATCCGCGGGGGAGGGGGCCTGGTCCGGCTGAGGAGTGCGGCACTGGAGGTGCGGGACTCGGGGTCAAGGAGTGGTTAGAGCTTGTGTTGTTGATGGACATTATATCAGTACTGTGGGTGGGAGGGGCAGACATGGCAGGAGCAGGGGGCCATATCATGTGGGCGCACGCGCTCGCTGTCTCCGAGCAATGGCGCACTCTGGTCTCCAATGCTCCTCTCGTTCCCCAGGTTGCACAGGCCCTCAGGCCCTGGGCCTTCGGCTGATGCTATGCAATGCCAGGTCCGTGATAAATAAAGCCCCCCTCATTTGCGATCTTGATCAGGAGGGGGGAGCGGACCTGGCGGGTATTACGGAAACATGGTTGGGCCAGGAGGGGGGTCCCCCTCGTTGAAATGTGCCCACCCAGTTTTCGTCAATTTCATCAGCCATGGTCACGGGAGAGGCGGGGTGGTGGTGGTTGTCATTAAAGAAGGTCTTGGTCCAAGGGAGGCCACTGTTCCTCAGAGGGCCGGATGTGAGTCCCTCCTTGTGAAGTGAAGTCACAGGGTGCAGATGGGCTTGCTGGTTACATACCTGGCTCCCTGCCACGTGGCGGTGGCCCTGCCCGAGCTGCTCAACGTTATAGCCGCGGTGGCGGTTGATACCCCTAGGCTTATGGTCATGGGGGATTTTAACCTGCCATCCATCGGTGAGGCATCTGAGGTGGCTCAGGAGTTCATGGCTTCCATGACTGCCATGGACCTGACCCAGTTAGTTCATGGCCCTACTCACAAGGGGGGAAACACGCTGGACTTAGTTTTTGTCTCTGGTCAGTGGCTGAGTGATCTTGAGATAGGGGATATAGCGATCGAGCCCTTGTCATGATTGGATCACTCTCTCTTTGCTTTGATCTTCGAACTGCCTCATCCCGCCGCAGGGAGGTGGAACTGATGAGGTGGTTCCGCCCCAGGCACCTGATGGATCCAGATAAGTTCCAGACGGAGCTTGGGCCATTCCCTGAGGCTCTGGCCCACAGCTCGACTGAAGACCTAGCGGCCGCCTGGGATAGGGCGGCCGCTGGAGCTTTGGACCGGGTCGTGCCTTTGCGGCCTCTGACCCGGCGCCGGTCTCACCTGGCTCCTTGGTTCACCGAGGAACTGAGGGAGATGAAGCACCAGAAAAGACCCCTGGAGAGCAGTTGGAGGGCCAGCTGTTCTGAATCCGACCGAACACTGGTAAGGTCTCATATTAAGACCTACCTGGTGGCGATAAAAGCGGCAAAATGTAATTATTTTTCCGCTCTTATTGCATCATCAGATAATCACCCGGCCACCCTGTTTAGGGTGACCCGCTCCCTGCTCCACCAGGAAGCGTGGGAGGACCCCTTGGAGGGTAGAGCCGAGGACTTTGTACAGTATCTGTATGACATAATCGCTCAGATTCGGGAACACCTGGACTCTGACGGTAGATTCAGAAGGGATGATGGAGGCAGGTCTTGAGAATATTATCTGGGAAGAGTTTGATCCTGTGGCTCCCGAAGACGTGGATAGGATACTGAGCAGACTGAGAGCTGCCACATGTTTATTGGACCCGTGTCCCTCCTGGTTGGTGCTGGCCTCCCGGGAGGTTACATGAGACTGGCTCCAGGGGATTATTAATGCTTCCTTGAATGAGGGTGTCTTCCCCGCCGCCTTGACGGAGGCGGTGGTGAGGCCTCTCCTCCAGAAGCCTTCCCTGGACCCGGCAGTGTTGGCTAATTATCGTCCAGTCTCCAACCTTCGCTTCGTTGCAAAGGTTGTTGAGAGTGTGGTAGCGCGATAGCTTCCTCAGTACCTGGATGAATCGGCTTATCTAGATCCGTTCCAGTCGGGCTTTAGGCCTGGATACAGCATGGAAACGGCATTGGTCGCATTGATTGATGATCTCTGGAGGGCTCGGGACAGGGGTTGCTCCTCTGTCCTGGTCCTATTAGACCTCTCAGCGGCTTTTGATACCATCGACCATGGTATCATGCTGCACCGGTTGGAAGAGTTAGGGGTGGGGGGCACCGTGTTGCGGTGGTTCTCCTCCTTTCTCTCCAACTGGTCGCAGTCTGTGTTGACAGGGGCAGAGGTCGACCCCGAGGCCCCTTGTATGTGGGGTGCCACAGGGGTCGGTCCTCTCGCCCCTTCTGTTCAACATTTATGTGATGCCGCTGGGTGAGATCATCCGTGGTTTCAGGGTGAAGTACCATCAGTACGCTGATGATACTCAGCTGTACATCTCCACCCCGGATCACCCCAATGATGCCCTTGAGGTGATGTCTTCATCTTATAGTTCACCCCACAGTCAACCATATATTTAGACTAGATTTGGCATTTTATCAATTCCTTCCCAAAGACCTGGGGTAGACAAATGTTTTTGATATTATTATTAATAAGAAAAAAGCTTTCCATTTTTCTTCTATTAGTTTGTAAATTATGGATTATAATAAAGTATATAAACATGGTATAATATACAAATCTGTTCTAAGCTAAGCAGTATTGGAAATAAATGATTATTTATTTAGATTAAGTACAGGGTTGCTCTGAGATAAAATATTCCTGTAAAACTCAAATTCTGTCAGATTCAGGAATTAAGAAATGTTGTATAATCATTATAAAAATGAATTCAGTTATCACATTATCTAATATGAATAATCAATAATGCTACTGAGAATTTGCTGAATTCCAACACATGGAATTGATGCAAAACCTCATCATTTGTAATAAAGATTTTTACTCTCTTTTCTTGGGGGAAAATTGTTTCTGAAAATGAAAGTGCAGTGTTCCAAGACATCTCACTAGGCCTAGGGGATGCCCAAAGAGGGGGGAAACAGAATACTGCGAATCCTGTTAATACTTTTCAAAAAAGACCTGTAAGATGAACAACAGATTTGCTGTTTTTCATGGTTGTGATCTTTTATAGGACAGTCCAGCTGCCATCTTCTGAGGTGACAAAAATCTTTGATCACATTCTGGTTTAACTTGATTACTGCATCTATTTAAAAATGAACATAAGTAAAAGTATAATAGTTAGAAACCCAATGCTTCACCTACTATTATAGGAAAGTCAGATAAATTTTAAAATATTGTTTTTACAAAATGTTCCAGAAGATAGTAATTAGGAAGGAACGTTCCCAAGATCCAATTTTTAAAATGATGTTGGATTACCCTGATGATTGCTCCATTCATTGTTTTCAAGAAGGCAATTTTATCATTTCAAACACTATGATTTCATCACTCTAGTCAAATCTTTTTGCTTTACTAGCATGATGTGTAGTTTTCCAGCTGCCCTAAGAAAAGGAAGTAAGCAACTAACGCTCACATTTAAAATAGAGTTGAACTGCTTTTCATTTATTTTCCTCCCCTTTGAGATGCCAAAAGCAATTTCCTTTTAAAGTTGACTTCCTTTCTGGAAATGATTTTCTTCTCAGACCATGGTGAAGCTCTCTATCCTATTTCTTTGACTTCATTTTCCCGTTTTATTTCTTTTACTGGTCATTGTACTGAAGCAGATCTTCTGACTGTAAGTAATCACGCTAAAGTTTTGCTCTAACTTTATTTTGTTTCTTTTCTTTTTTCTCATCATTATCAGCCAGCCAAGAGAGACAGACAAAGCACTCATTGGTGCCCTCTGCAACAGAACACTATTAGGGGGCTGGCTGTAAATTGACGTGGCATGGAAAATCTCTGCTCACTTTGTAGCAGTTTGTATTTTTTTGAAAGAGGAGTAGTACTCCTGCTGAATTTGTTGCCTGGTATCCTTAAGAGCGGTTGTGCCTTGCTGTAAATATGGAGAGAAAAATTCTCTTTTTTCTAACTTGGGAGCAGAAGATTTTTTTCTGTTTGGATGTTTGGTTAACAGCAATAAAGAAGATCTAAAACAGATTGCTTGTTTTTAACCCGTCTTGTGAGAGAAGCCGATTTTGTGCCTGCAGAGTTTCTTCCTTAGCTTCTTACTGTTCTCCTTATACCCATCCGTCAGGTCTTAAGATGGGGTGTGGGCTGAGAAAGCTAGAAGATCCAGATGACAGCAGTCCTGGAAAAATATTTTCAACGCTAAAGAGACCGCAAGTGGAAACAAAAACAGACTCTGCTTATGAGTACATATTGCTGGATTTTACATTAGAAGGTATGTATGAAGTGTTTTAACCTTTCAGAAGAACTTACTATATAAACCAAATGTGGTTTCTTATGGTTAGATACAGACAAAAAGTTTGATTCATTTTCCCCTACTGTTTATTAGATTAAGGATTTAGAAATGACTATTAAAACATTTCTCTGTCTGTGCTTGTCATACCTGGGTATCTCTGAAGAAATATATCACTTTTCAAGACCTTCAGGATTAAGCTTGAGCTATTAATAGTAAGTGGAACATTGAAGATATCAAATACAAATATAGTTGAACGTACCCTTCTTTGTTTTAGACTGTTCATGGACATCTGTGTGGTTAGAAACAGACTACCCTGTAGGGCTACTTCCTTCTTTTGTAGGGTGTCTTGTTTCTAACCAACTCCATGTCTCAGAAAGTTGAAAAAATAAACAAATAGTCCCAGATGGCTTCCCACTAAGAACAGACAGCTCTGTTCTGCAAAAGTTGCTTCTGGGAATTTTTTGAAGAAGTTTTCATAAAGCTATTTGGGTTTGTACACCAGCTTTTTTGTGTAGAATTTAGTAGGAATTAATCCCAAACACAACTTGCATATTCTAGTCAGCGTCAACATGGTTATAATTTAAATAGAATGATTTTATAATGTATAAGATGCATAAGGAAGCATTATACAGTATCGTTGAACTATATGTTAGCTTTTTAACATTTTTATTTGGTTTTGGATGAAACAGCTTTTGTTCATTATGAGGAGAAAAAATAGTAACAAATACTCTGAGTTTCATGTTTGATTGTCTAAAATTAAATGCAACTATATTAGTTACAACTGTGATTTAAATCACACTTTGTTTTATTTTAATGGGTAGTACGGTAGATTTAAATATGTATATTTTCAGGATTATAGAAGTACTTTGATGGAGATTATTTCTTGTAAAAATAATCATATTGCTAATAATTCAAATAACTGTTAGCAATTTTATGCAGTTACTTTGGTAACTGAGGTGATAGATGAGAGAGAGAAAGAGAGGGAGAGAGGGAGATGATATTGCTATTTTTCAATCACATATCATAATGAAATAGGCAGTTGGATCCAAACTTGTCCTCCTACTACTGAAAGGCTCTTTCCATTTCTGGCAACTAGTCAAAATTCAATGGAGACTCCTATTGGGGCAAACATGGAGGCAATGAAATCCAGTAGTAGAACCGAGATGGTAAGGTTAAATATGAAGACTCCAGAAACAATATGAGACTAAAACCAATTGTTGGGGTTGCATTTTTTTCCTCTTTCCTTCATATTTTATTGATGGTGGTGGGAAAGCTGAACAAAACTGCAATTAGCTTCTTCTGCAATTGCTAGCTTCTTTATTTTAGAATACCTCTGAGTCTTGCTATACATTATTGGTTATACTGAGAGGTGAAAATATTCTGCTATTTATAGATGCAAGCTTCCTATTAAGCACAGGATCAGAGTATGCCTTCTTTCTAGTTGTTTTTTTTAAAAAGCAAGTTTCTATATCACAGTATTCAAGGCTTGAAAATAGTTGGACAGTGACTGGTGTCAAAAGCACAACTTCATATGTGGTAAGGCTCCGGTGTCTACTCAAACTCCTTGAGTGTGTATACTAGAAACAAATACCTAATTCAGATGTGCAATATATATAGACCAAAATCTATTGTTATATAAACTTCCTTTTTAAAAATCACTTAATAATTTAATAACCCTTTGTTATAACAACAAATATAATTTGTTTAACTTTATGCCTGAACCTGTTATTATAACTATTAACCGTTCAACACTTAAGTCCTTATATTCTGTTACTGCTATAGTAATAGAAGCCACATGCAATGCTGTGTTTTTTAAAGTAGTTTTTTCTGAGTAAATTGATTGATTGAAATATTGCTTCTTTTCTCTTACTTAATCTTTATAAAAAGTTATTTTAAAAATCTTTATAAAAAGTTATTTTAAATGTTTTTTAAATCCTATATCAAGTGTTTCTGGTTGTTTTAATTCTTTTAGTTATCTCAAATCCAGAAATTATCAAAATATGCTCTGTTTTGGATATTGCAAAGAACGTGGAGGAGTATTATAATAAAGGATATGTGGTAGGAGCTATTCATCCTGTTTTACTGTCATCTGGACAAAGAAGGCATTTTCCAGCAAGTCACATCTATCGAGTTGTGCTTGTGCGTCTCAAATTCAGGTATGCCATAAGAAATGCTTAAATTCCAGTAAGCTTTTGTATTGAGCAGAGTTCCTTCATCGAAAAAATTGTTCCCTGCTTTAAGAGTAAAACCATTATTATGACAACCACATCATAACTTTGTTGCATCTTAGAACCAAATTACGTTAAACTGCATGACTTAGTTTATTCCCCATGCAAATAGCTGTTCAAATCAGGAGACTTGCAAAAATAATATCCTCTCCATCCTCCATGATGTAATGATGAGACCCTGATTGTTCTTTCATATTGAAAACACTTGTATGCAAAGACATAACATGTAGTTAAGTCACAGGTACTTTTAAGCCCATTTATTAGGACAGAAACTTTGGGAGATGAAATCATTTCCATTAGACCAGGGGTCCCCAAACTTGGGAGCTTTAAGACTTGTTGACTTCAACTCCCAGAATTCTCCAGCCAGGTGTGCTGGCTGGAGACTTCTGGGAGTTGAAACCCACAAGTCTTTAAGCTCCCAAATTTGAATACCTCCGCATTTCCCTTTAGAAATGGGAAATGGGGGAGAGGGATGGAAGCAAACAAGCAGTAACATCAGATAGAAATAGAACTAAAATAGTATGATTATGATTGGCATTGGCAATGAAAGGCATTATCTGCCTTTCCTTGTCTTTTATTTCCTTCTGACATTTTTGTTCTCTTTGTATCCTTGCCTGTGCATATCTATTAGTGGAGATATTATTATTATTTTTTTTGCATCTGAGGAAGTTACATTCAGCCCATGAAAGTTTATGCAAAAACTACATTTGATAATCTTTAGCTATTCGATAGTGGGTACTGTAATTGTGACCAACAATGTGATTTCCAGCTATACTTCTGAGATTCTTAAATTAAATCTCCAATGAAGAATTGCTTAAAACTGAAGCTGAACTTAAACATAGTACATACAGAACATTAGGTACTGATAGGAAAGCAAGCTAGACAAATAGGCTTTGTGAAATCAATTTTAAGTAGCCTTTTATATATTCTGATATACTTGATATATTCAAGTTCATATATTTGTATATTTTTACCTAACTAAAATTTATGTTGTAGGAAATTGGGCATTATTTTACTTGTCCAAGGCTGCATTCTCTGATGTCAGCCTATTTGGGTCCCAATTGTTGGCTTGTTCTAAAATTATGTCAAATATCTGAGCCAAAAGTGGCTATAACCATCTTGAGAAACATCTTAGTGTTTCTTGTCTTCTTGCTGACAAGCCTCTTTTCTGTCTCTGATTCATTTTTTAACAATCTCTTTGTTCTTTTTTAGTCCTGCAGACTATTAGGGGAGAGACTGATTACTCTTGAAAGCATGATCAGAACTGCAAGTTGCCCTTTGTAGGGTTATTATATTTATTTATTTATTATACTTTTACCCCACCTTTATTACTTTTATAAGTAATTCAAGGCAGAAAACACACACACTGTTCCTTTCTCCTCATATATTTTCTCAGCATGAGAACTGTTGCATTCTTAAATAGGAGGAAACTATTCCAGAAACAGAACAAAGATTGCAAGAAAATACCCTATATGACCTTAATATATTGTAACACTAAAACTAACATAATAAACTTTATTATTGGCATATTAATATTAATATCATGATATATAACAAAAAGGCCACAGATATTAGTTCTAAATGTATTCTTCTTGACAGCTACTTACAATTAATTTTAATTTATTGAACTCCTTCAGGTTCAGCTCTTGAAACTCTTCTGAAATATTTCAATATAGCTAAAAACTGTATTTGTGTGTGTTACATCAGTGGTCCCCAACCCCCGGTCCGCGGACCGGTGCCGGGCCGTGGAGTACCTGGCACTGGGCCGCGCAGCGGCCGGGGGACATGAACGCTGCAGCGCAAAGGCTCCTGGGCCGTGCGCAATGGGCCGTGCGCAAAAGCTCCTGGGCCGTGCCCCCACCCCTGCGCGCGCTCAGCGGGCCGCGGCGATAAAAAGGTTGGTGACCACTGTGTTACATTACCTAAATTTGAGTGTGAGATGTTATGTGCTGTTAAAGCTCAAGACAATGAATATACTAAGCTCCATTTAAACCTTAAAATGTTAACTTAAAGCATTTCACAGGCAAAAGTTTCCAGTTCTGTCCTCTCCACAGCTATCTACACTTCATAAACAATGTGGGACAAGACAGTAACATTTCCTTACTGTTAGCTTCTTAAGCTGAAATATCCTAAGATTCAAATCTTTAAATCTAACTAGTTGTTAGAAAACAGTTATCTTCTGACTTAGCACTCAGTCATTTATTGCTTGTGTCATTTTGGTGAACCTCAGACAATAACAGTTGTTTGTCATGATGATTGCAACTATTTTGTCTGGAGCTGCAAGCCAAGTACTTTTTTTTTAAAGGGAAAATTGAAGGATAGATTGAAATTATCCAATTCATTATCTCAGTTGGACTCATTTTTCACATTCATTGAGCAGAACTCTAGAAAACTTTTATGTTGCTGCATCACCTGGGGTTCCTCTGAAAACTAATGAAGATTCTCCAAGCTCCACAGGCATAACAAAACCACACGGGTCTTACTGAATCCAAGACAATTGTCATCCTCTTGTTACAAGTGGTAATGGCCTCAGTAAAACCAGAACCCTAAGAATAACCCCAAGTTTCCTTTTGGATGGAACCCAAAAGAATCCATCAGATTCCTCGAGTGGACTAATCAAATAGGTCCTACCTCCCTGCTCAAAGGTCAACAGGGAGATCTGTCCAAGACAAGGGAGTTTCAAGTCTCCCAGAACAATAAGCCTGGTGTACTCCACCACAAACCCAGCCCCAGATTTAAGCTACTCAGCTATGGAAGCCACTCCAGATTTCTCTGCTGCAGTTCTGGATGTCTTGGCAGCCAAAGACCTCCAATAACTTCCAGGTTACCTCCCCCACACTCTGCATAATTTGGGCTAACTTGGGGAGGTTCTGCTTCATGGTGTCTAAGAACTGGCTGCCATAGCTCTGTCCTATTCCCAACTTAACCAGTTTGCACCAAAACCTCCAAACTCTAACCCTCAACAACATTCTTAATATGCTGAAATTCCTGCATACCTTGCACAGACACGCAGCCCTGACCCCAGAACCATTACAAAAAAGTAATGCATTTATAGCTCAAATTAAGTCTCTCAAATCTTACCCTCACCAGGTCTGCATTACAGTTAAAATACCATCAATGAAACCTCTTTAAATATCTGAAGGAAATTTGCTTTTTAACTCACGTATTTATACTTGCATATTTCAACAGAAAAATATTTAGTATTTTAAATGAAATGTAAATAAGGTTGCTCAATGTGTAATTCAGTTCTGTTCCAAGCAACATGTTTGGGCAAAAGAATCAAGAATAACAGAAGAGCGGTTTGCTAGCCTTCGGCGACGACGGTGCCTTTTTAAGGACCGCCAGCCCCGCCGCCTGTAGAGCCGCTTCGCGATCGAGAAGCGGCTCGAAAACTTCAAAATCCTGAGGATTGTTGGAGGAGAGATAGCAGGGCACAGGTCGAGCCCCTGTAACCCCCCAGGGAACTGTTTCTGGGGAGGAAACAGGCGCGGCTCCCTCCCAACCTGCTGAGACTCCGGGCGGCGTGGGACGATTCTGCTTTTGCAGAACAAGCCGGCTGCAGTAAACATTTAAAGCGAAAGGAACCAACCTTAACAAGCAGCGGATATACACTTGAACCCTGAAACTTGGAATCGCAAGTATTAGCGCTTTGTTGACTTTTCAATTTAAGAAAAAATGCGAATGAGTGAAAGTGACTTGAAAAAATATGGCGCTCAGCATTAGAGTTAACGAGCCAGCAAGTGTGGATTGGCGAAGTCATCTTGCTTTGTTACAAAGTTACCAAGTTGCTACAAAGTTGCTTCGCTTGTAACAAGAGAATAAGAGAGAAATTTCTCCTTTTTCAATACTGGACTTTGCTTTACTTTAGTTTTTATTTGAATAAATCTGGGGGACTTTTTTAGAAGTCTTTGTGGAGGTGGGAGAGGAAGAAGAACTTCCTTTTTTGGTAAAACTAGCTTACGTGGCAGGATGGCCTCAAAGAAGCAGGAAGCGAAGGTAACAGGGGGTGGATCTCCCACACATAAAACACAGCCTCCCCCTGAACAACAGACACAGACTCAGAAAAAAGATTTTGATGTGGGAGATTTAAAAGAATTTATTTCTAAAATTCTGGATGATAAATTTCAAAAATCTTAACAGGAGATAGATGATAAGCTTCAAAAGTCACACCAGGAATTTATGCAGGAAATTAATGAAGTTAAAGATATGGTGAAACAGAATCAAAATAAGGTGACCAAAAAAATATCAGAAGTGGTGTCTGGCCTGGCAGAATTTATTATTAAAGTTGATTCTAAAGTTGAAGAATTTAAATCAGAAGTTAATGTTAAGATGAAAGACAATGATTATAAAATTGCTGATGTTGACAATAAAATGCAGAGAATTGAAAATGAAATTGTGATGGTACAATTCAGGGCAATGGAGTTTGCAATTCGGCTTCGAGGAATTCGAGAAGAGGATAGACAGGATTTGAGACAGGTTTGTTCTGAGGCTCTGGCCAAGATCTTACAAGTTAATCCTGATGTGGTTTTTCACAAAATAGATAAAATTTACAGAGTGAATTCTTGGGTGGCCAGACAAAGACAATTGCCCAGAGATGTGGTCATATATTTTACAGACAGAGAAATAAGAAATGACATCCTGCAAAAATCCTTTTACACCTCTGTGCAAGTGGGGGGCTCACGAATTGGAATTTATAAAGAATTACCTCCTAAAATGTTGAAAACCAGAAAAGAATTCGGTTTTCTTGTTAAAGAATTGCAAAATCTACAGATACCATTTCGGTGGGACGCCCCAGTTGGTATAATTTTGAGATACAAGGGAGAAAGATATCGTTTGAACACCGTGGAGAAGGCAGAGCACTTCTACACTACTACTCTTAAGGAAAGAACACCATCCCCACGTACATCTACAGTTTTGGAGATTAAGGAGAGTGATGAGAAGCAACCTCAACGAGAATTGCAAGAACAGTCTAAGCAGGAACCAGAGGAAGTGCAAGGCGCAGAAGGAGGTTTTCTGGATGAGCCTCTGCTGGAATCTTCTCCAATCTTGGACCCGGTTCGGATGATCGAAGTTAAGGATCAACGTATAACTCGAGCTCAATCTAAATTACTTAAACAAAAGCAACAACAACAACAGGAAAGACAAGACAAGAAGGGAGATAAGACTACTACATAAGAGACTGGAGCCATGGGGGGAGCGACTCCGAAGATTTTGGATGATATTCGGTTATTCTGCTCTTTGCTCCAGAAAGATGAAGATGATGCTTAAGTGTTTATCTTGGAATGTGAATGGGTTGAATTCAGCACAGAAAAGGAAGAAATTATTTACATATTTGAAACAATTTAATAATGATATAATTTGTCTACAAGAAACGCATATTACAGTTCAAGATCAAAAATACTTGATAAACTCCAAATTAGGAATACATTTTATATCTTCAACGTTGCAAAAAAAGAATGGTGTGGTTATCTATGTAAATAAGAAATTTACGGCTAAAGTTATAGAAACAGATGAAGATGGTAGGTTTGTAGCAATTGAATTACTTACAACATATGGCCAAATTCTTTTGATAGGAATTTATGCTCCCAACCAACAACAGGATTATTTCTATAAAATGTTACATACTAAAATACTACAATGGGACTATAGATCTATTTTAATCATGGGAGACTGGAATGGAGTAATAGACTCTAAATTAGACAAAAGGAGCTCAGCGAAATCTAGGATTAGGTTACCTCAGACCTTTTTTGATATGAAAGAAGATTTGGAACTAAAAGATATTTGGAGAATACATAATCCAAAAGAACTGGACTATACTTTTTATTCAGATAGACATAGATCCTTCTCTAGGATTGATTTCATTTTGTTGTCAGATGACCTACTTGTCAAGACAAAAAGAACAAAGATTTTTCCAATAACTTTGACTGACCATAGCCCAGTATGGATAGAAATTGAGATGGATAAGATTGAGAGACGTTCTTGGAGATTAAATGAGAACTTGTTCAGATATGAAAAAAACACAACAGAACTTAAAAAGCACTTGAAAGAATTTTTTGAAATAAACTTGAATAAAGGTACCCCAATAGAAATTGTGTGGGATGCAAGTAAAGCCTATATGAGAGGGGTGCTTATCCACATGAACTCTAAACATAGACTGTTTCGACAAAAGAAAAGATCTGAATTGGAAATAGAAATAAAGAATAAAGAACAGTTACTTATTAAAAATCCAACAGATGAAAGAATATGCGGTGCTATAAAACTTTTGAAAGACCAATTCCAAATGCTTATGGCGGAACAAGTTGCAACAAACCTACAATATGCGAAGCACAATACATTTTGTAACGCTAATAAACCAGGCAGATGGTTGGCTTACACATTGAGGAAAAAACAAAGTATACGGACTATTGATAGTATTGATATTGGAGGGAAAGAAATTTTTCAACAAAAATTAATTAAAGAAGCTTTTGTGGACTATTATACCAAACTATATGCCAAAGAGGAGGTGCAGAATGGACTTATAGAAAAATATTTAAACGATAAAAGAGTTACAAAAATTACTGTTCAACAAAAGGAAAGAATGAATTATCCTATAACAGAGGAGGAGATAATAGTAGCAATTAAACAGTTAAAAACAGCCAAAGCTCCTGGTACGGATGGTTTGACCGCAGTGTATTACAAAACTTTGCAAGCTGAAATGGTGGAACAACTCAGAGATTTATTTTGCAATATTCAACAAGGGGGTAAAATACCCCCATCATGGACAACAGCTTACATATCTTTGATACCAAAAGAACAAGTCGGTCCTAAAAAACCAGAGAACTACAGACCAATATCTCTTTTGAATACAGATTATAAAATCTATGCGAAAGTATTAGCCAACAGGTTGATGCCAGTAATCCAAAAGGTGATTCATGATGATCAAGCGGGATTTATCGAGGGCAGACACATGAAGGACAATGTAAGGCAAGTAATAGATTTATTGGAATATCTTGAGAAGAATAAACAGATTCCTGCAGTGCTGGTCTTTTTGGATGCAGAGAAGGCCTTTGATAGAGTGGATTGGAATTTTCTACTAAAGACTTTAAAAAAGATGGATTTTGGGGATCAATTTATACAGGCGATTTCAGCAATTTACCAAGAGCAAAAGGCACAGATCATTATTAATGGAAGTTTGACAACAGAGTTCAAAATTGAAAAAGGAACAAGACAGGGATGTCCGTTGTCCCCACTTTTATTTATTTTAACACTAGAAGTCTTGCTAAATACAATACGGGACTCTAATATCTTGAAAGGTATAATGATTAGGCAAGAGGATTACAGAATAAAGGCATTTGCAGACGATCTGGTTGTTACCCTATCACAACCAATGGAATCAATAATCCTGATGAAGGACATTATACAAGACTATGGTAAAGTTTCAGGTTTTAGACTGAATCCAAAAAAGACTAAAATGATAGCTAAAAACATGACACAAGATCGTAAACATGAGCTTGAAAGGAGGGCAGGTTTTGAGATTGTACCAAAGGTAAAATATCTAGGAGTTCAGGTTGCAGAATCAAACATGAAATTGTTTCAAAATAATTATGAGGTGTTGTGGCGAGAGGTGCAGAAAGACATGGAGACTTGGAAAAAACTGCAGCTGTCTCTACTTGGAAGAATAGCAGCAGTTAAGATGAACATTTTGCCAAGATTTCTTTTTTTGTTTCAAATGATTCCGGTGCTTAAAAGTGATAAACAATTGAAAGTTTGGCAAACTGGAGTGAATAAGTTCGTCTGGAACGAGAAAAAGCCGAGAGTGAAATTGAAAATTATGCAAGATGTTCCAGAAAGAGGAGGTCTTAAACTTCCAAACCTACAGTTATATTATGATGCAGCAGCTTTAACTTTAACAAGTGATTGGTTTGGAAGGAAAAAGGCTGGAATACTGAATGCAGAAAGTTTTGATCTTGAATTTGGATGGCATGCTTACTTATTTTATGATGACAAAGTTGATAAAGTATTTAAAAGTCATATACTTAGAGACTCCTTGATGAGAGTTTGGAAGAAGCACCGATTCAAATGGGATTATAAAATACCGCTATGGCTGGATCTTGGTCATATTTTGTGGAATACAAATATAATGTCACTCGGGGGGTTTTTATACAAAGAGGTTCTTTTTACAGATGCGGGCAGATGGCAGCTGAAGACATTGCAGACACTGTTGGACGAAGGGATTAATTTAACTTGGTTACAATATAATCAATTACAATTGAGATGGAAAGAGGACCAAAAAACTGGTATTATGTTGCAGGAGGAAGAATTGGTTAGACATATAAAAGAGAAAGGTCCAATGCATATCAAAAGGCTTTATAATGTTTTGTTAGAAAGGGATTCAGAAACTGAATTAGTTAAAGATTGTATGATTAAGTGGGCACAAAATTTTGAAGAACCAGTGATGTTGGAAACATGGGAAAAAATTTGGGTTCAGAATGTTAAATTTACACAGTCGCAGAACCTGAGGGAAAATTTCTATAAAATGTTTTATAGATGGCATTTAGATCCCAAAAAGTTGTCATGTATGTACCCTAATGTTCAGCCAAAATGTTGGAGATGTGAATGTTTGGATGCTACGTATTATCATGTTTGGTGGACCTGTAGGAAAGTTAAGGCTTTTTGGATAAAAATTTGGTGGGTCATGCAGAATGTTTTGAAGAAAAAAATTCAATTCTCTCCACAATTGTTTTTATTGGGTATAGTTAAGGGTTTTACATCGGGTGAAACAAAACTGATATTGTATATGATAACAGCAGCAAGATTGTTGATAGGTAAATATTGGAAAAATGAAGCTTTGCCCACTATTGAGGAATGGACTTTGAAGATGGCCAGTTTTGCAGAGATGGCGAAGATTTCAGCATACTTAAAAGATTGTTCACAAGAGACTTATGAATGGGAATGGAAAAGGTGGATAGAATATGTTCAGAACAAATATCAAACTAGAAAGTATCAAATAGCTTTTATTTGAAAATAATGTATTAGAAATATTTTAATGGAACGAGGGTAAAAAGAAAAATTATAAAGGGGAGGGAGGGGTTCAAGTTTTTACACAAGTTTTATATTAAGGGGGGGGTTTGTTTTGTTTTTTTTTTATCTTTCTTTACCAGATATGAGTATAATATAGGGAAGTCTGGGGGGAGGGGAGGGTTAGGGAGGGTTAGGGAGGTTGGGAAGTTTGGGGTGGGTGGTGGTGGGGGGAAAAGGGGTGAAAATGTAATTGTAAAACTTTTGCAATAAAAAAAAAAAAGAAAACAAACAAACAAAAAAAAAGAATAACAGAAGAGCTACCCAAAGAAGAGAGTTGCCAACATTCAATTTATAATTTTTGGGAATGGAAAAAAGTGTTGCTTGCTAGTATTTTGCACAAGATAGGTCAAATTTCAACGAAGGCTGCTTTCTTTCTGTGTTTTAGCCACAAGAATCCACCAATGAGAGAACCAAGACCCAGGCTTGTGATTGAAGAGTGTCCTTTAACATATGAAAAACTAACAAATGAGGCAGTTAAGGAAGTGTTAGAGAAGGTATGACCATCTTCACTGAATATTTTACTTTTCCTTTAACTATAATCCTACTCTGAGAACTCAGATAATGTTCACGAACAAAAACATACATATCTAATACCAAACTTTGTCTTGATGCTAACATAACTACTTTCTGGATCTTCTGTTTCAATCACTTCTCATAATTCCACATTTCCAAGAGGGTGAATGGGTAGCATTGCAGTTCTGTGGCATCACCAATACTATAAAGCAACCTCCTGAAGGGCGTCAGGTTGTCCTGTTCCTTGTCAGTTTTCTAAAAGCCTAAAAACTGAGTTGCTTTTAGAGGGGCTTTCTTTGAGTCTTTCCCTGATGCCACCTTGCTTTTTGGATTTTGTGTGGGGGTGGGTGAGTATATATATGTGTGTGTTCCCTTTTGGTTTTATGCAGAGCTAACCTGTTGACTGGCTTTATTGTTATGACTGTTTGGATTGGTTTTACATTCACACAAATGTTTTAACTTTTATGTAACCTGCAAACACTGAGAATCATTCGATTGCAGCAGAGGAGAAGCACTATAAATAATGCTAGCACCCCATTTATAGACTCCTGCAATTCAGTTCTCCCATAACTCTTCCCGTTCCCTGTTAATTCTGTTGAGTCAAAGATGGGTAGTTGAACAAAACTGGTGGCAGCAGCTATGGAAAATGTTTTCACATCCATTTCTTTGTGTTCGCCTGCTTTACACAGAAACCTGATTTCTAAATTCAGAAGAGAAAACTATGCTAGGATTTCTTCAGAAGAACTCCAGGGCCTTATTGATGAAATATTCTATTGAATCATATATTTAGTTCTGTATGATAACTGAGTCCCTCAACTGTTCAGTAAAGTTGTTGCAGAATGCAGCCTTGAAATATTACATGTTGACATTCCATGATGAAAAGTTGAATATCATGTTGAATGAAATGTTGACTGACAACCAGTTTGGTTTAGTGCCGTGATGGCAAACCTATGGCACATGTGCCCAGAGTGGCAACCGGAGCCACGTGCCTGGAACGCACAGTGTCGCCTGTTCTCTTCCGGGTTTCTGGCACGCATGCACACGCGACGATCAGCTTGCCTTTGTGCATGAGGCAGTGCCAGAAACCGGAAGAGCTGGTCTGTGAGCCAGGAATGGGGGTTCCTCGAACTTCAGAATTGGGAGTGTCCAGAAAGAAGGAGGACCAATGGGAATCTCCCTTCTGCAGTGTCATTGGTCTCTGGGCAGAGTCTCCCTTGACTTCACCCACTGGAGAAGTTAGTTCCGCGCAGAGAAGAAGCCCAAGTTGGTTATTCAGGCCAAGATCCCCCCACCCACTTTCTCCACTTCTCTCTCTCCGCAGAACTGTCTCTCCTCCTTCAGGTGAAGCCCCAAAGGACTCTGCCTGGGGACCGATTACACTCAAGCAGGGAGAATTCTCATTGGTGTTGCCCCTCATTCTGGCCCCTCCCATCTCAAAAGTCTGAGATAAACACTTTCCCCCAATGCAGAACTGCGGATTCCTCCTCTGGGGCTGGAAGCATCTGGCCAGAAACACATGCATGTGAGCATGCGTGCCGTGAGCATGTGGGTCGCCAGCTGATTGGCGCATGTGCATGCGCGGCAGTAACCAGAAGACTTGCTGGCTGCCGCACATGCGTGTGCCAGAAGCCAAAAGTACCTTATCCGGCGCACGCATGCCTCCTGGGCAGCTCCTCTTCCTGGTTGCGGCCCTGACAAGTGTGCACAAAGTGCTCCCTTTTCGGCACTCGGTGCCAAAAAGGCTCGCTATCACTGGTCTAATGATAAGGCACCAGGCTAGAAACCCGGAGATTGTAAATACTAGTGGACCAGTCACTCTCTTGCACCCCAACTCACCTCACAGAATTATTGTTGTGGGGAAAATAGAAGGAATAAGGAATATTAGATATGTTTGCTACCTTGAAGTATTTCTAAAAATAATAAAGATGGAATATACATGAACAAATAATTCCAGAACATCAGCATTTATTAAACCTTTGCATTGATGTTTAAGACATTTCAAGTATGTTTTAAGAGCTAATTAAGAAGGAGTTAAGGCATCAGGCTAGAAACTGGGAGACTGAATTCTAGTCCTGAGTTAAGTAAGAAGCTAGCTGGGTGATCTGGGGCCAGCCCTTCTCTGTTGGGTCTAGGAAAGAGAGAATGGCAAATCAATTCTGAAATCTTGCAAGTAAACTGTGGGGATTTGTGCAGGGTCTTGTCAGGATTCAACACTGACTCAAAGGCATAAATAACATTAAAAAAAAATCCCTTTACATACCATTAATTTTTACCCAGATACAAATAGGCAAAAGAAAGACTCCATATATCGTGCTCTCTGTAAAACTGAAGATACATGTTTTACAAATAGTTGAAATTTTTGAATAGGTGGCTGTTTCATAATATTAATAGTAAAATAGATATGCTATTTTTATATATCAATGAATATTTCTTTCTGTGAATCCATGTAAAACCATCATACAGAAACTAGCTACACGCCTTAGTGAACAATATGCATATCCATCCCACTGAATTAGTACTGTCTTTTTGAAAAATATAGGTCAATGATGCTGCTAAAAGAGGAATGAAGTTTGTTGGGTTTATAACCCAATCTTGCTCTCAATCTAAAATCTGCAATGGTACAAACCTGGGCGAAGATATGGAGTCTGACTCGACACTATGCAGAAGGAACAGAGAGCAGAGGAGCCATGATTCAGAGGAAAATGTTAGAATCTGGAATGAAGGGACACTGAGTAGTCAATCCTCTGAGAGTGGAATACAGGAAGAAATTCAGCTGGACATCAGGCCAGCACAAAAGACTGATTTTCAAGAGGGAATAGAAGGCTGTCCCAGCCCGAATAAATTAAAGGAAAAAGAAGGTATTTAAACACATCATCTATATGGTCTACATCAGGGGTGGTATTCACTTACCTTTGCTACCGGTTCACAAATGTGAGTGCACAGAGCGTCAAAAACGAGACGCGATGACATCCAGGTGGGTGGGTGGAGCTTCCCACCACTGCTACTGGATCGCGCAATCAGGATAGAGCCGGCTGAATTTCATCACTGGTCTACATGCACTATGTAGCTATCTCAAACTACAGAAGAATCCATTTTTAAGAACAATAGTTTAAGAGAAGGATTATCAAACAGTACAACCATATTTGGAGGTGTTCTTAAACCTTTCTCATGTATCCCTGTGTTTATTAGCCCTTTTTTCAGCAAGGACAAACTATCCAAATTGAAAAATGTATTGCCTCTACTTTTTTTAACAATTATTTTCAGTCTGGAAAACTACAACAGAACAAAACATAACATCATATGCTCTCCATTCTTAGTGTCTTTAGGATAAAAACTGGCTGAACAAATATTCTCTCAAAGGCTAAATGATATGGCGCATCAAATGGAAGTCAACAATTATCACAGAGCCCAGAACTTAGGTTGCCAAGGATACTTAGAATCCCCCAAATATTTAAATATTCTTACCTTTCCCAAATTGTGAAAAACTTTTTTAGGCAGATACAGCATCCTTCCCTCTAAAACCCCACAAGCTCAGCACTGCAAACCTGAGCAGATACAAATTGTACACCACATTAATATATTATAACTTCCATGGGATACTCAAAAGAATTATATATAGTCTCTGTTGCAGCAATTCTCAGAAAGTACTGATTATTATGTAAACCTCCTTCTTTCAGATTGTTTAGTAAATAATAACAAATAAATGAAACCATGGATCTTCCATATTGTAACTAAATTTGTGTGACTGCAATGAAAATCAGGCAATAGGTGATACAAAACTGAACACTATTGTTTTTCATTATGTTCTTGTGTCATCTGCTGATTGTTGATCAAAATAAAATAAATTAAATTTAGTAACTTAGAGAAAATTGCCACTGAGTTTATTAGAAAAAATTAGCATGGTAGCACCCAGCCTTAAACCCCTCACAAATTGTAAAACAAAGATCACCATGTTATAAAAGATGAATTCTGAGCAGAGAGAGAGAAAGATGAATAATGTGAATCATAAAAAGAAGTAGCAAACAGTTGAATGGGAGTAGGTGGAAGAGGAGGATGAATTTAGTTCAAGAAGAATGAACTTTAGAGAGAAATATCAGTGTCGTGGATAATTTGGCTGGGAATATTAGGATGTAAGGTTGCCAGGTTTAGTTTGCAAACTGGCAGTCCCAGGGAGATGTCCACAGCATAGTTACAGCTGCAAGATTATTGGTGAGATGCATGATGGTAGCAGTAATAGATGAGCCAATTAAAATTTAAGAATGGAAGTGTAGGTTTTGGACGCTAGAAAAAGACTGAGAAAGAAAAATCCCGTTAATACGATACAAAAAGAGAAGAAAAACATTTTGCAAATCACAATGTAAATTGAAAGAGGAAACCATGTTCTGTACAGAGAGAATGAAGAGTTTGGATTTAAGCCCCTGAATTAAGTTGGCTTTCATAGTAGGATTTTCTAACATATTTGCTTACATAATTGAAGGATTGATAGATCAATTTGAATTAAAATAGCATTCAAATGTCATGCTGGACTTTTATCCAAATGGGTTTTAATTTGTATTCTTAATGCAAAATGTAATTTTGTAGATTTTTAAAAAATCTGTAAATATAACCCATTGACATTTTTACAATGCATATTACCCTAATATCTTTATTTCATTTTTTTTCTCTCAGACACCAAACTATATACAGTTTTCAATGTCTTTGAAGATGATTCCATCAGTTGGACCTATCATGACAGTATTTTGTCTCTGAAAGTGTCACGGAAAGGACCTGTGATTAGTACATTGGATGCTGATTGGTTAGATTTAACCACATTTTATTACAAACAAGGGTTATCATTAATTGACTCCTTTGTGTGTTGGGAAGCCTCTAAAGGTAAGGATAATGATACTCTTTTTCATACTTAAAAATAAGGATATTAGCAAAATTCATTCAGAAAATTCAAAATGATACACAAAGTGTGTGCAAATTTTAAAATAGGCTGCAGAGTAAATAAAGACAGTGGTCTGTTTGATTCAGGATAGTTAAAGCTTTCAGATAAGGCTTGCATCTGTCACTCACCCACAGTTATAGATACTACATTTATCACTCATTGGCTTTCTCTCCCAGGGAACTATTAAAAGATCACCAGAGGGAAGGGAGAAGCAATGAAGATCCCCCACCAGCTGTTGTCTATGCGTATCACTTGTTTCTCGCTGTAGAGAACCAACTGTTTTGAGCAGAATGGCTGGGGGAGGGGAATTCTCACTTCCTTTCCTCCCACCAAGAGAGAGTCAAAGAGAGAAAGAGGGATTATTCACCCTTAATTTAGGAGTGAAAAATAAGAACTACCAATAGCTGGGCAGAAGAAAGCTATAAAGAGGCTTGGAGAAGATTAAGTAGTTTTTCAAATTTCCAACTTGTTCTTTGTAGGAGAGTTCAAGTTCTCAGATTGATCTGGCCTTCCACTTTGAAGTGAATTGCTTAAAAAGATAACCAGAAATAAAAATCTAAACCTGAAATGTTTGCTGTCATGGAAATTTTTTGTTTAAAAAAAAAAGAAACATATGATGAACTCCCTATTACATACATCACAAGAGCAGCTGTCTTACCCATTTTTAAGTGGTTTCTACAGGAAGAATTAAACACGTGAATCACACTCAACGGGGTTTTTTTAACGTTAGCCAACAGAAAAAAGAAACATGTATATTCAAATTTTACTCTTATTTATATCTAAACTATTTAATTTCCAAAATTTAATTGAATTTCTCATTAAGGGCTAAACTAGACATGAAGTGATTTAAGAAATGAATTAATACATCAATCTCACAGATGCAGACGAAGACTGTGAATTCTTAACATATGCAGTCTCCTTTTAAACTTAATTTTTTAAATATAATCTTTCTAAAAATAAAATAAACAGCAGATGACTTGCTTGAAGCAAGTAAGAAGGTCGACCTAGAATTTGCTTTGCTGCTGTATGTTATTTGCCATTTTATTTGTAAAAAAATGAGAATGTCAGATTCATTTTGTGCTTAAGAAATGTACTGCATGTTCTCTTTATATTACATCTACCAAATCAAAATTTAAATTGAACATAGCTGAAAATAGGACAACCAGATCTGGGGGCGGGGGTGGGGAATCAAACAGCTGCTTGATGGCAACAAGGAGTCTTTCACATCCAAGATTTAGTAGCCCTAATTATTATTTAGAAATGTGTAATTCAAGGATAGATAACTTCAGCCTAGTCTGAAAAGCTTTTGCAGAAGATTAGACACTTGTATATTATTTGAGCATGGTGTTAGAAATGAAAGTGTAATGTGTCAAAAAGACAATTTGGGGGAGGGAGGTAATAGCTGAATGCACTTTGGGCTCTGACCTCATTTCTGCCGGTTCCAACCCTACTCATCATAGGAACCCAAGATATGTGGCATTTGACAGGAAAAAACTTAACCACCCACAGTCACTTAGAAAGTAAGATAGGCAGTGTCTAAACTTGCATAAATAAGTAAGTAAGTAATATAAATTTACCAAATCCTGTTCATTGACAATCACATCAAAATGATCATGTGTGAGACAGAAAAAGAAAGCATACTCCTCTTAATACATAAGTGTAGTACTATAAAGTTTAGATATTATTTACTACTTTTCCTTTTTTTTTTCTTTCTCTAGCTGACTTTGGGCTCAAATCATTAGAAGGGTTATTTATATATGAAGAAGAACCGGGGTTTCCAGGTTCGGAGAAGAAAGGAAATGATGCTATTGTTGTAGAACAATGGACTGTCATTGAGGTAATTCCCTATTTTTGTTTTTAACAATTTAAGTTACTCTTCCTGATTAATTTCAAGGGTTTACATAAACTCAGTATACAATTAGAAAATAATCAATATGTGAGCAAGTTTGTGATATCTTGTAATTTTAAACGTATTTGAGGTTTCAGCAAAAATAACTCACAGTTCAATTATCATCTTAGATAATCATTCCTTGTATATATCTTTGTTTTCTAGTGTCCATAAAGGCCAAATCTTTAAAGTAACAATGGTAGGAGTGGTTGTCACAACTAAAAAGTTGTTGATGATAGGCAGTCATTAAAGATAATGTTCTGTTTAAATTTTAAAAATCCTCAAAGAAATGAATATCAAGAGTTTGCAATAACAAATAAATGAAATCTTCAATTTAAGAAATGAAACAGGTGGTTCTGTTAAAGTTGAATTAAATCCAAATGGGTTTTTTCAGACTCAAAAAGAGACATATATGAGAACTTGCACTTTCCTGAAAGTGATGACAATTACAGTCTAAAATACTGTACAATATTATCTAACACTTTTGCATCCTGGAGTTTGCCTTTTATATAAATGGTGGGGTGAATTGAAAGGAGAAACAAAAGGAATCACAAGGCTAAATTTGGAAGTGTGAAACAATTGTCATTTTCCTTCTCTTGTTCTAGAAAGAAAGTCATAGCACTAGAATCAAGTGCATTGGCTTCTCTGGACACAAAAACATATTCCAGAACTTAAAGTGGGCAACTTAAGCATTGGTTCTGGTTCAAGGGAGGTGACCACAAAGGTTGCCCTTTATGCAAGGAAGACTTCATGAAAGGATTAATTCTTTGCCTTCATGCAGAAAGAGGAAGTTTCATCAACTAAATTCAGCCACTGGTCTCCCCATAGTTATCCCTCACAGATTTACAAAGCTGACAAGTTTCAGATAGTCATCTGTTCTTTGGCTTCCCATATCCATCTTTTCAACCATCCACTTTTTGTTAAGAGGTCTGGTCCTATACTCTAGTACTGTGATGGCGAACCTATGGCACGCGTGCCACAGGTGGCACGTGGAGCCATATCAGGGGGCACGCAAGGGTTACCCTAGCTTAGCTCCAGCACGCATGTGTGCGCCGGCCAACTGATTTTTGAGCCTTCAAGGCCCACCGGAAGTCAGGAAACAGACCACTTCCTGCCTCCAGAGGGCCTCGGGGGGGGCTGTTTTTGCCCTCCCCAGGCTCCAAGAAAGCTTCTGGAGCCTGGGGAGGGCGAAAAACGGGCCTACCGGGTCCACCTTGCCATCGCATGCCAAAAGCGGTGGGAGCGTGGTGGGGTTGCATGCGTGGGGGCCAGGGTGCATTGAATTATGGGTATGAGCATGCGCGTGTGTCCCCCACCCCCCTTTTGGCACGCAACGGCAAAAAGGTTAGCCATCACTGCTCTAGTATCTCATTTTCTATTCCTCTGCTAAAATCCTTCTTGTTAGCAGTAAAAGGTAGCAAAGTCTGTTCTTATACAGTAAATTTTGTTGGAACAACTCAGATCAGCATATTTTGTCTGTTAAATCCAAATTACATTGAGGACTGTTAACTAGAGGGTTTACTATATTGCCATTTCTGTGTCATATATATTGAATAGATCATGCTGAGAAGCATCCTTCATTTGGATTTGCATATTTTATATTTTGTAATGCAGGACTCTTTGTCAAAAAGTTTGTCTAAAGGAGCAGCCATTCGCTGACAATGCATATGTGCAATCACTTCCACTTGGAAGAACAAAATAATTATTCAGAAGTTACCCCACAAAAAAGCTGACCAGTTCAGTTCCCCAAGTGATTCCATAAATAAGCGTTGACAACTGGAATAAACATCTTTGATTAGTTTTTAATTATATCAGCAATCATTGTACCATATATGTCAGGGACAAATAATGGAGTCTTCAGAACTTTTAAACTTTGATTTAACTCAGCTGATATACTTAAAGATAAGAAAGGAGCTGTGAAATAGTCCAAAACATCTAGAAGTTGCCAAACTCTTATTATTGCTTCAAGTAACTCATACAGATAACTGTTGTAGTGTGACTTTTGGAATTCAGAAAGAGACAGGAATAAACTGGAAAAAAAAAATCTCTATTCTAGAGAGTTTGCATGTGCAGATGAAGGAGAATTACACATTACGTAGTTTTTGTCCCTGTTCCCGCCTTTTTACGATAAAAAGTGGGTCCAATGGTGGTGATATGGCTGCAACGGAAGCTTCTCAAGTTTTTTTTTTTTTTAAATACTGTTTTATATCCAATAATTATGCAGAAATGGCTTTGCATGAATTAGAGCTCTTAAGAGGGAAAAGTCCTCTGTATATATAAACAGATAATTTCTTTGTTCTTAGCTCATCAATTTACGTACATCATTAAAGTCACAATATATATGTACTTTTAGGTTCAATCACATTTAGAAACTAAAGAGAAGATTAGGGAGAAAGGGCTGTGAGGAACAAGAAATTTAAAGACCACACACACACAAAATCTTTTGACCCAATGTAATTAGATTTTTTTTTTAGGCCATACCAGTAATAATAATATTTGTGTAATATAACATAACACTTTAAAAACTATTATGCTGTTACAGAAACAAAATGATTATTTAACCAATGGAAAAGAAAATGATGTGTACCGTAACTTTTAAAATGTTTGATAAGTCAGACATTAAAAGTATATATTAATGTAATTTCCAGTGTGTTTTAAAACTGAATAAGATTGCAACTCCAGGAATTGGATTTCATTCCTGATTAGACCAGCATTGGGTTGCTCTATCTATAGTAAATATTATAAAATCAGCTTTTGGCATGCATTACCACAAATGGACAGAAGTTTTGGCTTGTGTTTTCAGGTCTACACTAAAAATAAAATGGAACTAAACTTAATGGAACTGAATTTCTTTAGGAAAAAAAATATGTAATTGTCAAATTTCTTTCTATAAACACACCAGAACAGCAATAGGAAGAAAAAAATATAACTATACCAGAAAAGTATATGCATGTTCTTATTTTTTGTATATTAATGGTTAATAATCCTTTTTTAATATGCGAGGACCTTTGGGTTTCCCCTCCTTCCTCTCCACATCTCGTGGTTAACCTGTGGAAATGCTTACCCTATTCTTACATATATATTTCTGTATCTATTTTTGTTAACAGGGCAGTGAAATCAAAACTGATTATGGTCCTTTACTGCACACTTTGGCTGAATTTGGCTGGCTTTTAACATGTGTGTTGCCTACTCCTGTCATCCGACTGGACAGGTAGATGAAATAACAATTTCTCTTCCTATTCCCGGGAATGTAATTGAATACATATATTAATATAATATATATATTAAGGGAGATGTTTGTGGCCTATACGTATAAAATGTTTTTTTAAAAATATCAATGATATTTCAATCTAATGTGCAAACTGCTGAGTTATGGGAAATCTCATGAGGTTTTGGTATTCTTGTGCATGATTTTGAAAGACTGAGGGGAGGAATTCAGACCATCATTTGAGATTTGCAGAATGGTGGCTGAATCAGAGACCAGCCCTACATTTTTCCTCTTGAATGGATTATTCAGAAACTTGAATTTGAGAAATTAACTGAACATTTATCGGTTTACAAAACAAAAAATGATGGCTTAAATTAGGAAATGTTTGTTGAAATATGAAGCTGAGGACTAGTTGCTAAATACAACAAGAGTATACAGGTAGTTCTTGACTTACAACAGTTCCTTTAATGACTCTTCAAAGTTACAACGGCACTGGAAAAAGTGACTTATGACCGTTTTTCACATTTATGACCATTGCAGCATCCCCATGGTCACATGATCAAAATTCAGATGCTTGGCAAATGACTCATATTTATGACGGTTGCAGTGTCCCAGGGTCATGTGATCACCTTTTGTGACCTTCTGACAAGCAAAGTCAATGGGGAAGCCAGAACTTAATAACAGTGTTGCTAATTTAACAACCACATTGATTCACTTAACAATTGTGGCAAGAAAGGTTATAAAATGAGCCAAAGCTCACTTAACAAATGTCTCATTTAGCAATAGAAATTTTAGGCTCAACTGGTCATAAGGTGAGGACTACCTGTAAAGCAAACATGACAATAAATGGAATGATTCATGAATGATTCAGAACTACACAGGCAGTAAGACAGGGACATGTGATATCTCCTTGGTCTATGTATTTATGGGTGATATCCATACTCATCTCACTCAAATGCCCATCTGAGAACACAACAAATAGTTTAGTTATCTGCAGGAAGAAAGCCTTCATATTTGCAAATATCTATATTGTCTTCCAAATTGGTGATTTTTTCCCCCTTTTTAATGTCTGCATAGGACTGTAATGGTCAGCTGTAACCAAAAGCAGATTTTTAAACATCTATTTGATATTTAACCATCAGTTAGCACAATTAAACAATCTCTCTCTATGATACCTCCTAGGCAGCTGGCCCACTACTTCAGTAACAATTGCTTGAGCAGAGACAGGCGGGGGAAAACCTTTCCATATAATCTGTTGAAGAGCAGAATAATTTAGGAATTGATTCAAGCAATTATATATTTATTTCATGAGAATTGGCCTAGGTCCTGCACCAATTCTCTTTAACTGAAAGGCAGCATATTTTTATTTTATTTCTCACAGGGATAACAGCAATTTTTGAATTCCCTGTTTAAAAATAATATCTTAGAAATATTCATCTACAGATTTAAAAATAACATTTAAAGTGTTTTCTGAAGATGAGCATTTAAAGTTTGAAATGCCTGAATGAAATAAGTGTCCTAGGAGTTTCACCTCCTAGAATTATATTTTCTGCCTGTTGCACGCTAAAGTGATCAGCTGAGAAAAGTTAACAGGATATATATTATCCTATTATTTCCATCAGTATCTTTGCAGACCAAATAGCATGTCTTTCAAGAAAAACAAGCTTGGCTCATATAGAATGAAAGCAAATAGCCTCAGCTCATAGACTCCATCCTTATCTTGAGTATTTGTAGATAGCAGAAGGGACATTAGGGAAAAAAAGGAAGTTTGAAATCTTTTATAACTAAGGGACTGTTGCAGGAAATAGCATTTTAGTCATTAAATAGCTATCATGTGGTAGTAATGAATAAGCAAAACTGTATAGTATTTTTGGGGTCATAATAAATAGCAGTCCTTTGTGAAAATAAGGCATGCAAAGATGGATGCGGATCATGAACTATAACTTTCCTACACATAGAGGAGTAGAGGCTCTCATCACAGCTGCAAAATGTGATCAAAGTCACATGCCAACTAGCTATTCAGTATGCATATCTTTATCCATATATGCACACAAACACATCCTGTTCTTTATGCCAGGTTTGGAACTGTTCTTAATTCCACATATACTAATATTTTATTGTATCAAACTGGATTAAACAGCTCACCTAGTCTGAAGTCCCTTGAACTATTATACAAAAAAAGCAATACAAATACAAAACTTATTTTTATCATATGCAAATAAAGAAAGACTAGTCCACAAAGAAAGCAATCATTTCTTATGAACTGAAGATTTCTGAACATAATTATTTAATAGGAGAAAGAGAAAATTGTACATATTTAAAAGGAAATTAAATCTGCTTTTCTAGCTAGTCTTCTGAAAAGGACTCCCAAAGATAAAATGATTTTCAAATATATCTTTACTGATTTGATTTTATTTATAAAATTAATAGGCCACCCATTTTACCTCAAGGTAACTCTGGGCGGCTTACAATATAAAAGATAAAAACTATGTAAGCTAAAAACATAAATAAGGCAACACAAAATCCAAACATTACGAGCCAATTAAAAGACAGGGAGGTTGGGAGCAGGAGGGAGGGAGGGTAGGTGGGATCTGTTGTTAATCAACCACCTCCACTGTGATGCTCCCCCATTGGAGCCCCAAGCTAACTGGCAGAGCCAGGTTTGGACTATTGTATAACTGATGGGGAATTGATAATTTCTCACTTTATACACAGGAAAAATATTAACATAAACAAGACATATTACTATTGTCTTCCTGATAGTTTCCAAATCACTGGTGTATCATTCCAAATAAAACAACAATCTACAAAAACCGGATGTGTAAAAGTGTATTTTGAGCACTTGTTTTCCAACAATTAGTTCAACCTATCTACTTCTTCCTTTAAAAACATAGATGATCAGAAGGGAAATAACCTCAATCCAATACAATGTGTTGAGTCAGCAACCTTTCTTAATCAGCTATCAGGAAAAAAAAGTTTTTTTAAAAGAGTTAAAAGCTTTCTTTATCAGCTTCTTAAAGCAAGCGATTCCAGCCCCCATTTACTGACTGTGGACTATGTGAACCTGCCAGGCAATTGGATCAGCCACATGAATGATACACAAAGCATTTATGCACAAAGGAATCTGTAGCCTAGAAGCCTGCTTTGGCACATTCATGGCTAAATGGGAGTCCTGACACATCTGGGAAATTTGTTATAAGATGTTATTTGGTTCAGTTTTAAAAGTGCAATCCAAATTACTGAATTAATTAAATCATCTTTTTTTTTAAAGTACTCTACCTGCCAGAATAGTCTGCTAGCAATTCTGAATTAGAAACGTAGTTACTACTTTCATTTTAAAAATTGAGGAAGTGCTGCATTAATTTGTGTGAAACACTTTATGCTCAGTTGTCATGCGACATTGCTCACATTGGTTAAAAAAAAAAGAATAACATGTTTTTCAGTCTGCAGTTCTGTTTTTCCCACAGACTTTGAACTCTGACCCCAGTACGCAAGTGGAATATTAATAGCTTTTACTTTCTGCTAAATGCAGAGAACTTTTCTTTTGCATCAGTTCACACACAGTTTGTTCAGAGGATTACAGGAATATTAGCATTTCCCCCAAAATAACTCTTTAAATCCTGTAATTAGAAGAGTTTCTGTTTTCACAGTAAGATTTCCTGTTGTTCCTCTCTCTAAAGTAGACCCACCAAAAATCAACTATTGTAGAAAAGGATTTCCCCCCCCCCCCCAGAAAATGGGGACAGTAGCAAGAAGAGCTACTGGAACTTCTCTCTTCTTACCTACATGAAAGCACTTTTGCTTGCTCAAGGTTTAGGGTGTCACCCTGTGTACCCATGGGCCATAGGATACCACTTTCCAGAAAACCTTTTCAAGGATTGGAAAATCCCAAGTGAATAAAGCTTTAGAAAAGGGATATTGGGCTATTTCAGGGGCAAATTTAAAAAAAGCACTCTGGCTCTCCCAATTCTTGCCCACAAACCTGACCTTGGAGGGAATTGTAAGATTTCCTTTGCAGTGAAAGGTGGAAGATGTCAAACATGGATGGAACAGTACAAATGTTTCTCTGTCTTTAGATCTGCCAGCACGGATTTGGACATTTTAGCATGATTGACATTAATATGGTTCACATTATCTTTAGTAACCATAACATAATTTCTGACCATAACAGAAATCAAGGTGTCAAAACAGCATATAATGTATTTGATGCATTGTGTCATTTAGTCTTCCACCACATTTATTTTTTTGTTGTAGTTATTCCAGTATGAAAATAAGCAGAACAATAAGTATAACTTCAATTCTTACTGGTAAACAAGTCCAATAATGCCATTAAATATAATCTGCAAGTAGCAAATTAAAAAGGCAAAAGCTATGAAAAATATCTAGTTGCAGCAATGTGTTTTCTTCCTCATTTTTCGATCCAAGTCCACCTATATCTTTTGTTAAGACAAAATATAGGAAGAAAATTCAACATATAAAACAGATCCTTTTAATGTACTTTCTTTCTCTCCTTCATTGAAATTCAGGGGCAATCCCAACTTCATTCAGTTCAATTGTGAATTTATCCCCTGACATTTATCGTGTTCAGCATTTTAATAAGGCCAGGTCTATTTTAAAGTTGTTTTTTAAAGCAGCTTCAGTACTTCAGTATGGAGCATTTCTTTAAACTTAAAAGTTTTAGCCATGAGTTAATGCCTTTGATGATTCTATGGTGTCACAACATAAAATAGGATATAGAAAGATGACTTGTTTCCAGATAAATTCTTAACCTCACTTTTTTTAAAAAAGCAGAAAAATAACAGAATTCCCCTTTTTCTCTTGTCTTTCTAATGTCATCCATAAGCATCCTCAATGGAATCCCATGATGTTTACAAAGCTAATGATTGATTGACTGATTGTTTGATTGCCAGATCATACTGTTGCTAATATCAGGCACTGTACTAAGCCAATCTTCTAAATCACTGTTTGCAGAAGAGGTGATGCATTGACCTTGATCAATCTTGAACAAATTAATCCTGGTGAGAATTTGGTTAGTTGCATTGATGAGAAGCTATCAGGAAAAACAAGGGCTGCAGCATAGATGGGAAATCATCCTAGAAGACGATTTAACAAGCCGCTTTGCTATTGTTGCCAAAAGCAAAACACCCCCTCCCTTCAAAACAAAAACAGATCAACAAAAAAAGCCATGTATGTGTTCACAAGGAAGTGGGAATGTCTGGAGGGCAAATTTAACTTTTTGGGATGAACTTAATAACGATGAAGCTCACATAATGTGCCAAACCAAAAGTAAACAATTCACATTGGTTCTCTGCACAATATGTGGACCCAGATAATTTGACAATACTTAGAATGAAGGAAGCTCTTTCAAGACAGACAGATGTTGTAATAATAAGCAGTAGTGAAATGTAAAATTTGTTACTACTGGTTCTGTGGGTGTGGCTTGGGGGGGTAATATGACTGAGTGGGCGTGGCCAACTTTTTTTTTTTTACTTTTAAAACCATTTTTTCTACAATCTCTTCGGCTTTTAAAGCCTCTGACGATCCCAGCTGACTTGCCTGATCGGCAGAGGCTTTCTTTTCTTTTTTTTTAAAGCCTCTGATGATCCCAGCTGAGCCGCGCAATCATCAGAGGCTTTTTTTTTACTTTTAAAAGCATTTTTTCGGCCAAAGAAAAAATGTAGAAAAATGCTTTTAAAAAGAAAAAAAAAGCCTCTGATGATTGCACGGCTCAGGTGGGCAATGTGGGGGGGGCAGGGATTTTTGCTACCGGTTCTCCGAACCACCCGTCTCTATCGCTATCAGATCGGGTGATCCGGTCCGAACTGGGAGCATTTCACCCCTGATAATAAGGTATCTGTATGTGTCATGTTTATGAAATTAAAAAGAAAATGTTAATGAAAACAAAAGCGCTGCCTTAAAATACTCATCAAGATCATTAATTCCAAGGTCAAATATGACTTGGCCACATTACTGTTAGGGAAAGACAAATATGTACTATTTACATTAACAGATGTAACAAATTTGGGCATGACTAGTTCATGCACTAAAGATAAGATAATTTTAGAGGCTGCATTGCCTCTGAATAAATTTTGCTAGTACATTTCTTTTCAATATTAAGAGAAAAATTTGCTTGAAAAAGCAGTCAGTAATTTCATAAATATTATATGTTGTCCTCAATTATTCCAAAAAAATTAAAATATGATGGGGTGACAGCTGACTTAAAAAACTTAAGGGGGAGATTGTTTTAGAACAATGTATAAAGAAAATCATAAACTACAACATTTAGCATTGAGAAGAATTGCTTTGTAGATAGGAATGAAGTGGCCCCTGAGAACAGGCCCTGATGGCATATGAGATTCCTCCTTTGCTGAAATAGCATATGATTGAATCTGTTGTGACTGTAAGGAGTACTGTCTTTTTTGCTGGATGCTAAAAGGAAGACAATATATAAACAAACATGTTAAATACATGCACAACTATGTTTGTTGTATGTGGCAGCTCACTAAGAAAATATCATCCAATTTCAACCTCATTAATTCCAGTGAATACTGTAGAATTGTATATGAACAAAACCAGAGAAAGACAGAATTTTAAAAACAGTTTCTTTAATGTTTCAGTGAAGGCAATCTAGCCACTAAGCAAGTTGTTTTCCTTCAGCGGCCAGCTATGGGGAACCCAGCTGTCCAGATACCTGAGGTAAGAATAACAATCTGAAATAATCCCTGCTTGCTCACTTAAAAACCACTCCTGTGTCTTGCCCATCATGTAAAGGGGCAAAGGGCTCATGTGGGAAAAGGCAGTGGTGGGATTCAATTTTTTTAACAACAGGTTCTGTGGGCGTGGCTTAGTTGGGGGTGTGGCTTGGCAATCATGTGACTGGGTGGGCGTGGCTAGCTGGTCACGTGACTGTGTAGGCGTGCCTAGCTCATCATGTGACCGGGTGGGCGTGGCTATGTGCATAGGGATTACTCAGAGGGCTGAAAAAAGTCATTTCTGACTGGGCCTCGCACTTTTGACCGGTCCTCACACTTATGACCATCCTCACATTTATGCCCGTGCAGCTTTCTTAACAACCATGTCACTCATTTCACAACTGCTTCTCTTCACCATGGTGACAAGATACGGCAAAAACGTAAAATGTGAGGACAGTCGTAAGTTCGAGGACTGGTCAAAAGTGCGAGGACCAGTCAAAAATAACTTTTTCAGCTCTCTGAGTAGTCCATATGCACAAAAGGACTACCCAGAGGGCTGAAAAAAGTGATTTCTGACAGGTCCTCGCACTTTTGACCGGTCTTCGCACTTATGACTGGTCATCATTTATGCCCATTGTAGCATTCTTAACAACCATGTCACTCATTTCACAACTGCTTCTCTTCACCATGGTGACAAGATAGGGCAAAAACGTAAAATGTGAGGACAGTCGTAAGTTCGAGGACTGGTCAAAAGTGTGAGGACCAGTCAGAAATAACTTTTTCAGCCCTCTGAGTAGTCCATATGCATAAAAGGATACAGCAATAGAGAGGGATGAAGGAAGGGAAGGGAAATTAGAGTAGGACTGCGGATAAGAGAGGGAGGAAGAGAGGAGGAGAAGGAGAAAGAAAGGAAGTAGGGAGGAGAAGAAGAGGGGGAGGAAGAGAAAGTAAGAAGGAAAGAAAAGAGAGAGGTGGTAGGTTTGAGGAGAAAGATTGCTGTACAATAAAAAAGATGAAAGGGAAGAAAGCCAACCCCAAACAAATATAAAGATATTAAGATAAAGAATGAATTGTTAAACTTTAAAGAATAAGAGAACAAATATGAATAAATAGCAATAATTAGAAACACACATACAAACATACAATGTATTTTCTTTGAACAGAGTATTTGGCCGGTTCACAAATTTAAACAGTGTTTAGTCATTTCAATTAAATTTACAATTTCTATATTTCCTTTTTGCCATATTTATTCCTCATCTATTTTTGTAAAAAACCAACATTACCCTTCATCCTCATCTCTAATCTTAATCAAATTCAATTTTTTCCTTCTATTCTATATTATACCCCTTCCCATTGTCATCTATTTTTATATCATTCTCACATTGGTTAATTATGTAATATTAGTTGTTTAATATAAATTCAACATTTTAATATAAATCAATTAGTTATATAACTACCTTTTTTGTATATTAATCAATATGAACATGAATATTCCAATTATTTCCATGCAATCCAATTTCTTACAAATCAATTAATTATATTTACCAATAATAATAAACCAAATAATTTCCCCCATATATTCCTCCAAACCACAACTTAACCATTTCTGCTTTCAGAAATATACAATTAATAGTATCTCAATTATTACAATTCCCTAGTTAAATAGAGCTTTTTTTTCTTTTGTGTTTTAAAATCTTTCCCTAAATTTCCCATTGTTTGCACCTACCTTTTTTGGTGAGGAAAAAGAAAAGAATTCTGCCTGCCTAATTTTCCAACGTTGCAGCAACAGCAAAGCAGTTTCAGTTTCGTGTTTCAGCAGAGCTAAGGGGAAAAAAATCTGCTCCAGGACTCTTTGCAAGGAAGAAGCAGAGCCCTGAGCAAAACAGCTGAGACAAATCAGCTGAGAGCCGGGAGGCCGATAGAATCAAGGGGCTAATTAGCCTATGCTGAAGCTCCGTGGGCCAATAAAATTACAAAAAAAACACCGAACCGTTTGTTAAATTGCTGGCTCGCCCACCCCTCGCCCACCACTATTTATTGGCAATAAATAGTGGTGCGGAGGGGCAGGGCAAGCCAGCAATTTAACAAACAGTTTGGCTGCACCACTGGCTATAGGGCGGCCCTTTGAAGCCCCGCGGCAAGAATTTGAACAGTTTTTTTCCCTCTAGCCATCAGCTGGGACTCCGGAGGCAGCAATAGATTGGGAGTGGGCGGGGTAAGCAAATGGCCGGCGATCCAACAGAGCAGAGAGTGAGGGTGAGTGAAGGCATGGAAGCTGCTTTCTCCATCCTGCTCTCTTGCGTCCGGAGCCGGTGGGGAACCACATGGCAGCCCATGTGGATCCCAGGCAGCGGAACTCAGGCTAGGGAAGGGGTGGGCAATTGTGGGTCTTTTACAACCTGTGGCCTTCAACTCCCAGAATTCCTGAGACAGCCAAGCTGTCTCAGGAATTCTGGAAGTTGAAGGCCACAGGTTGTAAAAGAGCCACAATTGCCTACCCCTGGCTACGGTAGGCTGGCACCGCGCGGGTGGGAGGAGGGGCGGGCGAGCCAGCAATTTAACAAACGGTTCGGTGTGTTGCGGAGCCAATAAATTACAAAAAAACACCGAACCATTTGTTAAATTGCTGGCTCGCTCGCCCCATTTATTGGGAATAAATAGTAGTGTGGAGGGGCGGGGCAAGGGGCGGGGTGAGCCAGCAATTTAACAAAGGGTTCAGCCGAACCCCCTAGAACCCCCAGAATCCCACCACTGGGAAAAGGGGATTCAGAGAATTCAGAGAGTTAATTGGCACAAGCAGAGAGGATGTGTAACTGTAGAGGTCAACTGTCTCCCTTGAATGTGTTTTCTTTCATTTTCTTCCTTGAGCTTGCTGCTATACAAAATGCGAGGTGTATATACTGTGTTACCCCGAAAATAAGACCCTGTCTTATATTTTTTTGAACCCTGAAATAAGTGCTTGGCCTTATTGCCATGGGCTCAAAAGCCCGATTGGGTTTATTATCAGGGGATGTCTTATTTTGGGGGAAACAGGGCATATATATTTATAAAATCTAACTTCCTCTTGTTTATCCTGCAAAACTATCTGAAGCTCTTAGGCATGCCCTGGGAGTCTGCAACACCTATAAGACAATATGTGAAAGAACTCCATTATTGCTGAAAACATTTCTTTTTTCCACACCATTATAAAGAGCGCATTGTGTAGAGTTATGCAATTACTAGGATGAGCTATGTGACAAATTGTTATCCATTTCCTTGTAAGATAAATAGAACATTGAAAATGAAAGATTCAGAATACTTTGCCAAAGTGATGTCCTTGGATGATCTTTTTGCCTGTTTCCTTATGCACACTGTCCATTATTCAGCTTTTTTAGCAGGATGTGGTGAAACTAATAACTGTTTTATTTCTGGCTTGCAGTTACGGTCTCTGTGTAGAGTTCCTAAGGGTCAAGAACTGATTAACATTTTTTTCTTACAAGGCATCTCGCTGCATATTCCTCTGTCCTCTGTACTGCCACATCCAATCCCACCCCCTTAAATCTTTTTGGAAGCCAAGTTGCCTATAGAATGAATATTGTATTTTGAGATTTGGCATTGTTAGTTTATCTCATGAAAAAAAAAAAGAATCAAAGGAAATAGCCACAAAGGACTGTTAATGATCAATTGTTTTCTTTGCTCATTTTCTCTTTTCTTCCCTAAAGCAGTCTTGGCAACAAGTTACTAAAAATGCCTAAAGTCTGAAAGTTTTTTTTTTAAAAAAAGGGGGTGGGGAGGAGGAAAATACAAGTTGATGACATGTTTTCATACTTAGTCTGGACACCAAAGAAACAGAAAACTGAATATGAGAAAGTTTAGCAGAATACATTTTTAAGAGGTTGCATTTTGCAAATGCAGGGCAAGCATGACTTAAATTCTTAGAGCCATTCATTCATTTCAGCAATCACTGATTAGTAGGAGATTAGTATTTCAGTTTCAGTTAGTAATACTAAATATACAAAATAGTGGCCTTTGGGAACTGTATCTTAAAAGGTAAAAGGGTAAAAAAAAAACTCTCCATCAGACTAGGAATCAAACATTTAAACTGAACAACATAAGTGTGTTCCTGTTTCAGTGCATCAAAATTTTAATTTATCGTTTTAGATTTAAATTGAGGGTACAATCATCAAAGTTGCTATTTTGCTCTTAAAAATATTCACGTATGTATATAATGATGCTGTTTAATTATAAATCACAGGTGTTGTGATATGCAATTCAAAGACATTTTCCAATTCAGACTTCACTTTATGCAAAAAAAAAGGGGTGTGTGTGATTTGCTAAAATAACTTGGAGTGAACAAGAATACTGTTTGAAAACCTTGTACAGCAGTAGCTCAGGAAGTAGCATGACCTAGCCAGTCTTGTCTTGGATCAGACCAGGGGTGAAATCCAGCAGGTTCTGACAGGTTCTGGAGAACCAGTAGTGGAAATTTTGAGCTGTTCAGAGAACCGGCAAATACCACCTCTGGCTGGCCCCCGAGTGGGTGGGAATGGGAATTTTGCAGTATCCTTCCCCTGGAGTGGGGTGGGAATGGAGATTTTGCAGTATCCTTCCCCTGCCATGCCCACCAAGCCAAGCCACGCCCACAGAACCAGTAGTAAAAAAAAATGGATTTCACCACTGGATCAGACCCTAAATAACATCAACCCTGATTTATACTTGAACGAGAGATTAGGGAATCCCAAGGCTGTATCCTAAACAGAGAAGTTGAAAAACATCTCACAAAAGCCTGTAGGGTTGGTAATAAAGTAGTATGGGCATGAAGTCAGTAGGAATCAAGTTCACTATGAAAGAACCTTTACACTGTATACTAACTCTGGAAGCTTAATTTAGAGTTTTATTTAAAAATCCTCCTAATAAGTTACCCCTTGGCAATTACTATTGTTAGGTCAAAATGAGAACAAGCGTTGTTTAATGTATACAAAACAGGACTAGGTTAAGGATCCAGTAGCACTTGGGTTTCTATACTGGAGTGCCAGATTTATAGCCTGTTGAATTAATGGTTGATTCCAACTACAGGATAGGAATGCGGTGCAGACACTGGCAGAATCCTCTCTTTTCAACATCTAAAATCTTTTCAATCTCCTGGGAACTTGGCAAGGCTCTGTGCTGGCTATACATAATTATGAAGACAGGGATAAGGAACTACATTTCATAATTGGATTTGGTTGTAGAAATACACAATAGATGTCAAAGCTTGCTTTGTAAAAACAGCCAGTGTGTGAAAAAAATCTAAATTCAACTTCCACCCAGCCATTCTAAAATCCCAGCTCATATTCAGAATGATCCCTGCCTATATCAACTATAAATTAAGTTCTTTTTTATTTCAGAAAAAAACTACTAAGCAATTTGGAGAAGAAAAGTTGAACATAAGAAGTGGAAAAATTGGATCAGACACAGCTACTTCTCAGCCTGTCCAGCACATGCAACCTACAGAGGAATTCCATATAGCACCTTCTCCAGAGTGTTGGCCCACGGATGAATCTGCCCAGTATGGAAGCTTCCCTGCATTCAAGAGCAGTGATGGCATGCTTAGAGAACTGGAGGAAGGACAGTTTGACCAAGAAGATGGAGTCACTCAGGTTACTTGTATGTGACCAGAAAATTACTAAGAGGAACCTATAGGTATTTTTAATGTAAAAATGTAATATTTTATTAATATGCATAGGCATATTTGTTTGTTTCCTCAGCCAAATAGGTATATGTTGGAGTCGTTTTTGCCAACTGCGTTGAGGAATCTATGGAACTATTTCTATTGCATTTATAGAATTATTAACTTGTACATTAGGTCAATTGTATTAGTATGTTACATTCCTAGAACAACGCTATAAACTGCTGGTGGCCCTCTTTGCAATCTTCCTGGCAACTGGAAAGGAAACGGCTATAGACAAGCTGTTGACTTTTGCCCTGTTGGAAAGCATAACCTTTTATACAGTGTGACAATATGATGCAATAATACTGCTATACCCTTATAAACATAATAAGGATTAAGAATAAATTAAAATGGTTTCTAAACAACCGTGTCATTACTGAGCTTTACTTTTACTCTCATTGTTTTTAAAATACTAAAATTCAAATGGTGATCATAAAACCTTTTGCTGAAATATCTGAGTTCTTTGTAACATGAGATTGTTGAGAAGTTGAAGAAATAAAGTTTTGCCCAAATGCCTTTAGATTCTGTCCTGGGAAGGCATGAGAGAGCTGTTCTGTAAAGCTAATTATTCATTTTAAATGTATTTTTTCATATCTGATTTCATTTTTAAAAAAGAATGTATTGCTTCAGTCTGGGGAAGGAAAAATGACCAGAGCAAGCAGAAAGGGAATTTAACTGCTGGTATTTTGTCTGTATGAATCCTCGCTTGAGGAATTTTCCTTAGAAATACACCAGGGAAGAAAACTATATGAGTTCTCTGTGCTCTGGACACAACCTATCAGCCCCTTTACCACTTAACATGATTTTCAATTTACTTCTGCTATTTTTATTATATTTGAATAAATGATAGCCTAATCAAGGAACTTTCTTCATTGAAAGCAGACCATGCATCCCTGTCCTGATATTAGATCTGAGAAAAATGGTCTCTATTTCCCATCTGCAATGGGGCCACTTTGAAAACAGGTGGACAAATTCCAGTCTTTCCTATACTCCTGGCCATCTGCTGCTGTAATCACCGAGTAGGAATTTGTCCGACATAGCCAGAGTCAGCTGCTCACTCCAGCATTAGACCATATTCTTTTTTTCAGCAAATGCTTACAGCTGACTTCCCAACTGTGTTAAATTAGGAGATTAAAACATTCCTGAGTGGACATATGCTTTAGGCAGAGTGCCACTATGCCAAACATTCATCTAAACCTCCACATGAACCTCAGCTGGCATGGTCAGAACGTTAAGGACCAAATGTTGCTTTAAAATATACTGATCCCTTTCTATCATCAAACTGCACAAGTACAGTAACAGTAACACAAGTGTTACAGTAACACAAGTCCAACATTAGGATTAGGATTGAAATGTTGCATGGCAATTACAAACTTGAAGGTAAAGCAGTTAAGACATTCCTATATACCAGAGCAACTGCTTATAAGTCTGTGAGGTTGTCCGAGCTTGTGGATTGGTCAGAAAATGAACCTTCACCCTCATCCTACACCTGAGGTACAGATATTCGCCACTATTATAAAGTCTGTTTCCAGGAGCATCTTCTTTTTACTGGAGAATCAGATAGTATCTTTATAAAAAAAATAACTCCTAAACCGATAACAATATATTGTTTTCATTATTCTAATCAGCAGATATTTTAAATAAAACTCCAACAATACAATCTTATTTATAATTTCTCAAAACTAAATCCCACTATGCTGAGGAGTTTTATTTCTAATACCTAGAAATATAGGCTCAATTGAGGACAATATCAAACCTTAAGGAGGAAAACATTGAGTTCTACTAGAAATATAGAAAGAAAACAAAAACTACAAAAGAACTTAGCAGCAAGTACTGCATCCATTGCAGGTGCATATTTCTCACTTCCTTAAAAGTCTGAAGAGAGGTGGTTTTGGCCTTGAGATAATAATTCTTAACTGCTGCCTTCAAGCAAGAGGAAGTGATCAAGATATCATCAGCTGGCACCCAACAACACTTCTGTTTGTTTTGGGATAGTTTCACCATGCTCGGCTTTAGAAGCCATTTTGTGAAAGCACATGCCCCTGCACAGCAAGTATTTTATGGTTCACCTATAATGTATGCTGTATTTTAAATTCCAAAAGTTCTTCTCAAAAGTAGTCAACCATTGCCTTAAATCTTCTCCAATTGGAAACAGCTCAGCTATCTGTTAAGGGAAGACTTGGGCTATCCAGAATCAGAAATGGGATTCACTATGAGGTTAAAATTATTTTGAAACAATTACCACCTAAAGATCACACTATCCTTTAAGTCTACAATGGCATAATTATAGCACTAGGTTTCAATCATTCTGGGTATTTACAGTATTTATTTAGTTGTATTTGATTTCCATATGCGCCCATCAAAATGAATGATTTTGGGAGGCCTATATCATAAAACGTAATTTTTTAAAAAACCAATACAAAATAAAGATACATGGTTGCTGAGTAGAACTATTATCATGGCGATAATACTTCCAAGAAATGGGCCCCCTAACTCACTTGAAGTTCCAGACCCAGGCACACAACCAAGTCTTCATGGCCTTACAAAAAGGGTCGGAGTAATTCTGATCTGTGAAGGGAGGATGAGGTCATCAGCCGCCTGGGAAAGCCAAGGGAAATCTTCAAAACCATTATAAAGCTAAAGTTAGAATTTTTGGGACATGTGATGCCACACCTGGAAAAATACGGCATACTTCACTTAATTCTCCAAGGAAAGATTGAAGGCAAATGAGGTCCAGGCAGAAGAACACTATGGCTTCAAAATCTAAGGAACTGGTTTGGACAAAACTCAGCAGCACTTTTTTGTGTTGTACTGATAAAAATAGGATCACCAACATGATCACCAACATCCGATGACGGATATGGCACAAGGAGGAGGGAAAATATTCTAGAAAGCAGGGACTACAGCAGAGAAGGCATGTCTCCTGGTCTCCATCATCTGACATTCCTTAGCTAACGAGACCTGTAACAGACCCAACCTACCAGAACAAATTGGACTGGTAAAAACAATTAACAGAAGACTGTCCCTTAAGTAACCCATCCCTAAGCCATAAAGAACTTTAAAAATGATGTGGAATGTAGGAGGGATGCAGCCCAAAGAGGCAGCAAAGCATGGACTCTGGTCAGAAGAGGGAAAAAGTTGTCTATAGTAATGCAAGTGTTGCTTTAGTTTAGCAAGACTTCTGTCTATATGTGAGGAACAATAAAGGAAACTACTCAGAAGTAACATGTCTTTCTTGGGTTTTTTGGGGGGTGGGTGGGGTGGGGGGCTAACAGATTACCAGCACCTTGAATTTCACCCAGAAGCCAATACTGCTCATATAGCAATGATTTAAAAACTGGTCAAAATCAATACTCACTTTTCTTCAATACCGTATCCATATAAAAAGGTGCTTTATAGCTTTATTTTTAAAATGCTGTCTGATAGCCAGATGAATCATGTTCCCTCTTACAAGTATTCTCTTTCACCTCATAAAGTATTGCTACAAGTTGAATGTAATAAAAATTAGCAATGTTCTTCTTTAGGGATCCACTGATCTTCAAGCCTTTTAAGTAGCTTCAATAAAACTTGTTCATAAACATGTTCTGCACATACCGAAACATCTTACCTCTTTGACTGTAGTAGCAAATTCCAGAACAGAAATATTGGAAATATTAACTACCTATTAATATTTATATTAGTGTGAATCAAGAGGGTTATTCATTGACTTAATAAGTTATACTAGCAATGAAAGTTATAACTTGTTCTGCTCTTTAGATTGTCTTAGGTTATTAAATCACATGTGCCCTTAGGCTCATTTAGCTCCATGGAAAATTATAGTGGGTCTTATGCATTGCTTCAGTGACATAGAAACCATATTTTGCATTCTTGAATCATCTTCAATATTCACAATTCAGAGTTGGTATTACTCAAACTGATCTTAATACTCCAGTGTAAATGTTTTTGTTTCAGAAATGTATTTTCTTTGCTTTCAAAAGACTTAACATGCTTTCAGCTTAAAGTTTGCTAAACGTTTCACCCAGCTATTAAGATATCACTCTCATGTGTTACAGAGCATAGGACTTAAGTGTGGAGCACCATATTTTTTTGACATCTGAATGCTCTTAACAAAGGTAACCATCATTTTGCAGCCCAATTTTTTTTGGAAAAAGAAAATTTTTAATTGCAACCTCTACTTTTTACAAAGTATTTCAAAAGACAAACATAGCTCAGTTTCCCTATAATGCAGAATGTAAGTTAAACCCTCAATATATTTAGCATACAAATTCAATAGTTCACTTAAGCTTAATGAAGTTCTATAGTATCAGGCAGGCACATGTGCACACACATTAGAGGTACTCAAGTCAACAGCATTAAGAAACTTAATGTAATTGTAGGCCATTTACAGAACTTTGATTATAGTGCAGACAAATCAGATTTATTAAGAGCAAAATCAGTTTTTCCCCCCAAAGGCATGTATTGGAAGAGGGAGACATGTTATGATTTTATTGCAGCCTCAAAATTAATGCTTACTGACATTTGTCTGTTAACTAGGGGAGGCTACATTCAAATAGAGAATGCCAGCTGCATCTTGTAACCCCTGAAACGTAACTCCTCAACCACATTCTCTAACCAAATTACACATGGGTATAATTGCTGTTGCTAAGAACCATCTGATGTGATGACCCTGTTGACCATTAAAACCATTCCAAAATAGATAATAAAAGCAGTTGAAGAAGCCAAATCTGTCAGTCCAGTGAAGAACTTTCAACTTCCAAGAATATTCCTCTAGCACAGTCTCACTCAAAGTGTCTATCATCTGCTATGAAGTATCCAAATATCTTTTAAAAAGATTTTCTTTCTATTAGAGCAGCAATCTTGATACTCTATGGGACCAATTCATAATATCTTATATGCAATTAAGGCAAGAACATTATGTGCTCTGAAACCAAGTTACGAATAGTAGGAAATAAACTAGTTTGACCACATAAGGGCCAAACAAACCTATTTCAACAAATAAAGGGACATCTTTGATAAGAATGAATCAGCCTTCAATTCCCAAAAGTTAAAACATCATACCAAACTTGACTGAACAGTGCTAGTGCTTTTAGATTTCTGTATTCATGTACATCCAATGTATAGAAGCCTATTATAATTGTCTTTTAAAAATATTTAGCTCTACAGCACTCAAAATAGTTTAAACTCCATTAAATTCTTACTGAACTTTAGTGCTAATGCACATCTTAAGATGCTACGTAAAGAACATACAGTTGGATTGGGGGACATAATTGTGGAATTCATTGACCAGCATACAAAATATTCAGATAATATTCGGGCAATATTTGGATCAATAAAAACAACCTGCAAATGATGGATAAAACTTTTCCAAGTACATGGGACTCGTCCTACAAATGAGTAAGATTATTTTGGCACAATCTGCTGTAGTGTTAACATAAATGTTTAATGCGAGGTATAGTCTGTAAGCAATTACTATAAATATGCACAAGTATAAGCCACAGAGAACTTTACTGTAGGCCAGGAGAAAGCACACACTGTTTCATCCACTGGCGAGAAGTTCAGCTAGGGAATCTTTGCCTTAAAGGGATTGGACATATAACTATTTATGGATATGCAGAAGCCTCCATTGATACAGCAAGGCAAGTCCAGAAAGAAACCAAAAGTTCTAGAATATACTTTAGGCAGCATAATAAAAGCTATCATTTGGTATTAATACTGCAGTAACAAATATTTCAATACACATGTACTGTAACAGGTTAGTTCTATATATGCATACAGCCAAAAGCAAAACTAAATAAGGATCATTTCCATAAAATACAAAAGTTAGAAAGAAATGAAATGGACTTGCAAGCTTCTGAAGTGTCAAACTAAGGCTAAATTCCAACTTCATTAGAATGAAAAGCTCAGGTTTAAACTGGACATTGTTTGAAGACTAAGATCCAATGATTGTTTAGCAGCAATTTTACAGAACTGTAAATTCATTTATTAACAGGCAGTATAAACAGATAATTCTAATTTTATTTAAAAACCATGAGTGCCACATTGAATATACAGCTCATGAATAACTTAAAACCATATCCCATATTAAGAGGCAACGCACACAGCATACAAAAAGTATACTAAACAACGCTCTAAGGATACATGATTGAAATTTCTAAAATTATATATACAGTACACAATGTTAATTATGTGTTCATTTCAGTCCCCGAAACTCCTCATGCCTCACTTTCACCAGAAACTGAATTCTGCACTTCCTCTTCTAAAATTGGTACGATCAGGTTATCCTTGGACATCAAGTTATATTTCATCACAAATTTGGTAAACCGATGACATAAGAAAGTCTCATTCTGAGGACAGAAAAAATGTACATGTTAATACACATTAGAAAAGTACATGTTAATACAGATTAAAATTACTCAGGGACAAAAATTCCTTCATGGGGAGCACTATGTTGGGTGGGGGGATGTAGAATACAATTTGTATTGTATTCTGAAGCTTTCCAGGATGTAAGATAAAGCTACTTTTAAGATTTTTTTCCAACTAAAAAAGAAGGAACCACCTGATAAATGACAGAATGTGGAAATGTCTTCTTACAATGCTTCTAACACTATCTTTCACAAAACATCAGCACCCTTAAAACATGAAGAGATAGTCCCAAGACCCCAATTTTTAAATGGATTTTGTATCCATTCAATTTCACTAACCAAATACAATCCACTGTGCATGAATGTTAACATCCACACACATAGTTATCACAGTATACGTTTTCAGGATAAACAATGTTAGAGAAACCACAAGAAGAACCAAAGATATTAAAAGCACAAGAGGAGAAAACTTACACCAAATCCATTCATTCCTTTCTACCCTTGATTCCATGATATCCATACACATTTTATTTAAAATTTTCAGTGATTCAACTTAAATGCTCTCTAAATACATAATTGAGTGCTCATCTTAGTATTCAATCTACGTTCATTTTCTAAACTCTCTTTTCAGCCACATATTCTTCTCATGTACTCCTTTCCTACTAAATTAATTTTATGTTTTTCCTGACATATCTAACTCTCACTTCCATTGAACAAAAAGGACAAAAATACATTTTAGCCACTTCTGTTTGTTTGTTTCATTCTTTCATGTCTCTGGGCAAACTACACATTGCTATCTTTTTACCATTATTTGCAACCCATCAGTACCACAAACATTCTTTGTACATTTACCATACATAAGCAGCCAAGACCACATACCTATATTCATTCAATACACTCTGCTATTGACCTATTTGTTTAATGTCCCATTAAAGAGAATCAATCAAAAATTTACAGAAAAGTATTAGTTTTTAAGATGAAAGTACTTTCAGGTTTTACAATCCTTTCTTCCACAATTTTTGTGAAAATGCTTTTACAGGATATCAGATGATCAAAATAAACTAAATGCATAAGGTTTTGATAAAGAAACTGCAAGACACACTGACTTTCCCTAGAGTTAATATTCAAATCCCATATCCAGAGAACATTTTGAAACCATAATTATACATTAATTAATGTCATAAAAACAATAGCAACATTCAGTAGGCATGCACTCTAAACAACCATTCCAAAGATACCAATATAAAAAATAGCAGACCAATAAAGCTATTCCACCATTACAATTTCTGGTACTAAAGTAAGAGCACAACCTAAAGGTTTACCCAGAAATAAAATCCATGTATTCAGTTGTCCCAGTTAAATGCATTTAAAATTGCCATCCCAAACATTTACAACCCAATCCAATATGCATCTATTCAGAAGTTAAGCTTCATATAGTTTAATAGAGCATATTCTAGAACACATAGCTAGAGGGCAATACTCTTTGTAATAAAGCACTTACTTCATATTCATCAAATATTTGACGATGATGAAAATATGCATGTGAAAATATTCTGTAAATCCTACGGCAAACTGATCCTAGTTTGGCTACAGATGATTCCTTTATACTAACCCTGCAAAAACAAGATTTTTTTGTTGCATTAAATATTCCCCTAATCCTCAATTGACAATACATGAAATTAATACTGAAATAAGGTTTCTATAATTCTGAGAAAATATTTACCTGCTGGGGAAATATTTATTGCTATTCAGAAGACATGCAGCACCATCCAGTGTATGTCTAGTGTAGTCAATGGCAGGACACTAGAAAAAAATAAATGAAAGTACTGCATTTACTATATATATAACATTTTAATACTTTCAAATAATCTAAAATCAATTTATGAAAAAAAAATCATCCTTTCCAAATTCCATTCTTCACACAGCTATGAAATTCACTGGGCGATATTACTATTATAGGGAAAAATGAGGAATTGCCTTGTGCTCTTCAGTTGAGATAAGAATGAGAACAAAATAAATAACAATGAATGCCAAATTATGATTTGAATTGTGTATTTTTTATAAAATTTAATGTGGAGTTACATCATAAGGAAAAGCCAATGCCCTCTGCAATTACTCACTTGCAAGCATATAGCAATAGCACTTTAGACTTCTTGTGGTCCGCCAGCAGCCTGAGGAGCTGGCAGCAGAGTCGGACAGTGAGGAGGGTGGGGAGGAACAATTGCCAGTCCTGGAGTCTGGGGAAGGCTTGGACAAGGGCTCTGCGTCGGAGGCAGAGAAAGGGCCATCTGGGAGGTACATGCTGCCTCCGGAGCCTCCAGAGTCAGACCTCAGCGAGGCAGAGGAACAGGGGGAGCCTGTTCCCAGTGTGTGCATGCGCAGAGCTGCCAGAAGGCAAGAACAGCTAAAACAAAAGGGACAACTTGGGAGTAGGGCTGGGAGATGATTGGTCCCTCCCATAAGACTTAAAAGAGGAGGAAGCAACATTTGTTCATTCAGTTCAGCTTAAAGCCTGAAGCTCTGTTTGATTCTGGACTCCGTGTGACTTTGCCAATTAGGTCTTTGGCAGAGTGTCAAGGGAGATAAGGATGGGTGATTATACCGAAGGACTTCTCCTGAAGGACTCTTTATAACTAATTGGGACTCATCTGTGAATGAACAGAATTCACAGCTGTTGCAATGAGGTTTTTGGGACTACTCGTGTGTTTTAATGACTCAGAAAGGCTAGGACAGAACAAAACTTATATACTGCTTCACGGTGCTTTACAGCCCGCTCTAAAGAGTTTACAGAGTCAGCATATTGCCCCCAACAATTTGGGTCCTCATTTTACCAATTACTGATACAAGTGGGGTGGGGTGGGGCTTATGCATGGAAGATCATCAGAAATTAGAAGAATGCCACTAATAACTAGAGAATAGCAACTTATCTACACTTCTGTAGATGAACAGAAGTGTAAAATTTTGTTTCTGAACATACAGTATAGGAAAATAACATTTGCAGCACAGTAACACAATTAGTAAAACATCTTTAATTATTACAGTTCCCATTTTCTGTCTTACCTCTTTGGGAGTTTTATGGGCTGCACAAAGAAAAATCCATTGTTCAGTTGCTGTCATCTGTGTGCATGTGTCTGGGTGGCATTCACTCTATTAAAATAGTTGCACAATAAATACTTGTTGAGCCTATGTGAAAAATACATTTTGTGCAGATAATGTTCTTCCTATCTGATCATTATATATAGCTAAAAAACAAAATGTTAAAAAAGTGTTCTGTTTTAACTAATTTTTAAAAAGACTCTTAAGTGCCTAAAGAAAAATGAAAAAAAGTTACCTGAAGTTTAACTGCAAGACCATTTAGCTCCAAACAGAATTGCCTAAAATATTTAGGAAAAAAAAGTTAGATCATCACCCTTTTTTCTCTTATTTGATATAATTATAAGCCTAGGAAATACCACAAACATTGTAAAATGCTGTTAATTGTTACCTTTGGAAAGAAGCATGAAAAAATATCTTAAGTGTTATTTATATTCCTGTCAAAAGACAAGCGTTAAATATTTAAGATTTTCTAAAATTTTAATAAAAACAATACTACCATGTTTCTACAAAAATAAGACCTCGTCTTATATTTTTTTTGAACCCTGAAATAAGTGCTTGGCCTTATTGCCATGCGCTGAAAAGCCCGATTGAGCTTATTATTAGGGGATGTCTTATTTTGGAGGAAACAGGGTATTTAGTAAATTTGACAAAAATTTCTTCTATAGCAAAATTAGGTTACGCAGAGTTGACCAAAGCCAATAGCCTCTATAAAGAAGATGGATTATTCAGATGACCTGCCTAGATCTTTGATGGCTGATAGAGGGCAATACTGTGGAATACTTATATGGCCTCTAGAAAATATGTTATCCATCAGTTTGGGGCAAGGTTCAGTGAGTATATTTCTACCTCAGGCTGAGTGGGGAACATGGTAGAATATGAAGTTGAAAACATGCCACTTTGTATACCCACACTATTTTATTATAGCCACAAGACCCAGAGTAAAAAAGAATACATTTTAAAATACACGATAAACTATATTAACAGATAAACTATATTAACAAATATTTAAACAATCTGAAAATTATCTTTTGACACAGAGCCAATGAGGTAAACTACATTTGTAATGTTAAACTACATTATTATATTATAGTAAATTTGAATAGGTCAGTTATAGCAGGGATGAAAAAATGCATAGTTCATCCACCTCTAATAACCTACAGAGCTGTTTGTGTGTGGGGAAAACAGGCCAGGATTTTGGGGAGGGAGGGGGGGAGGAGAGAATCTCTTGTAAATATGCATCCCACTCAAATCCCATGCCCACATGATTAAAAGAATAAGATTAAGTAAATGAATAAGGCATTTTAAAAGGATGTATCTTTGCCATTTCTACTTAACATATGTCCCTTTCCTTAAACATCTCATCACTAGAATCTCAGAAGCAATTAGCAATTTTCTTAATGAGAAAGTATTGCTATTTTCAGTCCTTTTTGTTTACTTAGATTGCAAATGGTGCAAATGAACACAATTTTCTTAAGAACAAACTTTTTTTAAAAGAGCAATTTACCTTAAATGTTGCAATTACCTTAAATGTTCATATTTCCAAACACCTTCGTCCTGTCCTTCTGGAGGTTCAAGAATTTTATCAATATTTGAACAGTCTGCCCTTATATTTTGTTGGATATACTAGAGAGGGAAATGTTTAAAATATACGTATTATGAATCACAGCATTAATAACCGTATATTGTATATGTGTGAAGCTAGCAAAATTTATATTGAACACTTCCCAACTAACCTTTTTACCTGCTCTGCTAATTCCTGTTCTCATTGTTTTGCATCTATGTTCCAACACAGATAACTTACTAAATGTACAATTTACTTTGACTAAAACTGTCAGTCCTGTAGCTGAACTTATTAATTACAGGGCAAAACAATAAAACAACAGGCAGCTCAGTAAGCATGCAACATTTATGTATTTCTAGTGTAAAAATGATATAATAAGCACTAAACAGCAAAGCTGGTAAAACTACACCATTAATACAATCTAGTCCATTATAAATCCATAACTATCAAAAAGTAAATGAATAGAATACCAAGATATAGTTGAATACCTGTTGAACTGCCAATGTGCTATCCATCTCTTCAAATGATTCATCAGGCCAATTATAAAAATCCTAAAAACAAAAACAAGAAAGACTGACGCACAACAAAATCAAATCTTAAAAATACTCAAGTTTATAACAGCACTTGGTTTGCCTTTTAAAAGAACAAATCGCCTTCTAGTCTGTATAATTTCATGTTTTTTGTTACCTATCTCACTGAATTTTGTTCTAATACCAGAAATATCTAGCAGTACTATGAGTGCTTTTATGAAACAAAACCTCTTTAGAAGGACATCCCCAATCCTACCATCTCTTTTATATATTTCTATTACTAGCCACTCTATACAATGCAAATAGTTAAATTTGGGGTCTAAATATGATAAATACAGCAATAAACAATACATACCCGAATCAGTACAATGTATGAGTTAGAAAATTACAGTAGTGCAGTCCTACAAGTTTAACACTACAAAGATGCAGAATTTCTTGCATCTTACAATTGTTATTAAAGCAATTAAGCTACTAGACTCCATGTAGCATTAATGAAATATTAAGGGAGGTGCTGAGAAATAATAAAAAGGCCCAGACATCTTTGCCTATTACCAAAATGTATTTAAGAGTTTTGCCAACTTAAAAAAAAATAGCATACTTTTATTATAGTAGTATAAGTAACTCAAGGTGATGAAAGTATCAATTCCTTTCTCCTCCTATTTTTCCCATAATAGCCTTGTGAATTGGGTTGGGCTGAAAGAGAGTGCGCAACTGGCCCAAAGTCACCCAACTGGCTTTCATACCTAAGGTGGGACTAGAACTAGTCTCCTGGTTTCTAGGTCAGCACCTACATCAAACTGGTTGTCAATTTACCAACTCTCAGTTGTACACCATCCTATGCAAATTTAAGGTGAGGTAAATAACCAATGAACTGATATAGCACGATATATATTATTAAAATTATTAAAATGTAATACAAAGATAGGAAGAATAGCAAAATATTTTTTTCTATAACACCCATGTAAGACTATGTAAGGAGTCACTGCTATTCATGTGGACAGAAAGTTGGGCAATAGAAAGGCATTTTTCTATTACATGTGGACATTTTAGCTGTGTGTGTGTTAAATGCTTCTGAAATAAAATTTAATAGCAATAGGGCTTAAATGTAATCACTGTATTGGTTAATCTAAACAATTTACTGCACTGCATTTTGGGATGCATTAGAGACATTTTCAAGAAAAAATATCAAGCTGTTTTACAATTAAAATTATATATGAATATATTTCACAAATACATTATATGCACTCTAACAACCCATGGCATTTTACATAGGTTTTATCAGATTTCCCCAAGCTATTTTGTGAGGATAACCCTAACAATCTTGGTTACTAAAAATTATAAATCCATAAATTTAATAGGAACAGACAAGAAAAGCCAAATTATCAGAGCCAATCTACCATCATGTTTCCATTTAGAGAATATTATACAGGCTGCAGGAAATAAATGGGAAAATAACCAACTTTTTGCCTCATTATCTGTTTTTGCTTTACAATATCTGAAAAATCACCTTAAAATATTACATGCTAATTTATACATGTTCTCCAACTGTTTTGTATTAATAGAGGCTAAGACTAATAGACTGAAAATAAAAACTAAGATCTTCCAGAGATGCACTATACAAATTCCATGTAAGGTGAATATATACATACAAACACACATATTTTATATTAGTTTCAAAGAGAAAAATCAGAGATATCACTAAGTATTATTTTTTTAAAAATTCTAAGTGCTTCAAGATGACTATTTCAACTTCGATTATAGAATATAATCAAAGACTAATCACTGTAGAGCAGGGGTGTCAAACTTGATTTGAGGGCCATATCAGGATTGTGTTTGACCTTGGGGGAGGCAGGTGTGGGTGGGCGGGGTGGGCATGGCCAGCTCAACATCACTAGTGTCGGGGGGGCGCCTTTGGTGGCCCAAATGCTCTGCCAGCAAAAATGGGTTCCCAAGCTCCATTTCCAGCTGCGATGGCCTCCTGCAACCCGCTGCCAGGGAAAACGGAGCCCCAGAGTGCAGCCCACTCTAACTCTATTTTTGCTGGCAGAGGCACTGCGGACTGGTCCTTTGCTGTTTCCAGGGCGCCCCCACTCCCGGGCCAGATCTAAGCACCCTGTGGGCCGGATCCAGCCCCAGGGCCTTGAGTTTGACACCCCTGGTGTAGAAATCTTATTGTGAACTTTATATACTAATGTGCCCCTCTGATGTCTACAGAATAGCTTGAAAACCATTTTGTTGAATCTTGTTTCTAATATAAAATAAACTCCTATTATTTCTGTCTACCAAATAAGGTATTTTACTATATAGAACGCTTCCAAGCACAGAATTACAGTATCATCTTCTCAGTATCTTTCATAGTAGAAAAACTCGTTTGATAGTAAAAGAGGAGCTTGAGTGACATACATATTCTATTCATTATAAACTAGTCTCAAGAAAGCAAGATGGCACCAGATGTATAGAAATCTAGCACACGCAACTACAGGTAGTCCTCAACTTATGATCATAATCGAGTCGAAAATTTCTGTTGCTAAGCAACAGTTGTTACGTGAGTTTCACCCCATTTTACAATATTTCTTGCTTGCCATAGTTGTTAATAAAACCGTCATTAAGTGAATCTGGCTTCCCAGTTGACTTTGCTTGCCGGAAGGTTGCAAAAGGTGATCACATGACCCCCTGGACACTGCAACCATCATAACTGAGTCAGTTGCCAAGCATCTGAATTTTGATCATGGAGATTCTGCAACAATCGTAAGTGTGAAAAATGGTCATGTCGCTTTTTTCAGTGCCTTCTAACTTCGGTCACTAAAAGAACTGTTATAAGTCTAGGACTACCTGTACACAATTAGTATACAAATGTTCTATCAGAAGTGGACACCTTAGGTCTGTGATGGCGAACCTGTGGCACGCGGAGCTGTATCTGTGGGCACGTGAGCGTTGCCCTACTTAGCTCCAGTGCGCATATGTGCACCGGCCAGCTAATTTTCGGGCCTTCTGGGCCTGCCTGAAGTCGGGAAATGGGCTGTTTCCAGCCTCTGAGGGCCTCCAGGGTGGGGAAGGGAAGGCCATTTTTGCCCTCCCAGGGCTCCAAGAAAGCCTCTGGAGCCTGGGGAGGGTGGAAAATGGGCTAGCGCGGGGGGGGGGGTGTCAGGTGCACATGTGCCAGGGGTGGGGCAAATTGAATGGTGGGTATGGGCACATGCATGCGCGACCCCACCCCCCGCATGATCCTCACTTTTGGCATGCGACAGCAAAAAGGTTAGCCATCACTGCCTTAGGTCCTTCAGAGAGTTTGGAATTTCTAGTTCTAGGCAGCAAAAAGTCAGCTTCTGAGAGCTACAGTTCCAAATGTTAATCAAGTTCATTACATCTGCAGTAAACAAGCTGCCACTGGAAGAAGGCAGGAGAGGACCAAGAGAAATCAAGTAAACCTACAGACTGCACCTAAAAACCCTTTCAAGTTTTCAATAAAAATTCTAAAGCTTCCAAAACAGAAATTTGAAGAACACCTTCCAAAAAGGGAGAATCAAACAACTTATAACAATAACAATCGGCTATGATAGCATTGAATTATTGGAGAAAAGGCTTGTTGGTATCAGCATCGGGCAAAAACAAGCCCTTCCCAGCCTCGGCAATCCCAAAAGCACTAATTCTGGACAGGAAAGGACAAACGATTTCCAATACCGCCCATTTCTTCTGTGGGAAGATAGGAGGAACACGTTGTTTCAGAAGCACTTTGGCACCATAACACACCCTGTAACATTCATCCACACCCAGGTTACAAGCCCACTTTGTGCAGTCGACTTCCGTCTTTCCCTGCTTTAGTCACGGCTCCGGCCTTTCCCTTACACCTTCCTCCTCCTCCTCCCCAAATAGCCCCCGCCGTTTTCCCTACAGACCCACCCGTGTTCTACTCTCTTCCCGCTTCTTCGGGGGAGGAGGAGGAGGGGGGGGCGCCCGCCACCCTGACCTTGTTTCCAAGGCTTTTCTTCTCACGTTTTTCAACCTTCTAGTTTCTAATTCCAGAGTGAAATCTCTTTTTGGCGGTTGATGCAGGGAGGGAGGGAGGGAGGGAGAAGGAATTATAAAAGACCCGAATCCTTGCCCTCTTGTTGGTTACAGCGCCCTCCCCCAAGGGCTTCGGGCCCAGTGACTAGTTTCTAACCCCGGAGACAGAGAGAGGGTTGTCAGTCCCGTCCCTCCCACACATACACACCTGCGGGGACGCCGCATTGACTAACCTTTTCTCGCCCCGCCTTCCGTTCCCACACCGGGCCCTGCTAGCCATGGCGGGGAGTGCCCCTTTTTGCCCTAGCTATCTCCCAGCGGCGGACACCCCGCCCCCGCCGCCCTCCTGGTCCAGAGCAAGCAGAACGGCCGTCTTCCTGGGAGGGAGGACCGGGTGGGGTGGGGGCTACAAGTAGGCCTCCGCCACCAGCAGCTGTTTCCCCCCCCCCACCGTCCCGCGGCAATACCCGGCCCGTCTCCTCGCCGCAGCCGCGGTCCCCCACGCCCCTGCCCCTAAGCGTTCCCAGGCCTTGCGGGAGAACGACGGGCTTACCTGGGCCTTGGTGCCCGGCCTGTTCCGCCTTAGCACAGCCGTCCCCTCCGCCATGACCATAGTGACAGCGAGCGGCGCCAGGACCCGGATGCGGCGGCGGCAGCAGCAGCTACCCAACAGGCGGGGAGGGGAAAAAAAAAAAGAGGCGGAAGACGCGCGGAAAGACGCGAGACGACGACGAGGCCGACTTCCCCCGAGGGGCGGGGAAGGAGTAGAGGGGCAGAGGAGCCCGCGGGGATTCGGAGAACTACGTAGCGCCCTACATCAGAGGGGCGGGGCTAAGGAGGGAACTTGGTGTGGGACTGATAGAGCGGGTGCTGCGGAGAAAACAGCGCCCTCCAGCTCGGGAGGAGACAAAGTTCAGCGGAATAAGTCAAGGGAGGAGGAGGAGGAGGAGGAGGAGGAGGAGGAGCCGAATGCGTGACGCAAACGACACCGGAAGGGGCGGGGAAAGCCGAACTGAAAGGCGAGGAGGAAGCAGGGAAGGAGCGCATGCGTTGAGAGCTTGTCGGGGCGGGAGGAGTTTTTGAAGGCTTCCCGAAAAGAGGGCGGGGCGTCTCCTGTGGCAGATCTTTCGGGCGGCCGTCTGGCGCCTCCGGACCCTTCTGTCGTTATGCGCGCGCGGCTCCTTGAAGCTGGGGAAATTCGCACGCGTCAGGGGTCTCTTACTCGGCTAGCAGCCGCAGAAAAAAGACGCCCCTGATCAGACTGCTGCTCTCTTCGCTACTCTCCGGACGGCCCGTTTATCGACCGGAGATGCGGAGCGCTGAGCCCTTCTCCCTCTCAGGGGGAGGCCGCTCCCCATTCGTTTGGTGTTTTGAACGGAGAGCGACCTAGTGCGCGAATAGTAAACCCTTATACAGATGTTCATTTATTGTTACTTCTGTATGACAATGAGGAGTTCAGAAAAGCTCGCGCCAAGTTAACCGACGTTGCCCCGAAAGAGGAGAGAGCCGGGTGAAGTGCTCGGGGGCAGCTGTTCCACAGGTGGGGCTCGCCAAGAAAGCCTGGCTGCGGATTCCCTGTAGATGGCATCCCTTCAGAGGCTGATGGGCCATTTGCGAGCCGCAGGCAAATCTGGAGGGGGGACCTCGCTCTCCACTCACCCAGCAGTTTGTCCAGTGTGGGCCTTCCTTGATTGAGAAGATGCGCTGGGAGGACAAATGAGCTTGGTCTATACAGAGCAGCTCTGGAAGGGCTTTAGCACCCATCTTCTCCCTCATACAACAGGTCCTCCCTATCAGCTGGCAGGCAGCTACTCCTAATCTTGCTGAATGTCACCTCCAATTTTATTAAATTTATATGCTGCCAACCTCACTAATTTGGAGATGTGGTAGCCATTAATGAATGGCAGGGGTATTGCTGAAGCAAGATATTTGCAATTTCAAGCATATGGCAATTATAAGGTTTTTTTTTTTTTTAAATGCTTTTGGGTACATCTGGAATGTAAATACTTCACTACTGTACTAAATTTCCTGGGAAATTGAACTAGAACTAAGGTAATCAAAGAATTAAACCCTTACATTTTTCACAAGGATAGTTGGGTGCAGTGAATTTTCTATTTCGGCTGTTAAGAAAATATGAACATTGATTTGCATTAAGAAAACCGTTGTAAACACGTAAGAATTAGAACCAAAATAAGTGTAATTTTAATCAGGGCTTTAATTTTAAGTGACTTGTATATTTTTTTATTTTTTTTTCAGGGAGAAAATGTAGTTTCAGGAGGAAGAGAGAATAGGGAAGTTATTTGTTTCAACTACTTTTGTGGAGGAAGAGAATGCAGAATCTGGTTTCCATCACAAGCCTTGGAAAACTATCTTCGTGGTTCAAGCCATGTTATTCCTTGTGAATGAAAGGTGTGTTCATTACGTTAGATCACTCAATGATAGGACTAAGCTATCTGAGGGACTCCCTATCACCAGGCATTTCTACCCATCTGGTACATTCAGGCAGAATAGCTGTGCTTCATGTTCCCTCAAACATGGTCCTATTGTGGATGCCTTCCCTGTTGCTATCATTGTACTCCGGAATAGGATTCCCCCCCCCCCCCGCATGATATGAATGCCCATTCTTCTGGTGTTCCAGAAGACCTTTAAGATCTGGCTCCCTCCCAGGCCCTAGATGGAGCTGGGTATTTGTGAGGCTCCTATGGCCGTGGTGGCATGCAGGTGGCATGGAGAGCCCTCTGTGGGCACACGAGCTGTAGTCCCAGCTCAGCTCCGCCGCACATGCACCTCTTGCCGGCCAGCTGGTCTTCAGGTCTCTGCTGCACATGGACGGGGGCGCATGCGGGAGATTTGCACGCACACACAGGGGTTGTGTGCGCATGCACATTGCATTATGGGTGTGTACGTGTTTTCAGTACTCGGTGCAGAAAAGGTTAACCATCCTTATCCTATGGTAACGTGTGTTTATTATGATAGTTTTTAATCTGGACCAACATTTTCTTTCATGCTTTTAACTATTCTAATTGTTTCTGTATAAGATGCCTAAAGCCTTTTGGGAATAGGTCATAATAAATTTAATAAATAATTGTAACAAGTGCTAAAGCAGCACCATAATGAACACATTAGCAAGAAATATTTTCACTATACAGATAAGTTTTATTTCAAGGTCACAATATCATTTGAGAAATGTTGCATTTATTAAGAAAATAATTATTTACATGATGGAGCAAAAGCATTTGAGCACTTTTTGTGGAATGACAACTTCATGATAATGCCATAGTATGAACTTCTCAGTCAAGATATTTTCCAAGAATATCACCATCTCTAAATATGAAATAGTCCTGCAAATAGAGAATATAAATTAGCATTTACCAAAGACAAAAAGTTACTAGTTCAGAAGTCAAGGCAATTAAGTTGTTCTAGCAGAGATGGATTTACGAGCACAAAGTGATTAGTGCTCTGCAAGTAGTGAGGCAAGGACATGTCCTTCACATTGTTATTTCTTTGAAAACTGGGGAGAGAAGAGATAATTGAAACTAATTTCCCGTAAAATAGCCTTCATGTGGACTGAAATATTCCAGTTTAAAGCAGACTAAATTACAAGTCCTAGCCACACTCTTACTGCATACAAGATTCCCCACTTGTGAGGACATTAAGAGACAGGAAGTCTTTTTTTAAAAAACAGTAACAGAATTGGAAGGGACCTTGGAGGTCATCTATTCCAACCCCCTGCTCACACAGGAGACCTGTACTAGGGATTTGAACTGCCGACCTTTCTGATCAACAAGCTCAGTGTCTCAGCCACTGTCTAGTCAGGTCAAGTGAAGCAAGGAGTGTCTTGGGCTGTACTAGGTCTCCCTCAGCTGGAGTCCTGTGTTCCACGTAATGATTTACTCTGTTTAATGACCAATCAGGGAGACAAGTGTGGAAGTCTTTAAGCAAGGCCAACTCACTTAGTGGCTGTCACATGCAATTGGGCAGGCTCCATTATGATCATAGATGGAGACATGTTTTCTAAATCCAAAAATACTGGATTACAAGATACCTTCATGACCAGATCTACAAATAGTAAATTATGCTTAAATACAGAATTGATAAATGCATTCAAAATGTATGTTTACTCTAGACTTCATGTCTGGACAAAGCAGAAACTAAAAATGCAATTGTCAGGCTCCAAGTAATGCACTCATCACAGATATTTTAATAAAGAAAAAGGACAAGCATTTTAGAAATAAATATGAATATTTGCAGCTAAGGACTAGTCAGATACAAATGGGCACACAGTTGAACACAAAAGCTTGGAATGTCAGGTATTTGAAGACTTGCCATGGTAGCTTTAAAGAAGTGGTGTCTAAGCATAAACTTAAACATAATTACTTTTTTAAAATTAAGCTGTGGAATTGAAAGAATGAACATTTAATGTAAAACTAACCTTATCATCCAGAATAACTTTTGTACCCCCGTACTCAGGTAGTAGAACCTTCTCACCAACTTTTACACTAATTGGTTGAGTGTTTCCATCCTAAAGGGAAGAATGTGAATTGTAAACATTACAGCACACTAAGAAATATTTTGTGGTGAGAATACATTTTAAATTCAAAGTTGCAAAATTAAATTAAAAAGAGTTCCTGGACATGGTTCTGTCTCTCATCTTGAGAGGTTTACTATAAACCAAACCTAACCCAGTGATTTAAATGACCTGTATGTCTTTTTAACCACCCCATTTCATGATAAAGTGAGTTGTAATATTTACTGGATTTCTAAAAAAGGAATATATCTGTGTGAACAAAGTAAGAAAACTAACATCCCAAAAATTGCCAAGGGCTCTCTGAACTAACCCCAGGCCTAGGAACAGAGCTAGTTCTTTAAGGACACTTTCAGAATTTTTAAAGCGCGGTAGTATACATATCTCCAAGGAGACACTTTCAGAAGGTGGGTGCTTCAACAAAGGCGGCATACTTCTTCAGTTGTGTAAGAAGAGATTTAACTGAAGGAGCCCAGAGCACACTGAATCTGGCCAAACATACTGGATGGGCAGAAACAATTAGAGACTGGTGATTTTTTAAATCACCTTGCTGTGGCATGAAGGGCCTTACAGATAAATTAGACAATCCATGTTCCTTTGGGTCATCATTTCAGATATATTTTCTTACTTAAACAATGACCATGGGTGGATAAAGCAGCAGCGGGAAAGTGATTTCTGACTAACTACAGATTTCTCCATTGAACTCCTCTGAAAAGTTATGAAAAAATGTAATTATAATGCTAAATTCCTACTTGCCTTGTTTTTTGAACCTGATCCAACTGCCACAACAGTGGCTTGTAGCACCTTTCCTTGAGATTTTTCTGGAATCATGATTCCCCCTTTAGTTACTGTCTCAGCCACACATCTTTCGACCAGTACTCGGTCAAAAAGAGGAAGAAATTTTTTAAATGCCTGTCCTGCCTGTTAAAACAAAACCAGAAATCATCATGAAGCCATAGCAAAAATAATTTTTCACCTATAAGGTAACTTAGGGCTTATATAGCTTGTATGAAATATGAAATACATTAAGAGCTCAGAAAAAAACTGATACTGAAATTACAGTTAAACCAATCTGGCTTCTCCATTGACTTTGCATATCAGAAGGTCACAAAAGATGACCCTGGGACACTGTAACCATCATGAATATGAACCAGGGGTCAAGCGGCTGAATTTTGATGTGACCATGAAGTGTGAAGAAATGGTCATAAATCACTTTTTCAGTGCTGTCATAACTTTGTGTCACTAAGCAAATGAGTATTACTAAGTATCTTATTCTCTCCTCCAACTTTTCCTTGTCTGTTCTAGACAATTCTCCAATCTTCTGCAGAGGGGAGGGAAGAACAGAGAAATTGATCTTTGGCCACTCCAATGATAAATGGAAAGAAATGTGAGTTAATTGTAAAATATCTGAAGAAAATAATTAACTGCAAGATAATTTAAGTTAACATTCAACAGTTCAAGCATAGTGAACTTTGGATGTGCACTTGGAAGGCTTGGCTACTACCGGTATTTTAGTGTGATTTTTAAAAATTCTGTAAATGCTTTATTCAGCTCAGTTAAATGCATCAAATCAGTTAACTGCAGATTCATACTACCAGCTGTAAATTATCATGCAATATAGTTAAGTATAAAACTATGTTATGCAATTTACTTGCACAAATAGTAAATGATTTCAAACAGTAACCACTTTAGTTAAGTGAAAACAAAATAAATCAAAAGGAAGCCAGCCAATTTACTAGGATGTTTCTTTCAATACATTCCAGATTATGGCATGGATGGTGGAAGAAATTACTAGAAGATTCTTCTAGTGTACTCTAGAATCCTCTAGAGGTCACTGTTGCACCAGCAGAAGAAAACTGAGCACCCCCTCATATAGAAAAATATCCCTGGCATGCAAGTAACTGGAAAGGGATATAATACTTGTAATATCTTTTTTCTATGGGCTTTTCAGCAGTCATCAAAACAGCCATCCACAAACACCTCCAAATACATCCATTGGTGCCTACAAGGACAATCCTTCTTAATAATTTTCTGAAAACAAATCGTGATAGAGGGCTCAATACTATGCAATTTATCAGTCGTTTTGAAATAAGATTTCTTTTGCACCGAGAGATGGGAAAGGAAATTAAAAGGCGAAAGATTTATACGAAATTAAACATGAAGAGGACAGCAGGAAGGGAGGTTTTTTCACTAAAACATTTCCAGTCCAAAGATCATTAAATTCTATTTCCCATGAAAACCAGTTTTAAGCAGCACTTACAAGTATTTTTGTTTTTTTTTAAATAAAGCCTCTTTCTTCTCTCCCCATTCTCTTTGACCTGTATGTCTTTAAATGGGCGTTTACTACTACAGCTGCCCTTTACAAAGCATGGGAGCTGGCTCTACACACCAGAGAAATTTCACACAGCAATTTTACGCAATTTTGTAGTTATTAAACTTCACAAAATTTCAAATAAGACCCATACATAAACTCATTTGCCAGGCAATGTCCCCCTGAATTCGGTGGAATATTGATTTCAACAAGAACTGGCTGCAGATACGCTATGCAAACATGCTATTTTAAAATCCAACGTGAACAGAACAAAGCTTTTAGGATGATGCCTTAGTTTTAGCAAAAATATTAAATAAAAGAAAAAAACCTATTTATTTTTGAATGAATAATCCCATCGCACAAGGGCATAGTAATGTTCTTAGACGCAAAATAAATTTTGGCTAATTTATACATATCTTTTTTTAGAAGTTAAGTAACATTTCACTTCTGCCTGGTAACCCAGAGTTATGATTTATAGCTAATTTTATTAGAGAGGTCTTAGTCATAAGCAATATCACTTTCAAACAATAGAGGAAGAAGACGAAGCCACGTGCAAAATTTTTCCTCCATATAATCTCCCAAATATTTCGGATCAAAGTCTTCCCATTTCTGCATTATCGCTTATTTTAGCTCAAACCAAAAGTTTGACGTATCGAGTGTCTCTTAGGATCCAGCCAAAGGCTTCTGAAGAACCAGAGGGCAGGAATAACCTTCCGGTGTCCTCTACCCTTAGGTAGAAATCTACTGAAATCACAGTGGACAGAAGACGGTGGAGACCCACATCATGCAAGGCCAAAAAAGGGTCTCAAGGCTCGTTTTCTTCCACTTTCCCCGCTGCTTTGCTCCACGGATGACAAAAGGCTGAGCGGCAGAAGCCCGTCAATCACTCACCATGCCGGCTGCTTCCAAGCTTTCCTCTCTCTCGGTTCCTGCCTTTGCCCCGGTTCGCGCTCCCCCTGCTCTCGGCGGGCAACCCACACGTGAAAGGGTCAGGGAATGCGCATGCGCCAGCCACACCCACTCCAAGGGGAAACTGCTTCCCGTGCCATCAGGCGGGAGAAACGTTCGGCTTTCCTTTCAAACGTTGTTTTTTACATTTCTCCTCGTTCCCTACGCGGTAAACTCCTTCACTGTTTCACTCACGCATTTGTCTCTCCCTGAATTCAGTGCTTTGCCATCCGAACAAGGCGAGACATGCCCGGAAATGATGTAATCCTGAGCACGACCTTTGGTGAGCATGGGCATTCCAGAAAATTCTGGAAGTACGGAGCCCGGGAACCTGCATAACCATCAGTAATGAAGCCTTGGGAGGAGTGGGCCAATCAACGCGGGCGGCTCGTTCGCAGGGAGGCTTTTGGGAGCTCCGCCCCTTCCCTCCCGTGGCCTGCCCGAATGAAGGCCGAAAGGGCGTGGCGCAGGGAGTGGGCGGGCCCGGCAGATTTGCTGCTAGACTCGTTCCCGGGCGCCCTCCCGCGCCAACCTTTCACGTGGGGAAGGAGGTGGGGCAGTGCGAAGGAGGTGAGAGCGCCGCGCTGCTTCCAGCCCCCGCGAGTGGTCAAGAGGAGCGCCTTGTTCGTGCTGCGGTATCTCGCCCGTTGCCTGCGCCCACCACAGGTAAAGCGGGGCTCCCGATCCGGGAGGAGGACGGGTGGCCTGCGGGGAGACCCAGGGCATGGACGGGAGAATCGGTGCTGCTTTCACGTGTCCCTCTCCTGTTTGGAAGGAATGGCCCAGCGATCGCCCTGCGGAAGCGCTGCCCCATTGCCCCTTTCGTCGTCCCCCCCCCTCCCCGCCACCTTTGGGTGTCCTTTGAAAAGATGGGATTTGTAGTCCAAGGCATCCAAACGTTTGGAAAGGCCGGGAGGTGATTCCGTCAGTTCAGAGGCTGCGGAACAGAGGGCCGGGGGTGGCTAGATTGCGGGTCAGGCTGATCGGGGGCCGATCGTGAGTCTTGGTGCGTAGAAGTCTTTCTCCCGCCGAATTACGGGTTGCATTGCGATCAGTGGAGGCGGCCTTGGCCCTTCCCCGACCGGCCTGGTGTCCGCAGGCGATGGGTTTGGGTTAACAGCTTCCAGCGGATCCACGCGGTGGTGGCAGTCCTTCGCTGCTGGAGGGCGTCAGGTTAGCGGTTCTAGGAGACTTAACGCAGCCCGCCCAAATCTTGAGCCGGTGGATCTCAAATTAGCGGCCTGCAATTGCTATGCTTGGCCCTTCACACACCCGTGAAGCTAAGGGAGGGGGGGGGAGTCTTCTGATGCCCCCACGAGTTTAGTTCAAAAGGATTGGTGAGCTGCAAGTTTCACTGGCTGTAGTACCGCTGTCCGAGTGCTAGGGGGCGCTGCTGCTCTTTTGACCTTGTCCTCCGACCTGGTAAATGAATGAAGCACGTGTGAGATCCAAAAGATAGGCTTGGCTTGTTAGTAGACTTTACTCTCTTCCTTCCCTCGCCCTCTTTTCTTTTGTTTCTCCCCCTTGCATTTTTTTGTAATGATAGTGGCTGGGAAGCTGCCTTTCATGCTTTGATGTTCTTTTAAGTTGATACCAATCCATAGATTAAGCCTGTTTCCCAGTGCATTTTGTTCCAAGATGAAATGGGAGGCGAGGTATAAACGATATCTGTATCATTCATTCGTGTATTTCTTTTAAAAAATGAATTCTGATAGGATGCGACTATTGTATATTATTACAGTTTAAAGAAGATTATCAATGTTTTTGCATTAGATTTGGCATTTTGAGGGATGCTTATGAGCAGTCTCACAAAATGGTTGCTGGTGTTTCAAATACAAAATATTAATATAATAGAAAGCAAAAAAAAAATCCTGAACTGCTTCAGCCAGCAACTAATTTGCTTTATGTAGATGAGCACAGTATGGCTTGTACTGACTGTGCCGGTACAAAATTACTTTTATTAGGTAGTACTAAATAGATTTGTTGGAAATAACACCTGAATCCATATTCCTACCTCCCTGGTTGAAAATACAGTACATTTTCAAAGATCCTTTAAGAGCCAGTTTGTTCTAGTGGTTAAGGCATCAGGCTAGAAACTAGAATGAGTCCGGCCTTAGACATGAAATCTGGCTGGGTGACTTTGGGCAGTCACTTCTCTCAACCCAGCACACCTCACAAGGTGGTTGTGGGGAGAATAGGACAAAAAAGTATGTTCACTGCATTGGGCTATTATAAAAAAAAATAAAGTTGGGATATAAATAAACAATCCTTTAAAAAGTTGTAAGCCAACATGTGATCCCTTTTCATGGAAGTGACATGTGAGTTGAATTCAAGGGCATTGAATTTGGCATAGGTACCATAGTTCTACTGTAGTCATTGATCACGCTAGTTATATACGTTCTATAATTGGGTATTTGCCATTTTAAAAAGGCAATCCTATTTTGATGTGTTGTAGCAAGTCACTGCTCATAGACTTACCATATTGTGCAGTTCTTCTAAACCATGCTGGGAATGAATTGGGGATTTCTGGCCCAGCATATCTGTTGTGCATCAGTTTAGGAAAGATTATTTTGGCATTTATTAGGCATGATTATGATCTGTTTCCATTCTTGATTATGTTGACACTGACTTTGCATTTTTTAAATTTTTTTCTTTATAGAAATGCTGCGTTTACCATCAGTGCTACGTCAACTAAGGCCTGTATCCAGAGCCCTGGCCCCACACCTTACAAGAGCCTATGCAAAAGATGTGAAATTTGGAGCAGATGCCAGAGCTCTTATGTTGCAGGGAGTAGATCTTCTAGCTGATGCTGTAGCTGTCACTATGGGACCAAAGGTATTTCAACAAATAAGTCCAGCACTATGTGGATATTTACTTGTGAAGTGTCTTGATTTGATGAAGAACAAAATCCAAAGTAGTTTTGTGGCTTGATTTATCTGAAGTGACATAATTTCAGCAGGAAAATAAAATGCATTATATGGAAATCACTGGACTTAAATACATTTAATTTTTACGGTACCAGTTAGATTTTAATTAACATTTTTGTGTAAAATGTTTTGATATTTACTTCCCTGTGGCGTGTTAGAATATGCTGTCAAGCAAGCATATGCAACGTTCCCTATAAATTGATCATTCTTGATATCAAATTAATCCGATGAGCTTAAAAAAACTAGTGAAATTCTCCTGAATTTATAGCCATGTATGAGGTCAGTAAAAGTTGCCCTAGTCTAATGCAAGTAATTATAATATCAACATCAGGCCCAACTATACAGTTGTATGGACAGTAATAGGTACAGATAGCCCTCAACTTAATGACCACAATGGAGCCTGCAATTCTATGTGACGGGGCTCAATTTTTGTCACCATTTTTACATAAGATTTTCAAGTGAATAAAAATTTAGAATAAAAATACTCCTTTAAACAAATGCAAACTTACTCGATAGCATGATTGTATTGTTGCATATTTCCTTGGACATATCTCCTTTTGTATGCCAGGTGGTTTTTGTGTACTGTTTTTGCAGATACATAATCCTGTTCATGCATAACTTTTTGCCAATATATGTACTTTAATGGATATGTGGACAAGCATGCTTTGTTCCTGATGATTCGCATTTGGCACTGCTAGCATTTCCAACTCTTGTTTACTTGGAGGCTCTAAATATATTTTATTTATTTCATATTCTACAGTAACACATAATTAATTATGATACCTTTCTGGTATGTCTTAATAGCATTTATACTAATAAATTGTTGTAAAAATATTGTCTAATCATTAAGAGATCTGAATGGAACCTAAATTTGATATAAGTTCTGCAGACCAATATTTTAACTTTATGTTATTTCAGGGAAGAACAGTAATTATTGAACAGAGTTGGGGAAGCCCAAAGGTGACAAAAGATGGTGTGACAGTAGCCAAGGCAATTGACTTGAAGGATAAGTACAAAAACATTGGAGCAAAGCTAGTTCAAGATGTTGCCAACAACACCAATGAAGAGGCAGGAGATGGTACAACTACTGCAACGGTATTGGCACGTTCGATTGCCAAGGAAGGATTTGAAAAAATCAGTAAAGGAGCAAATCCAGTGGAAATTAGAAGAGGTAATACTAACCTTTCTGATGTGAGTTTGGTAAAAGAAGGTGTAGTCAGACTTACTCAAACCTGATTTTTAAAAGTGTTTTGAAATAGGCCATTTTTGTTAGGGCATCCATAATTACCAAGGAAAAGTGAGACATATATTGATATCTGTGCATGGTGTTACTTTGATAGATAAAAGTGTTCTATATATTTTCATATATTGTGGATTGTAATCTAACTGTAGCTAGGTCACTTGGAGTCATATAAACACAAATACTTATATGCTGGTTATAAAGAGAATGAGGTTCTGATTTAAATTTCTCAATTTTTAATACACCACTGTTTCTAAACTCCCATAGAGTCATTTAAGACTCCCATAGTCTTAAATAACTATGTCCATTTTCCCTTCACTATTACAGTGCTGGATAATGTTGAATGGGAAAGTGCAAAATAAAGGAGTTTACCTCAGCTTCCTCTTATTATTTCTTGTGAGGTATAGCAGATTTGAACATGGTCATCATAATAATAGACTGATGTCTATTTATTTGAGACAAAATTGTGTGTATGTGTAAAGGAAGATTTTACCACAATAACTTTGATATGGGGAGAATGTAAGGATAATACCTCTTAAATACCTATTTACTGTTAAATCCATGGATTATTTAAATGAATACTTTTTGTTTTTCAGGTGTGATGCTTGCTGTAGAGGCTGTAATTAATGAATTGAAGAAATTGTCCAAGCCAGTCACAACACCAGAAGAAATAGCTCAGGTAATGACATCTCAGCCTTAAGCAACTGATTCAGTTTTCCAACATGTTTTGAAAAATGAATATCGTATTTTCCGGCGTATAAGACGACTGGGCGTATAAGACGACCCCCGACTTTTCCTGTTAAAATATAGGGTTTGGGCTATACTCACCGTATAAGACTACCCCTCTTCCAATGCACACCAAATAAAAATTAAAAAACATCAACTGGCTCACCCACAATGTAAAAGCAGCTGTGCTAGACCCAAAATGGCCCCTGCAACAAGCAGGAACCTCACAGCCACAAAAAGCCCCAAAAAACAACTTTCATACTTTACACACACAAAATTCCACATACAGCTTTGTGAGATTTTGTGTTTGTGTAGTTAGAGTGAAACACTACAGAAACACACTAAATCTCAGAAAGCTGCACAAATATTATTTTATTTTTATTTTTATATGAAAACTAAATTTAAAACTTCCTAAATTTTAAATGGCTAGGTCTAAAAAAGAACAACTAAAAAAAACACAATTAACTATTTTTTTTAAAGCTCCCAAAGGGGAAAAAAACTTACCCAATAGAACAGGGGTCTCCAACCTTGGCAACTTTAAGACTTGTAGACTTCAACTCCCAGAATTCCTCAGCCAGCTTTGTTTTGCTGGCTGAGGAATTCTGGGAGTTGAAGTCCACAACTCCTGCCTGCTTGATTGCAGGCAGGGAGTGGCTTGCTGATGGAATGGATTCAGGCAAGCAAAGCAAGGCAAGCGTTGCGATTAGCAGCTAAGGTAAGCAAGCTGGAGGGGGAAAACTTTTTTCCTTTTACAGGGCTCTGGCGATCCCAGCTGAGTTGCCTGATTAGCAGGGATCGTCAGAGCTTGGATCGCCAGAGCCATTTAAGGCTCGTCAGAGTCTTTCGGGCTGGTCTGTCTGGTTACAGGAGAACGACACCCGGTGTATAAGACGACCCCCGACTTTTGAGAAGATTTTCATGTGTTAAAAAGTCATCTTATACACCGGAAAATACGGTATATTATTTAGGCTACACTGTTTAATATGCCTAATAAAACCTTCTAATTTGAGAACATACTCTTTAAATGTGTGGTGGGATGTCATGTTACCAACTCTTTAAAATGAGATGAGATTTTTGTATTTAGTTTAATTTCCTAGAGTATGTGATGTATAATTTGTCCATGTGCAGGTTGCCACAATATCAGCAAATGGGGATAAAGAAATTGGTAACATAATCTCCGATGCCATGAAGAAGGTTGGACGGAAAGGGGTTATTACAGTGAAGGTAAGGGTTTCACAAGTACAACCCTGTGCTCCTTGAATTATTTTGGTTGGTTTTATGATAGCATTTTAAGACTTACTGAGAGCATCTAATGAAATGTGAAGCATGATGTTTAGGATCCTTCATAGAATTTGTTAATAGGAGATTTAGGTTGGGGAATAAGATGCACATGTTATGTACCAAAATTAAGCTGGGTTTGGTAATTTCAATTACTACAAATTAAGCATTTTCCTCTTACTCAGTGAAAACTGTTAGCTGATAGAGCAATCTTGTGACTTCCAACCATACTAGTTAATTTTCCAAATCTTTCAAAAAATAGGATGGAAAAACTTTGAATGATGAGTTGGAAATTATTGAAGGTATGAAGTTTGATAGAGGCTACATTTCTCCCTACTTCATTAATACAGCCAAAGGTAAGATGCCATTAATTGAACCACATGTCTTGGTCTGATCCATCAGTCTTTTTGTTTTAATGATAGGAATAAAGTAATTCATGATTTCCCCTGGTCCTATTCATTTATTTTTGTATTCAAGAATGTTTTGCTACAAAATACAGCAATTTAGTGCTCTATCTTGACCCCAATTGGACAAGATATTGTTAATATTGGGCTTGGGGATCCTAAGGAAGTATGGAGTCCATTAAATGGTTACATTGTATATAGTTAAAATGTACTCTTTTCTGCCTTATTATACTCTTAAATGTAGCTTTTTAGTTTTTTAGTATTTTAACATTGCATGTCACTATTATTATTTTATTGTTGTTGTTTCCAATCTTAAACTGTTTAACTATAGATTGCCCACACATAATAAACAAAATAATACGAAATGAAGGAATTAAAATGTTCTGGGATTTAGAATTCAGACGACAAGTACATGCCATACAACATTCCAGATTTAACAATTCTGTCAATAAGACAGATTTTTTAAAAAGTCGGAATACTGGACATGGCAGTACCTCTAGATAGCAGAAGAGAAAAAAATGGAGAAAATACAAAAACCTTCAAATAAAAGTAGAATAACTGTGGCAAAAGAAAGGAAAGGTAGTACCAATAGTGATAGGTGCTTTCTTCAATCTCGATATATCTGGAGCACCACTTGAACCTCATTGGCATTGACAAAATCATTGGTTACAAAAGGCAGTTTATTGGAACAGTTTACATTTGTAAATTAAGTCTTTAATATTATTAAATAATATCTGCCTATGCCAGGTCATTGGAAAGTACTCAATACCTGGACAAAAATGCTGAATGCGGTCTAAACATCTAGCTGACTATACATGCAACTATAAAAACTATTGCAATTGTGATCAAAGCACTTCTACGGGGTGCCATAATGGAAATTTTCTTTCAGCTAAAAATTAAGATAGCTTTGTGGATCCATCTTTGCATGGAATTTGAATGTGCATGTTTTGCAATTGCCACTGGAGGGCCTCTTGCAGACTCCAGATGTGTTGCCACTGCTCTTATTATGTTCCTCTGCAGGACAGAAATGTGAATTCCAAGATGCTTATCTCTTAATCAGTGAAAAGAAGATTTCCAGTGTTCAATCCATAGTACCAGCTCTTGAAATTGCAAATAATCATCGTAAGCCTTTAGTCATTATTGCTGAAGATGTAGATGGAGAAGCCCTCAGCACACTTGTACTAAACAGGTAGGTTTGATATAAATCTTTTTTTTAAAATGCATTTCTTCCAAAATATTTTCAATAAAAGAAGCTGCATTCGTACAATCAGTTTCAAGAAAGGAAGTCGTCTCCTTTGAAGAAGAATTTGTGATGTTTGTGTTAGTGGAAGCTGGAACAGAAAGGGTATTTTTTGGCATTTGGGAGCAGATTTTGGAAAAAAATAATAGGGTGACAGAGCAAAGTGCTAAATGAGAATGTTCATACATGATATTTACTTTATCCTGCAGTATTAGAACAGCGTCCAAGGATAAACTTTGTCTGACAAGAAGGGAAACCTTGTTCTTGATAATTAGTGGTAGGAATTATCAAACAATTATGTACCTATTTTAACAAGACAATTAAATAACTTGTTAGCAGAGCAGTAAAGATAACCGTATAATAGTTACGATTTTGGTATTACCAAGCAAAATAAATGAAAGATTAGCTAATTGCAGTTGACTAATGCTGCAAACTTAAGGTAATCTGTAGTTAAAATTTGTATTCATTTAAAGCACAGGTTTTTAACCTGGGTCTGCAAATGTGGTGGGAAAAATTACAACTTTTATCTTCACCAATTTCTACTTTAAATTTAGCTATACATTAAACGATTTTGGCCCAACTCACTTCACAGGATTGTTGTGGGGAAAATAAGAAACAGGAGGAGGGGGAAGGTGTGTTGGATGTGTTTGCTGCTTTGACTTGTTTATAAAAGTGATAAAACTGGACACAAATGATTTCTATATCCAAAGTAATTTATGGCTTTAAAATTCCTAAGAATTTAAAAAAGATAGTTTAAAAAGAATATTTTTATGATTGATTTCAATCAAAGCACATTTGATTACTTCGTTATATTCCTGTTACTTTTTAATATTTTGATAAAGGTATTTCAGAATAATTGGTAATACTAACTATATAATTTATTTTAAATACATTTTGAGAAAGGGTCTATAGGTTTTCCTGGACTTGGGTCCATAGGACAAAAAGGTTAAGAACTGGCCTAATGAGATTCTCGGGAGGGCAAACTGAATCTTTACTGGAAATCAGGAATGCAGTTTATATCAGAGGTTATTTTGGTCTGTAAATAACGGCCAATCGTTTTAGTTAAATTGTCATATTAAAATAAGCTCTAATTAAAATTGTACGTGAGGTATCTTGGACTAAGAAATATTAAAAAGATTTCAGATTTAAAGTGCACCCTGCTTACTGATTTTCTTTCTCAGATTGAAGGTTGGCCTGCAGGTGGTTGCAGTAAAAGCACCTGGGTTTGGCGACAATAGAAAAAATCAACTTAAAGATATGGCAGTTGCTACTGGTGGTGCTGTAAGTAAAACCTAAAAAGAAATGAAAAGGTTCTTAAGCCACAGAAAATTGGCAGCATTAATGCAAAATTGACACGTTTGTATTTGTATTATATCTAGAGCTGTAGGATTCTAACCTACTTTTATTATATACTTGACTTATTATAATATTTGATCCTTAGTTATATCAAAGGAGAATTTGGGAAGGTGTTTTATGCCAAAGCAGACTAGAGGTGTGAATATACTACAGGTAGTCTTCAACTTACAACCATTCACTCAATGACTGCTCAAAGTTACAACTGTACTGAAAAAACTGACAACCATTCTTCACATTACGATTGTTGCAGCATGCCCTGGTCACGTGATCAAAATTCAGATGCTTGACATTGGCATGTATTTAAGACAGTTACTGTGTCATGGGGTCATGTGATCCGCTTTTGACAAAGTCAGTGGGGAAGCCAGATTCAGTTAATATGTTACTAGGCTCAGGCTCAGGCTCAACCCATCCAAGACCGAGTGGCTGTGGTTTCCGACGTCCCGATATAGCCAGTTGACGCCATCACTGACTATTGGGGGCGAATCATTGGCCCCCACGGAGAGGGCTCGCAACTTGGGCGTCCTCCTGGATTCACGGCTGTCTTTAGAAGAGCACTTGACGGCCGTGACCGGGAGGATTTTTTATCAGGTCCGCCTGATTCGCCAGTTGCGTCCCTTTCTGGATCGGGACTCGTTACGCACGGTCACTCATGCCCTCGTCACCTCCCGCCTGGACTATTGTAATGCTCTCTACATGGGGCTCCCCTTGAGGAGCACCCGGAGGCTCCAACTGGCGCAGAGTGCGGCCGCGCGGGTGGTAATGGGAGCGACATGGCACTCCCATGTAACCCCTCTCCTGCGCGAGCTGCACTGGCTCCCGGTGGTCTTCCGGGTGCGCTTCAAGGTTTTGGTTACCACTTTTAAAGCGCTCCATGGCTTAGGGCCTGGTTATTTACGGGACCGCCTACTACCACCAATAGCCTCCCACCGGCTAGTACGCTCTCATAGAGAGGGACTCCTCCGGGTGCCGTCAGCCAAACAGTGTCGACTGGCGGCCCCTAGGGGGAGAGCCTTCTCTGTGGGGGCACCTACCATCTGGAATGAGCTCCCCCCGGAGATACAGAGGATCCTGGATCTGCGCTCCTTCCGCCGTGCTGTGAAGACCTTTTTATTCCATCAAGCGGGCTTGGCCTGATCTCTTCCCTTTTTAAATATGTAAATTTTAATCTGTTTTTAAATTATTGGGGTATTTTAATTTGTCTGGGCCAAAAAGTTTAATTTGATTTTATCGGGTTTTTTAAATTTTGTGTATTTATGTATTTTATTGTTGGCTGTTCACCGCCCTGAGTCCTTCGGGAGTAGGGCGGTATACAAATCAAATAAACTAACTAACTAACTAGCTTAACTGTGGCAAGAAAGGTCGCAAAATGGGGCAAAACACACAACTATCTTGCTTAGCAATGGAAATTTTGAACTCAATTGTAGTCATAAGTCAAGGACTACAAGGACATGTACTTGCAGAGGGTGTTGGGATTTAAATCACGGGTGCTCAATTTTGCATTCTTGCAATGGTATAATGGGCCCCACCATTTTAAGGTCAGCTATCTAATTGAGCCAGTCACTTGCTCACAGTCCCAATAAGACAGCAAGGGTAAACTATTCCTAAAAATCTTGCCAGAAAACTGCAGGGACTTGTCCAGGCAGTAGCCAGGAGTCAACACTGACTTGAAAGCACCCAAAAATTGAATGCGTAAGATCTCCGACCTCCGTGTATTTCGCTGTGCCCTCAAAACCTTCTTGTTCCGCCAGGCCGGGCTATCAATGTAAAGATTTTCATTGGTTTTAAATGTGGAATTTTAAAATTTGGGGGTTTTATAATTGAGCCAATTATTTAATAATTTTAATTATTTTTAAAATTTGTTCGTCTTTGTGCTTTTAATTAGGCTGTACACCGCCCTGAGTCCTTTGGGAGAAGGGCAGTATAGAAATAAAATTATAAAAAATAAATAAAAAACAAACAAACAAACAAAACCCAACTATCTACTTTGGAAGCAAATGGCTTTCCATGTTGTGAAGCAGGAATGAGTATGTACTCTGGTGCAACTCAGAACTGATAACACTGAAGCCTGTGCGGCTTCTTGAACATGCAAGCATGCAACTTCATCTGAGCTACATAATTGAAAATTTTACACTGTTGAAGTACCTGGGCTGTAAATGGTTACTTCATATGACATTTAGTAAGTGTTTTTAATTTGGGAGAAACTTTTAGGTAGGAGTACTGAAGGTAGGACTAATGAAGCAAATAAAGAGGGATGGCTTAGTAGTGATTATTAAACATTTGTAAAATTGCAACTGGTAACAAAAAACTTTGTTCAATATAACCTATTTCAGGTGTTTGGAGAGGAAGGTTTAACTATAAATCTGGAAGATGTTCAGCCTCATGACTTTGGTAAAGTTGGAGAAGTCATTGTAACCAAAGATGACTGCTTATTGCTTAAAGGAAAAGGTGATAAGACTCAGATTGAAAAACGGATTCAAGAAATAATTGAACAACTGGAAACCACAACAAGTGAATATGAAAAAGAGAAGCTAAATGAGCGCCTGGCTAAGCTTTCTGATGGAGTAGCTGTATTAAAAGTAAGGAAACTGGGTTTTCTGTCTGGGTAAAATGAAAATGTAATTTCATCTTTTTATGATGATTTGGCCTACTTAATGTTTTCTTAGCTGGGCACATGCAAATTTAATAAATCAATAGAAGGTAGTATAAATGGCATCAACATGTTTGGGATTTGATTAACATTACAGCCTAGTGTAAGATCCATGAAGTATTAACTATAACCTGAATGATAATTTACCTGGTTAAGATAGGGATAGTAATCCATATCCAGAAGACACTGGGTTGGACATAATTGATTTAAGAATTTGTTAAAAGTGGCTGTTGTGAAAACGTAACAACATATAGAAAGACTTCATACTTTCCTCCAATGTGGTTTATGACAGTAATGATTCGTTTAACAAATATTCATTTATGGCCTGAGACATCTCTTAAAACTGGAGAAGGTGGAGTTTTTCTTAAGCGGTAAAGGTAGTAAGATACTTAACCATACCACAGAACTGAAAACTAGTATAATTAGTTTTTTTTTATGTCAAAGGGAGCTGTAACATTTATTTCTTGAAAAGCAGCATTCCAATCATACAAGAGAAGTTGCCTTTCCCAGAGTCAATTCAGATTTCACGATTTTGCAGATAACTTATAAGTACAGGTAGTCCTCAATTTAAGAGCAGTCATTTAGCAACCTGTTACAACCAACCCAAAATAGGGGACTTGTGACCCAGATTTGAAGTTCCACCCATCAGGCCGCCTTCGTGGTCATGTGATTGGACTTTGGGCACTCAGTAACATTTATGTGTCAGCATATTCCCCTCAGCAATCTGGGTCCTCATTCACCGACTTCGGAAGGATGCTCAGTCAACCTTGAGCCAGGGAATCGAACTGCCAAACTGCTGGCAGCCGGCAATCAGCAGAAGTAGCTTGCAGGACTGCGTTCTAACCACTGTGCCACCAGAGCAGTTGCATTACTGTCTTATCTCTGCTTTGCTGAAAACTGGCATTTTATTTTCTGCGCAAAACCACACCATAACAAACCCTTGGTTGGCTTAATGACCGCCACAAAATTGCATTAGTCAGATGACTGACCACTTTGACTGTTTTAACAAAACTACCATAATGGGCAGGCTCCATTACAGTTCTATGTCAATGATTACCTGTAAGAACTTGATAATTAGGGATTTTTCTTAGGTTGGAGGAACAAGTGATGTTGAAGTTAATGAGAAGAAAGACAGAGTCACTGATGCCCTGAATGCCACTCGTGCTGCTGTAGAAGAAGGCATAGTCCTAGGTGGTGGCTGTGCATTGCTCCGTTGTATTCCAGCACTGGATACTTTGACTCCAGTCAATGAAGATCAGAAAATTGGTAAGTTAATACCAGTTACTGTAGCACTTACTTGGACACTTAGATTTTAAGTAACTTCCAATTTTCCTATAGTGCGCTCTCTTGTCCCCAGTGTAGCTGTCTTTTCTTACCGTCAGAAATTTACTCCCAACTATCCAGAGCTTGTTGAGAGCTGGAAAATAGATGAAAATTAATTTCCAGAGTCCGACTGGAAATTTTATACCCGGAAGTCTTCATTTTGAAAGATAGGCAATTTATCTGAATAATGGTCAATGTTGGTTCCATCAGCAGCAGTGAAATTAGTGTAGCTCCGTTTTTATAATAACCAGAACTCATTCGTTTTAGGCATAGAGATTATAAAAAGAACACTGAAAATTCCAGCTATGACTATTGCCAAGAATGCAGGGGTTGAAGGATCACTGATAGTTGAGAAAATCATGCAAAGCCTGCCTGATGTTGGTTATGATGCAATGCTCGGTGACTTCGTGAATATGATAGAAAAAGGCATCATTGACCCAACAAAGGTAAATACCGAATTTTCTAATGATTCTGTGATAGCGCTCTTAGTGTTTCAATATTTTACAAAATACTCTTAATCCATTCATAGGTTGTGAGAACAGCGCTGATGGATGCTGCAGGAGTAGCTTCCCTTTTATCTACAGCTGAAGCAGTTATAACTGAAATCCCCAAAGAAGAGAAGGATGCTGCTGCTGCTATGGGAGGAATGGGTGGAGGAATGGGAGGTGGCATGTTCTAAAGCCTAGGCTACATGGATGCGTATCATGAACTACAATGCATGACCTGATAGTTTAAGAGAACCTTGGGTCAGAGTCAGAAAGGATGGATAGTGACTGCAGAGAAAGGGTCTGTGTTTAAAAAAAGAAAATCACTGTAACATTGTTACTGGATTTCAGTTGTATGATTATTTACAGTCATTGTCCATGCCTACAGATAATTTATTTTATACTTTGAATAAAGACATTTGTACATTCCTGATACTGGGTGCAGATCCATGTACCAATCTTGTGCTCTGAACTTAAAACCAGTTGAAGCACTTGCAATTCTGCTAAATAAGACTTTATTGGTGCCTGCTGTCACTAAAAAATGCAGAAGCCATTGTGTGCAAGACTGAATAAAATTGTGTACAAAGTAGACAAATATACAATTATGTGACAACTTTATGTAATAAAACAATTGCTCTAAGCTATGGTATGTATTAACTTATTCATAACATAATCTGTTCATCCCAAGTACTAAATTTTCCAAGACAATATTTTTTGGATTTCAGAGCCAACTACAGTAACTAATCATTAAAGTCTTATTTCTCAAGGAAAGAAGTTATTCCTCAAAAGTTAAACTTTCATATAAAATTGTCAAGTTATTTTTCTTTAAATACGTGAAAATAGAAAGCAGGATGATTGAGCTGCCTTCCTACTACAAAAAAGTTTTAATAACATTTTTGTGACAAATTAGAACTGCACTGAAGCAATTTAGAATTCAGCTGTACTTCAATTTGATCTACAAACTTTTCTTGCCTGAGTAACCATTTTTCATGATTAAGGGTCCAGAGCTAACTTGATGATGGGACTTATGACCATTGTGAAGCAGTTTGTAGTAAGGAATACAGCTGACCAGAGATTCCAGTACCCTCACATTTATGAAAATAAACAATGAGAGGAGTGCATAGTATCAAAAATAGTCATAGTATGTTTATGAATCTAGCTATAATCATCAAACTATTACAAATGGTAAGTGCAGCAATATATAAAATTAGATGTTAAATTCAAATACACTGTTTTAACTTAAACTATATTTACATATAGTTAATGCCAAAGTTACAGAAGCCAACTCTGGCAAACAGTATCCTTTTTCCTGTTCATTCCTAATTTATTTTCCAAGGCAGATGGAGAGAACTATGGAGGAAGGTAGGGAATGTGCTTTGTTAGCACTGTCAGTTCTGCTGGTAGAAGAAAGCCATAAACCCCCAGGCATTATGGTTTGTCATTAACTGGAACATTTTAAAAGCTAGAGTTCATGATTATTCATAGAAGACCCCCAGTATAGGTAGTTACCTGTTGGAATCTTACAACAGTTTACTACAGTACCATATTAAATAATGTACTGATGAAGCTGAGCCCTTTCTGTAGAATTCATACAACTTACTAAAATACTGCATATTAAGTTTGCTACCAAAGTTTATGCACTACAAAAACACACTTTGTTTTCAGAACTGCACACTGCTTGTTAAAGCTAGTTTTGAATACTAAAAATAACTTAAATATGCATTTAAAATAATAACTTAAAACTTGATTTCAATAGTAAATATTAAACATTGTCAAAATAAGGCTATAGAACTGGTAACAGTGCTGAGTTTTATACATGCTGAAAAGATGATGGGAGGCCATTGTAAATGTAGCTGCCACTCAGTGAACTTACCAGCACCTTAGAATTGCACTTGACTGAAGCTTCTATGTACACCTGCATCTTACATGCATCTTTTATACAGTAGTATTATACATAATTGGCAAAAAATGCCCCATATAATTGGAAGCCCACATGAGAAAAACATCTCATATGTAAAGATGGTGTCCAAGAAATTTCAAAACTACTTTATGTATGATGCACTTCATGAAGCATTAACTCTCGAGGTATTCTAGTTTCTGGACCATAGAGCTTGCCTGCTCTTCTTTCAAATGCAGCTACCATCTGTTTAACAACTTCATCAAAGAACAATGTGGCAAGCTGAGAATGCAGGAGAGAGCGAAACTCGAAAGAAATCTGTAAAGGAAAACAAATTATCACTCACCCCTAATGATTAAGATGAATAGGCAGTTGTTTTTATGTTAAATCTAACCATATTGGGGAATAGTGGCTAGTTACAAGATCATAAGAAAAATTGGGCATTCATTTTCTGCTGCAATTTCAATTTAATATTTATAGATTTCTAACCATGAATCATTTTGTCTTCATTAACCGTAATTGCCATTCAGGTTGTGGTAGTTCTCAACAATATATAGACAAAATCAGTATCATAGGACTTACAACAAAGAAACATTAATTGGTTACATAGTTACATAGTGCTCTGCAATCTGCACACAATACAATGCTTTCTTTGTCTTTTGTTTGGATTCCCCCACATAATCATTCTAGGTTTGCTATGTTCTATGTATTTCCAATTCAAAGTGCTTCATGGTCCTTTGGGCACAGTGGGGGCATTCCAAAGCTCCTGTCTGTAATTGAAAGCTGTGTTTTCTAGGATTATACAGCTGTCTTGCAGTCCAATCCTAAATACCATTTAATTTAAGGAAGTGCCAACAGGTATCATGTGCATGCCTATATATGGTCACTTCTAAGGACCCCTTTCTCTTTAGAATCAAAAGTGCTGCACAGTTAAAAATACCTAATCAAGGAATATATCTCCATAAGAAGGCTAAATAGTTATATTTAAATAAATAAGTACCCTGGTCCACTGATACATTTTACTAGTCTTCTATATTCTAAAGAGTAATGTTTGTCAATAATAGGCAATTATTTGGCCAGTTCTGACAATTTCCTGTTCAATACAACAACATTAAAGATATAAAAAAAACCAAGTTAGTCCTTGCTTAATGACCAACTCATTCAGTGACCATTTGAATTTACAATGGCACTGAATGAGTCCTGCAATATTGCCATTTGCAATCTTCATTGCAAGCTTCCAACAAGCAAAATCAATGAGGAAGCTGGCAGGTCGCAAATGACAACCATGTGACATCACTCTTAATGATAATGCAGGATTTGCTTAATGATGGCAATCAAGTGCCATCACTAAGTGGTGTAGCCACATTATTTCACATATACTTAGCGATGGTCATTGTCCCAATTATCATTAATTGAGAACTATCTGTATTCAGAAAAAAAACCCCTGAAAATACCTAAAGCAAAGCTATTTGAATGAAATGCTATAAAAATATTGAAATGATAATGAAATTACTAATCCTAATGGAATAATTTATTCCATGCACATTATAAATTGCTTGGAAATGAGCATTCTTCGTTGCTTAAAAACAAATTCATTGAAGTTGGATTGCTGCAACTAAAAATTATGGTTCACAAAAGTAATTTTGCAATCATAATTAAAAGCAAACTATGCAAAGCCAGTCTGGCAGAGTGGTTAAAGTACTAAACCAGATCATCACTTTCTTTCTATCCTAGGAAGCCACTTCTGTACCATGCACAATAACATACAAATTTAAAATACTTATTTGTACTTATTAAAATACAATCAAGTATAGTTTCAAAAATACATTTTTCTTTGATCTCAATAGCTTGGAAGGGTTATTTTGCTACTTACTGAAAAATCCAAGGTGCATGTCCTTTGATAGCCAGGAATTCCTGGACTAAAGCGCCACACAGTTTCCAGATGATTAAATAATTTTCCATCTGTACACGATGCCTATGAAAAAATTTAATTAAGTAAACTTATATTGCATTCAAAACTTTGAACCCCATACTTTTAAAATGTCTTAATTTTGATACTTTGTGTATTATACGATCATCACCACAGTAACTTCAAGAAAAAAAATGTTTTTCAGCATGGAGCAAAATTGAAAGGAACATTACATTAATATTTTAAAAACTCCAAAATGAATGATTTTTCTCTTAGAATAGTCCAGCTTCCTTTGAACATTGCAACTGTTTCTCAACAGTATTTTTTCACTTCTGCAAATACAAAAGTGTTTTCTCAGGTAAAAGAGACTAACCCAACAACTGGCAAAATAATCAACAACTTGAAAATGGGTAATTTCTTTAAAAGTATAATCTAGGTCCATGCAATTGCTTTGTTCATTTTAATTTCTTCTCTCTGGGACTTTTTTTTAAATTTTTCGTCTGAAGGATACGTTTTGAAAAATATTTCATGTTGGCCCAACTATAGCAATTATTTATGGGAAAAACCTAATCTTCACAGTGACTTAAAAGAAGTTGAAGTATGCATTACAGAAACAGCCTGGAGGTAAATAGAAAATTTTGAACAAGTACAGAAGGGTACTAAAAAGCTGGTGGAAGAATTTTCTAGCTTCAGTCCCTTAGCACCAGTACTTAAGATAGGAGCGATATGATCCAAGGCAGGCAGTGCCAATTTTAGCAGACAATAGAAATTCAAACATAGAACTAGTTCAACCTGGTATAATGCAGCAATGTATCTGTCATTATACCAGTCTATACAAGCAGAAAATGACATGGGGGTGAGGGTGGGCGGAGGCTTTTAGAAGATTGACAAGTTAGGAAATAAGATAAAAGTTTACTTTCTTAAAAGCCATTTTTAGATAGCTTCAGAGTTGTAGAATTGAAGAATCAGTATTCAGATCTTTATAGCTTTTTTTAAAAAAAAAACTTTATACTTTATGGGCAATTTATTGGCTTGGCAGAAATAAAAAGAGGTACTCCTGGTAATATTTAATGTACAGTTTTAAGAGCAATGGCTGCATAATCTCAACAATTATAGTCTAAGGCATGAGAGTGCAAAATTAAGTGTAAACTATTTACATAACTTTGGTAGGTAGCAATTCTGAGCAGTAGTGTAGTTTTGAATGTTTCATTCAATAATGGGCAACCTAATTGTATCTTGCCATTGGACTAGTTCTTTTTAATCTATTCAGTAGAGTTTATACCTGCTAATAATGGCTTTTATGCTATGGCATGATCTCAGCACAAGAAAAGTTATTCTGGAGCAGTGGTTAGAACACAGACAGCTCTAGGACAACTCGCCACAGCCAATTTTCCATGGCCAACTCACTATGGGATAAGAGTTACACCAATATCGGAAATGATGGAACTGAATCATTAAAGACAGGGCGCAAAAGGAGGGATGAAATAAATGACAAAAATTAAAATAATGTTTTAATTAATTTAAATAATTAAATTGAATGATTGTCCCATGATGAGTTGGCCGTGGCAAATTGTCCCATTCCGTTGCAGGCTAACTCTGCCCACAGTCTGCAGTTCGATCCTCATGGGCTAGAGGTTTACTCAGCCTTCTATTTTTGTGAGGTCGGTAAAATGATGACCCAGATTGTTGGGAGCAATCTGTTGACACTGTAAACTGCCCATAAAGCACCATGGGATGGTATATATTGCTACTGCAAGAACTATGACTATTGCAAGAAGCTAGCAGTAGTGCTACTTTTGGAATTCATTCAAGCATTGGGGTTTTCTGCTTTAATTTCAAGCAGTATAGGGGAATTTAAAAGGACATTTCCACCCAGCCTCATATAAGAAAAATAAAGTCTATTTGCAAATTCAGGGGATTTAAAATTTCAGGTTTTCTTGGGTGGATTTGATTTTTAGGTAGGTTTCAATCATTTCAGGCATGGCTATAAAACAGAAGTTTTCAATGCTATTGACTACAGCATCCTCCTAGACAGGTTTCTTGAGCTGGGATGTAGTAGCACTCCATGGTAGTCTACTCCTACTTGAATGTCCAACTAGTGCTGGGGAATTGCCATTCTGCCTCATCACAATTGGGCTGGATGAAAGTCAATAAACTGAGACTCAATCCAGACAAGATTTGTTGATGGAGATTCTGTCCAGCTGGGTGGTGCCCTGCCTGGCCTCGAGAGATGCACATTCACCCTAAAGGAGCACATTTGAAGTTTGGAGGTGATTTTTGATCTATCATTGTCAGAAGCCCAAGTGGCCTCACTTGAACAGAGTGCCTTTCAACAGCTTTCGCTGATTTATCAACTGTGGCCTTTTCCAAACAGCCTCACAGTGCTCTGGTAATTTTGATTGGATTATTGCAATGCACTGTATGTGGAGCTACTTTCAAAAACAGTCTGGAATCTTCAGTTGGTTCAACATTAGAGTGACTAGACTACTCGATTGGCTGATATGACTATATTATGCCAATATTTCATCATCTACACTGACTCTCAGTATATTTCTGGATCCAATGCTAAATACTGGATTTGACCTTTAAAGATTTCAAGGCTTAGGATCTGATTATCTGAAGGAGCACTTTCTCTAGTATGTACCTAAATTGGACCTTTAAGATTTTCTAAGGCCCTCCAGATCCCCCACCAAAAGAGGAAGGATCGGTTTCTACAAGGGAGGGCAATTTCTGAGGCTATTTCCCAAGGTAGACTCAACTGGCATTCACGTTATTTTAGTGCCAAGTGAAGATCATTTTATTTTCACAGGCTTTTAAAACATATTTTAATTATATTTTAACATATATTAATTCACATTGTTTTAGAGTGTTATGACCCCCTTACTGCCTCCTGGATTATATGGTGCATTTATGTAGTATTTGATTTCATTGGATATGTAGTAACTCAAACTGTATTCTTTCTCTTTTTTTTTTTGGTGTAAAATGCTCCGAGAGTTTTGACTATTAGGCATTTTAAAAATTTAAATAAATAAACAAACTACATATATACTGAATTAGTATACCGCTTACTCTTTACAGCAGACTTGCTTCTAGAGCTTTCCCTCCACATCCTTTTCCAGTTTAGTGCTAGTTACATACATCCAAATATCTTCCCAAGCCATAAGTTACATCCAGATTTACAAGGAGAAGAATAATCAGAGGGAGAGCCAGCCCAAGATTTCTTGGTCTTATGGTTAGATCCCCTATTGACTACTGGCAACTCTTGGAGTTACATATAAAAACAACAAATATGCATTACCTTAACCAAGTGAGGTCTGACTAGTGTAACAACTGATGTATATCTTTCCAACACAGGAGGAAATCCTACTTCTAATTTAGCTTTGCAGTATCCTGAACGTTTGGATAATACGTCTGATTTTTTGCACCAAGGAACAAAGTTCTTGTATTCGCTTACAACAGCTACCACATCATACATTTCTTGCATAGAATACCTAGTAAATAATGCAAAATGGAAAATACAATTATTAGAGATATGTAGTTAAAATATATTTTATTTCTCCCCTTTACTGTTTCAATCATTCTACAAACAAATATGGAATTTTAGCTAGCTTTCTCACACAAGGTTGTACTTCAAGGACACAATCCTGCCTGTCATTCCAGTATTTAATTACTCTGAAACTGTTCAAACTTTTCCTCTGCACAAGTCTTAGTTCCAATGGATTTAGCAGAAGGCAATGTAATGCTGTGTATACAATACTGGCCTTTAAAAGAATCCTTAGTTTAATCATACCTCCTCTCAGCTTTGACTATTTCCTTATAACACAAGGATATTAAGGATTATTTAGAGTATTTTAATTCCAAAAATTAAACATATTGGATGGAAAGTAGAAAATAGAAGCTAGTAGTCAAAACTTTTGCAAACTGTGTTTGACTTTCCTTAAAAAGGGTATAAAAACTCTTAATAAAACGATACAATAGTTAAAAAGTAGAACTTCTGTTGATTAAAGGGAATTGCAAACATTTGGGGCCATAATTTTAACTCATTATTATACATGGTCTTTGTTTTTATTCCCCAGAGCGATTAAAGAACTTTAAACCAATCTTCAGAGCGCATTAAAAATGAATTTGAGAGTTAAAGTAGGTAGTAAATAAGCATTAACTTTTAAAACTATACAGTTCGTTTCTTTCATAAGCCAGGATGAGACTCTCAGGCAACATATTGAAAGGAGTTGTGGACTGCACCCTAACCTGCTACCAGAAGAGTGCATCAAAAGTAGAGGTAGTCTGTGAGCTAAGACCATAATAGAACCTGCCCATCATATTCGTAACTTGTGATGTTCGTAAAGCAGGTTGGTCATGTGACTGAACTGAGTTTATGATTTTTTTGGGAGTGCTCATTAAATGAATCAAAGCTTTAACTCTGCTTTTTGGCAAAACTTGTAAAACACAGTTATGTGACTATGGGATACTTAAAAAGTTGTAAATCTAGCCCAGTTGCCAAATGCCTGAAGTGTAGTCGTGTCGCTGTGGGGCAGAACTGTCAGAATTTCAAATCAGGTTTTAAATACCTCCCAGGTAGGCCCATTGGAACTATTAAGTTACTGTCCTGCTACCCTAATGCAATACAGATATACGTATGTTCACATACATATCTGAAGGAAGCATAGTATGTTCTCCAACATCATATGACGGGGCTTCTTCAACGATGTTGACAAACCTACCCAAGATATATTGTTAACTGTATGGGATAATACACTATACTACACTGTATATACTGCCATACTATATCATTATCTCAAGAAAAGGACAATATATCTCATTCATAAATAACAATGATCTCAAACTAGAATTACATTGTAAGCAAGGAACTATAAATCTTGTATTTGCTTCCACAAATGTAGAGCTGCCCTAAAAATTATATCCTGTGAACTTTAATCCTGTTTATATATAGTCGGACTGTAAACTGCTCAGAGTGGATTAACAACAGCATATAACTTTTTAAAAAACAAATAACATTTAAGGGTTGCTTAAATGATTTCAAATTAAAGTGTGAAATTCAAGAACGAAATAGATAAGCATCAATTTTAACTATATAAACAATGTGAGCAAAGGCAATTGAAAATGAGAGAGACTGTTTTCATCAATGCAATCCATTAATATCTACTTCTGTGTAACTGTACAATGTATTTTCCTTATACAAACCCTATAATTCTTCTTTCTGAATATTCTTTCCTTTTGTTCCCGAATGGTGCAGTAAAGCTGAAGTAAGTCCTTCTTGGAAAGGCACAATTTTTTGCTGGTATTTGTGGTAGTGGTGCTTTGCTCACCAATATTTCCCAAGAAGTCAAATGCCTGGAATGATTTAAATATTTTCATCAGAACAAGCATCTGGTTAACACAATAAAGATGAGCCAACAAAATGAGAAAACAAATAAAGAGTAACACAAGGACAATCAGACTCAGGATTAGGTTAACTTTTTATGCCTTGGACAAGCTAAATATATCTCAGTCATGAGAGAACCTGGCAACAGTACAATATAAAGGCTGTCCCTCTTAAAAGTTGGCTCTGAATCAATCTGAGGCCACACACTACTCAGTTCATATATTTGAAAAGCAAGTTTCCTGTCAGGATGGCAAGCATCAAATATATTGAGCCTTTCTTCTATAGTTATAAAACATAGCTTAAGCAGAAAGTATTTTTCATAAGATTATTTTTTTCTCTTTTGGAGGGCCTTAGGTTTTCAGTGAGAATATAGGGTATACAGATACAGACTGTTAGAATGATAACTATCTGTTATATTTTTTAAGGCCTTCTTCCTTTCAAATATTCTCTGGCACTTATCAGCATATTCAGCAAGGCATGGGTCTTCTATTATAAATATTTGATTCAGTTAACATTTTCTTCCATAGCCATATACTTCACTGAAAGAAATGCTGCTTGCTTAGATTTAGCTATCTGTATATTCAGAGGTAGCTATGAAGGCATGAACAATTTCTTGCTAATGGTAATCTTATAATAAAATACTATATCCACCCAAAAGTTCAGCTCCCGCAATAGCACTTCTACCAGGAGTTATTGTATGTCTTTAAAACAGGAGTAAGAAACATTTCTCAGCTTGGGTCCTTGCCTTTGTGCCCTGCCTGGAAGGTACAGAAAGTTTTGGTATTACAAAAAACAATACCCAAAAAAATTAGCATTTTTTTTACATTGAAGGAGGATTTTAAAGGTCAAATGGATGCTTTAGTTTAAACCTTACTGAGATACAAAAAATAAAGGACTTTTTAATATTTTTCCATATTCATTCGGGGAAAGCCCTGGCGCTGTAACCAATTCACAAACCATAAATTGCCAAGTGCTATTTTAAAAGTACTCTCCTAGAACTCTTTCATTCAAAAAGAAACTGCAGGAACCCTAGTCTTAAAAGCAAATCTGGATGGACATGGGAAGGGCTGCAAAGAGAAAGGAAAACCAACCTTTTTCACTTCTGCTGACAGACTGGAATCTGATTTGACAAGTTCACTCAGTTATCATATCTCATACCTTACTTCCTCCACAAATTTATTTAGAAGCATTAAAGCAATCTCCTTATTGATTATATTAATCCTAAAATATTTGCAAAAGGTCAAGGGGAGGATGAGATTTAATTCATTTCCCTGATCTCAAGGATTCCAAATTACAAAATAGTCGATATTAAATATACTAGTATTCAAATATGCACTAAAATGATTTAAACAGCTTTTAAAACTAAGAATTTAACATTAAATACTGGATAATTTCCAGTATTTAATCAGAGGTATATCATTTAACATTGCTTCAGAAAAATCACTAACAGCATTCCTAATGTCAACACAAAAATCAAATAATGAAAAGTATACAATTTAAAATGACATTAAAACTATTGTCTTTTACTTTTAACTAATAAGTTCAAACTATCTCTTTAGTATTCCTCTTAATTGCCTACACTGTTGTTTGGAAAATTAAACAAAAATAACACTGACCAGAACATCTGATAAACAAATTTGTCAGGCCAGTTTTCAAAGGAGATAAAGCAATTAATTTAAAAGTGGTTTCATTTTTGCAGTTATTGAAGTTGTGAAACTCTTATTAACTAAATCAAAGGCTAAACTTTTATTTTCAATCACAAAAGTCTTGATCAATCTGAACTGTAACATTAGAATCAAGAAGTCATAAGAGAAGTTAAAAATGGACTTGACCTTCCTCAATTAGCAAATAGTTTTATGTAGGAGATTAAAGGATATATTTCATTGATCAAATGTAAGCATAATTATCTTTGAATTATACCACAAATAAGCATTCCAAAGAATAAAATTTATTTTTCTGCTTCTGAGATTGTGAATTATAATTCATAAATAAAAAGGAGGAAAATTTTGCAGTAGAAAGAGGAATATATTTAGTAGGAAATGTTTACCCTAGCCTTCATTGTATCTCAAGTGTCAGTTTTGGAAAAATGTCATCATATGATGATTATATGACGTTATGTTTGTATCATTTTAGTCTCTGAGGAACAGCTTTACATAATCTACAGATACATTAAAAGTGGCAAGAACCATTTACATTTAATTGAAGATAAGTAATTCTAATGACTGAAAATGTAGGTTATTGTCTAGTTTAAGAGGGTGTATGGGATGTTCAGGAAGAGATAATATCTCTGGTGGAGGGGCCTAAGGTGCCCTGTTTAGGGCTGCTTGTTCACCTTTGATACCCATCTGGGATGGGGACAAGCAATAAACAAGATTTTGCATGCAGCTCACTGCTGTAATCCAAACAAAGAAAATACTAATTATACCCATAAATCTCATTTGTAGACATAAATATGACTCTAGGATAGAAATTTTTAAATACTGCAATTTAAAAGAAAATGTGAGTTTTATACTTTATTCATATTTAATTCAAGCATGTATTATCCCAATTATGATTGTAGCGTTTTTAAACTTTGACTTTCATATATATATATAATATATTAAGTTATGAATTACCGGAAACACAGGAAAAGTGAAGGTCATTACTGTCTTCATGTGTGCCAATGCACACAGCAGTAGTAGATAGAAGAAAAACAATACAAAATTACTGAGACTTAAGTTGCTCAGTAAAAATCAGAAAGTATGCTAGGATCAGATATATAACAACATTCTCAAAATATCAATTATTATATTTTACCATTCTAAATCATAAACCATGAATATCTGAAATATCAGAGTCTTTTAATTTTGGTACAATGCAAAAAAATAAAATTTTGTTCTTCAAGACAACCACTGTGTTTTTCAAACTTTGTGCTGAGATGAGAAATACCTAATGGAGAGATTAATACAAGATTTTATGAACAGATAAGATCTTGAGAAAATTGGAACATCCATGCCTTCATCAATCAAAACACAGGTGATATGAGTAAGAAAATATATTTTTTTTGATAAAATTTACAAATTAGCAAACTTTCCCCTATTTTACCAGAGTAATCTGATATGGAAAGAATTGCTGCTTTACTTTGCTAAGGTATTCTTGTGTGTGATTTTTTTCAAGATAGGTTTGCTAGATAGGTTTTAGGACTTATTCCCCAAAGTATTATGATTAACAAGTATAAGGAAAGCAAGTGAGAAAGTGTGATTAAAACTAATATTTTTTCTTCAATTGTTAAAATTATTAATCATTACCAGGCTCAAAAGAATACTCCAGATTAAATTTGTATACTGAATTACAGATTGCCAGATATTTCAATGCAGGACATTACACAATGTTTTCCTTACCAACTGGCCCACCTAATACATACAACTGACAGAGCAAAGTGAGACTTAGCATATATGTAATAATTTATAGGAGGAAGAGTGAATAAGTATAAGATCTGGAGCAACCATCAGTTCAGTCATATATTGAATTTGTCCAATAGCCTATTAGAATTACGGTATACCATATGTAGCCAGCTAAGAAAAGGCATACAATACTTGTTTCTCCAATAAGAAATGCCCCATTCCCCATGCTATTCATTTAGAGGTGCATGGAGAGTCTAAAACTTATGCCAACTCTCTCTCAATGCTAGTCTGGCTTACAGTTCCTAACTACCGGTACATATTAAATGGAAACAGTAAAACAAAACAAAACAAAAAGGAAATTTAAGCAAGTCAGAGTTACACATATGAGAGAAACTTAAAGATGTAACTTTGGACACTGTTTTCCTAGTAATAAATATCACAAAAATTCAATTTGATGTCATTCTCTTGATGGCTGACTAGCTAACACAGAGTTAAGTACCTGCTCTTAACCAAGGCAGTTATAATGCATACAGCCTTTACTTCTTTCAAATATAACACTTTTCAATATGAATTATTACCTTTGACATAAAGTATGCATTTTCTAATATATTCCTTATCATTTTCAAGTCTGGGATTTGAAGGGTGGATAGTTTTTAAAATATATCTAAAGTTTCAGAAAAATATGAAGGTGTTAAATGGCTCCAAAGAGCAAGAGCTGAAGGACAATATTATGTATTTATTCTGCTTTAGAATACTGTTGATAGCACATGACAATATACAAGTGTAAGTCACCAGATAGCCAGGTACTTCATAGGTACCGTAGCTGGATTGAAAGAAGTAAAAAGAAAAGAACTCTATAAAAAAAGATAGTCACATCATTTAGACCAGCTCAAACTTAGAAGACTTAGGGAAGGGGGAATTTGCTTCTTTTATCAGTGAAATGGTGAACTAAACTTAGCATGCAAATACATTAAAATATATAATGTACTTCCTTTACAACATTTGTGAGACACGTGCATACTAATAACACAATGGACTAAAAATTAGATGACTACCCCATGAGACCATTGATACTTTCTACAATTAATCGTGAAATTAAATATCACAGGGATAAAGGAGATATCCAATCTGTTCTATTACAAAAGTGTTTATTAATGTTAGTACATTTTAGGCTGGAAATCAACAACTATCTGTCATGGCAAACAACCTGAGTCTTTTGTCGCTTCTATTCTACCCACCACCCATTACAATAAAGTTGGCTATTAAATTGATAAAATTAGGTATGGGAGTTAAGCTGGCAATTAACGATGGGGGTGGGTGGGGGTGGGAGAGGGAACGAAAGCCAGCGGGGCATCAAGCCCATCAGGAGCTCCCCAATCGCGGGTCCTGTGGCTTTTCCGAGCCGGTGGACGAAGTGCCAGGAAGGCAACCGCGCCTCGATGGGACTATGGAAGCGGGCAGGAACTCTTTGACAGTGACGGGCGGGGAAGGAAAAAGCGAAGACGACGGGAACCACCCTCGGCGCTCGTGACCAGGGAAAGGAGTCTCGGAAACCGCCAGCGGCGGCAGAGCCGCTTAGCCGCCCACTCGATCTATGGGACGCCCACCAAACTTTCCTGCCCGAGCAGAGAAAAAGTGACGGCTGGGTGGGTGCTTGGAGGGGGGGGGGTGTATCCAGACAACCTGAGCTCCCTCTCGCCGTACCTGAGGGCTACTCTACGCGAAGGCACTGCCAACCTCTCCACGAGAGCCTTGCCGAGAGCCCGACTGCTCCGCGCCATATTCGACTTTCCGCGGCGCCTCCAACCGCCTTCACTGCCCCATCCTATTCTGGCTCCCTCTCCCTCCGCCGCCGCCTCAACGGCCTCCCAATACCTGTCCACACCTCCCTCCCGGATGCAGAGCCAATCGCGGACGAGAGCCGCCTAACGCTAGCCTATCAACGCAGAGTTCTAGCCCAGCGTCAGCCTTCGTATTTCACCGCCTCCTTAGACACTCCTATGGACTACTCCTCCTTACCCTCTTCCTTTCGCCCCCAGCACGTGATTTACCGGACTCGCGCAGGAGATAGAGTTCAGGGCGTCGGGGCCGCGCCCGATCACAAGACTCGTTACCGGGGTTATACGAGGCCCTCGGGTTCGTGAATGTTACAATTGGCATACGATTGGCTCTACGGAATGCCACTCGCTCGCCCTTTTAAGCGACGTAGCTTGAAAAGCTAATAATATTAGAAAGGCATGCAGAGAATGTCCCTGTTATTCTTCCTCCTATTTAAATAATTTCTTGGCAGCAGAAGCACTCTTAAGGAAAAAGCTGCTGGGTTCGACCGTGGCTTCTGCTTTCTTTTTGCACTGAGGAGAACTAAAGACAAGATTTTGTGTCTGCCTCCCCCCCCCCCCACTATTGACAAAACTAGTGGGCTGGGTTAACCAGTAGTTCAGGGTTCAACTATGGAGTCCTTGGTACCCACTCAGCTTGTTTTCTTGTATTAACATCTAACATTTTCAGTTGGTCAGGAAATGGGGGGAGGGACCCATGAAGCTCAACGAGCACCAAGGACTCCACAGTTTTGTCCTTTGACATTAATGAGAATAAGTCCACCACCAAATATAGCTGTAATGTATACACTTCTTCCCTTTTCAGTAGTAAGTGACAAACTGCTCAAGTGTAAAGAAGCCTTTGCTGCAAATAGAGTTGCAAAATGTGTTATTTACACTTCACAAATTTTATATCCGTTAGAGGAATATGAAATTCAGTTGAAGTCGAGTTTCACCAAAACAAGGTATATGGGTTTTTTTTAGAATAGAATGAGATGGAAGGGACTTCAGAGGTCTTCTAGTCCAGCCCCCTGCTGAAGCAGACCTATATACCATTTCAAATAAATGATTGTCTAGACCAGGGGTGTCAAACTGGCGGCCTGCAGGCCAGATGCGTCACGCACAAGCCACACCCACCCCAGTTCCGTGAAGGGGAAAACCATCTTGATAAGTCACGTGATAGCAACGTGATGCCGCGAGTTTGACCCCGTGGTCTAGCTTCTTAAAAACATCCAGTGATGGAGTGCCCACAATTTCTGGAGGCAAGCTGTTCCACTGGTTAATTGTCCTCACTGTTTAGGAAGTTTCTTCTTAATTCCAGGTTGCTTCTCTCTGTCATAGAAGTTTTCAACTACTGGAAACAAACTTAGAATTGATAAGAATTGATAAGAGCCATGCCTTGTGCCGTGAAGTAAGTTGTACCAGTGGTGTCATTCCTCTAGAAGAGGGGCATCAGCCTGTTAACAGAAAAGCCTTCACGTTTTCTGTATGTCTCTGCTGCTTATTCATGGTCTGGAGTTTTGCAGCCAGGATGTGGTGGCATATTCTCCACCCCACACTTGCTCACATCATTTCCACATAATTGTGGGCAACCTAGAAGTTCAAACAGAATCAGGAGAGAGAACTAAGAAAAAAGTGCACTTCCGTACAGTTTTTTTTTTTTTAATTTGATTTATATGCCGCCCTTCTCCGGAGACTCAGGGCGGCTTACAATGCACTAAGCAATAGCCTTCATTCTTTTGTATATTTATACAAAGTCAGCTTATTGCCCCCACAACTGGGTCCTCAATTTACCTACCTTAGAAAGGATGGAAGGCTGAGTCAACCTTGAGCCTTGGCGAGATTGTTGATAACCCCTTGTCTGTAACTTCCCAAACCAGGCATCATTCTGCCCTACACCATGCCATTCAAATCTCTGCACTCTTTTCAAAAGAAAGTCTGTGACTAATTGGTTGCAACTGTCCCTAATTCAAGGATACCTAAAACAAATAAGAAGACATTTGTTAATCACATGAGCTTGTTAATACTGAAAAACATTTCTGCTTAAGCAGGCTCATCTGTTCTATATTTAGCAATACATTTTTCTGTATTTAGCAGCAAGCATTATTGTAATTCGACTCTTCATTTCGCAAAATGGGAAATTTATACAAGCATAAATTAGACTTCCATATGTGGGCTGCAAAAATCCAGATGACTACTACATGGCAACAGAGATATTTTTCTGCCACCTAGTGGTTATCTGGATTTTTACAACCCAGATATAATAGGCCTAATGGGAAAACATACTTGCATGGGATTTTTCCATTGAAGAATCAATCCTTAGCAGAGACAGCAATCTGTTACAACAGGGGTCTCCAACCCTCAAACCACGGCTCACTGGGCTGTGGCTTATTCGGAACCAACCTTCATGAGAATCGGGCCAGTGTGCATAGCTCCACTCGTCTGACCAGCAAACCAGCACACACGCACATGCATGCTGATCCCTGTTTATGCGAGTGAAGTTGCACACACATCGGCCCACCATTCGTGTGGCCTGGTTTCTCTCTCCTGCCCCCCCCCCAGCCAGGCCACCAAGCCACAAAGGTTGGAGACTTCTGTGTTAGAAGATCTAAATATTTTGCATTTTCCTTAGTATCAGAAACGTTACGTTAGTAAATATTATATTAGTTTAGTAAGCCAGAATGTAATTCTGGCTTACCATAATAATATATCATCTATCTATCCTCCCTTTTTACGAGCCTGTAATTCCTTAATTTGGAGTAGAGTTGGGGCAACTGGATGGAGCTGAGTGTTTATTGGCTAGATACCCTTCCTGAAGCCATGCAGAGTTTGCAGCAAATATATTTCTTTGTACCCTAGGAGACAACCTAGAATTGAACTCTCAACCTTCTGAGTGGGAGGAGAGCATCTTCACCACTAGGCCACCACGCCACTCATCCATTCATCCAGTCTGGTCTCCTGCACTTGAGCTTGTGCTACATGCAGCATTACACATTCTTCCTGACCCTTGCCACAAGCCCATGCACTCTCTCCAATTCGCATGACACTTCTTACACACCCATTGCACCCTGCATGATCTGTGCAGTGCCCTTGCATCCCCAACCCACACAGTACCTCATCCTCCATACCTTAGTGATCTGCACTGCACTTCCATCCACCCTCCTTGACCCGTTCAGCATCTTTCATGCACACGATGTGCCCTTCCCTGACCTGCAGCACACTTACAGAAAGATTTGTATTTTAAACACCATTATTTAAAATGTAACTGAGTTGGATACAAATTTAAACTCCGTTATCCAAATTCTGAGAAGTATCAATGAAATTCACATTCTTATGCAGCATGCCTATAAGCTTCCATGATTCCCATTGCTTAAAGTTGACTCAATGAAAAAAAAATGCCAAAATGGCCATGACTGAAATTCCATTTATTGAAATTAGTCTTCTCTAAGCCTACAATCTACTGAATCAGCCTACAATCTACTGAAATTATGATGTTCATGTTTGGAACCAAGGTAAAAGGCAGCATTTCTCATCATATTTTTATCATGACCAACTAATGCTATGGCTTCTTAAACTATGATCCAAAATAATCCCAAGAATGTCTGCTAAAGCCTGTTTGAATGAGTCCAGAATTTCTATGCACTTTATTACTATCAACTCCAAATATCAGAAAGTATCAAAAATCAAACTACTAGGTAATGGCTCAAGCTGTTAATTATTGAACAATGTAAGAAGAAAAATGCCCTCATTAAAATGTAATTAAAACAGAAGGTAAGTTCATACTCCCCTGACACAAACAGCAAATTTTCTAAAGGTAGGTATTTTCTCTTTCATATCTACTTTTATGTTGTAATTTATAATCCAATCTAAGATACCTCTGCTAAGGTACATCTGCTCTTAAGATACACACCCCATTCAAAAAGCATTACATTCCAACTAAGCATGCTCATTAAACCAATACTATTTTTCTACATATAAAAAATTGAATGTGATATATTAAAAATGAGAGCTATAATTCCAAGTGTTTTGCAACTTCTATCCAGAATTAGACGATCTGGACATCTGTGTTTGTCCAGGAATTTGCATATGGATTTTGCCAGATTTTGCTGTTCCAGATTGAGATTGAAAAAATACAAATCTTAAAGGAAACAGCATAAAAAATATTTAAGATTACTAAATGATTTAGGGGTAAAAGGAAACCAGGCCAAACATGGTGACTGGACACTTATCAGACCTGACACTAACCAGAGCATAGAAAAACTCAAATACTGCAAGATCAGAAGATATAGAGAGACCTGGCCCATAGAATATCTAAGAGTAGGACTTGACTGAATGGATAACATCATCATCAAATGATTTAGGATGTTGTATATTTTAGGGCAGTTGAAACCAGATGTATCTGTTTAAAAATTCAAAATCATGCTAAATATTATGTTAATAAAAACATTAATCAACAAGTTCAATTCCTGTGGGAGATGAAAACTAAACTGGCAAGAGGTGGAATGCCTAGAGGAGAGCTAATTTATGAGACTCTGTAGCACGTAATCTTTGTTTCAGATTAATAAAGGCTGTTAATATTCCTTCCTTGTCAGCTCTTCTACCACAGAAAATAGTATGGTGTTGTGGTTAAACTGTTGAATAAGGAGCAGGGACACCAAGGATTTACTCCAACTTCTTGCATGACTTTGGGCCAATCCTTCTTTGTCAGCCCAACTTCAGGATTTTTGTTGTGGGAAAAAATAGAAGCAGCGACTTCTATTTTTAGTTATTAAATAAAAAGCAAACTTTAAAAAAAGGTAAGAGATGGACCAAAAAAAAGTAATTTAGCACTAAATGATCCTTGACTAAAAGTAGCTCTTCTTAACTGTCTGGACCATTTAATGTGTGAAAATGATCAGCAAAGAAGATAGAAAGTTTTTCGTATGCAGTTGTTTGGCTGCAGAGATTTGTAGGAAACTGAAAACATGACATGATTGGTTGGGTTTAAAAAAAACAGCTGTAAATATAAGGAACAGGAATGGGGAAAATATCTTTGGATGATGGAGCAAAAACTAGAAGCTAATATATAAAAGACACACACACACACAATGACAACTGAAAAGAGCCCACTGCGGTTGAAAGAACATAGAGTATGTATATTTCCAATTTGCATTCTAATCTTGTTCAAGAGTCTCAATAATATCCTGTATTTAACAGTCACGTATGTTATTTTTTTAAAAATAAAAAACATATTGCACTTTTATCCATGAATGGATCCGGATCCATAAGCAGACAGAATGAAGTCCATCATTCAAGCTTCGCCTGGATGGTGCAGCTGTTATTCTTAATCTCACACTCATAGAGCAATCGAGGCTCAAAACCTCCTCTCGCGTTTGAACAAATGACAACCGCGTTTAAAATAATTACCTCCGATTCAAACTTCCCCCCACCAAAGTCAGGATCAAGAGCGTCAAATCTCTGGACTGGACTGGACTGGGAAATAAAGTTTGAAAGTCTCACTTAAATAAAAAACAAACTTACTCCTTTTGCCACCTATAAAGATCTCTGTGTTTTTTAACCTATAGGGTACTTACTTTCTCGGGACACACTCGCAACGAGTTGGCTTCCGACAAGCAGGCGAAGGACGTGGTCATTATATAAAGGGCAAAATTCCAAGAGCAGGGACCTCGCCTATCGGTGCATTCGAGCGACTCTGCAAGTTTCACGATCTACCGTTTTACTGGCCTCCCTTCTTCCCCGCCTGCGCAGGAGTTTCCCTCGCAACCCCGCCCACTAGCGGAAGTTGACGTCGTCGCGAGAAGGCGCTCGGCGCCCCCTTCCATCTCGCTTCCCGTTTTTCTTCGAGCTCCACAAAATGGCGAAGATCGCCAAGACCCACGAAGGTAAGAAACGGTCGCGGTCTTTCACGTTTGGGCCGCGCCCCTTCTGGCCGCCTTTCCTCGCCTTCCCTTTCAAACGGTCGCCAAGCCCTCGAGAAGAAAGTGGAGGGTGTGAGGGGAGTCCGGGCGGTGAAGCGGTTGGGTCTCCGTCGGGCCTGGGCCTGCGCGTAATGGCGTCGCGGAGCGATTTTCTCCCGCTTGCGCGCTCCTCTTCGTTCGGCCTCTGTGTCGTCGGTAGCTCAGTGCGGGGAAGGCCCAGAGGGCGGCTAGAGAAGTTGGGTGTGAGCTGGAAAGCCACGGGCGTTAGGATGGGCCCGTCAGATAACCGCCATCTGTTTCTTTCCCACTTCGAGGTAAGCGCGCACTCTTTGGTGTCCGCTCACCGGATTAAAACGGGGAACGTTTTTGTTCGTTAAACGACGAAGACTTTTATTATTTGACAATAATGGTTCGTTATGAAACTTGCGCGACCGGAGGAAAAACGTGCGAGAATAACAAGATTCGGGTCGACATGTGTTTGGGACGTAAGGCCCGTTTTTTCTTTTAATATCGGGCGTCCGACGAAAGGTAGCCTGCTTTTGGGGTAAGGGTGGGCTCTTTGTTTAACGTAGGACGGTTAAAAGGTGCAAACGGGGTTTACCAAAGGAAACCTGCGAGAGACGAGACATGAGAAAGGGACCTCAGAGTATAGGAGGGGTGTGGTTAAGGTTTTGAAGTAGGATGAAGAGACCACTAATAACAGCGGAAGCACTCTTGCGGTAAAGATACCCTTAGGGTTACTACTAGGAGCATGATTTACTCTTAATAAATTAGTAAATTTATTAAGCACACTTTAATAAATTAATGGAGGTTTTTAAAAAGAGACTGGACAGTCACCTGTCTGAAATGGTAGGGTCTCCTGCTTGAGCAGAGGGTTGGACTAGAAGACCTCCAAGGTCCCTTCCAGATCTATTCTGATTGATTGATTATGATTTACCCTTAATAAATGTATTAAGCATACTCTTAATCTACGTCACTGGGTTGTTATTGTTGAAGTCTTGAAGATTAAAAACATAGATCTAGCATATGTGTACTTTGATCCTTCTGCCTTTCGGAAGGATTATAAGCAGAAGACAAAAGGTTATTTGTATCTGTTATGTGAACCTAGCCAGCTTGTAATTTTCGGTATGTAGCATACCATATTATAGGAATATAATTTGTGAGAGTATCTTTGGGCACATATGGTATTCTCCACCTCTTCGGTGGCTTCTATTAAGAGAGGAACACCTTGCAGCTCTTTTTGCATTTTTCCTGCCTGGGTTATTTATTAACTTTTTATTTCAGATTGGCTTGTTCTTTTCAATAGGAAGTTCAAAAGGTATCAATCCAGTTGAGCATCTTAGGTTTTGTTTTGTTTTTTTTAGATGAGGAAATGGATTTTTCACTTTAAACTGCACATGTCATGAATGTTGATTGATGTACATTGAAGAGTGTTATATAATTTCTAGCTTTTCTAAAATCTTTAATTAGAAACAATTATAAAGATATTGGAAAAATTAAATGAAAATTCAGTGTTCCCATTACATACAAAAGGAGCTGTTATTTATGTAATGGGGAAAATGATCCAAAATAATTTAATAATTAATTATAGCAGTCAGTGAATGTACCACATAATGTTTTAAAATTAATACCATATATGTAAAACTGATCAGAATATTTTTCATCAATTTCCCCCCAAAATTGAAGTGGCATGTATTTTGCATGGCATTAAGATTTCTGGAAATGGTACATGAAAACATACATGGAGGGCAGGACCAAAGAGAATTCTAAGCATAGAATCTTCTGTATAAACTAGGAATGGAAAGGGAGCCAAATTTGGAGTAAATGTATTCTTTAATCAGAGATCTGAGAATTTTCCTAATAGTCTAGTGAGTCGTTTTTTTTTAATAGAAAAATTATTTAGCTTGGATATAGGCTGAAAATATTAAGGGAAAGATTAAAATTATATGACCTATCACTAATAAAGCAAAAACGATTGATTTTTAATAAGTTGGTCTATTCATATTGAGAGTTGGATAAAAATAACTGCATTTATTGAAATGCCTGGATATCATAGTTAGATATTCATGTATTACTTGCTAGATACCATGTATTATTTATTTAAGAGACGGTGTATTTGCATGTCACATTAAGCAATAACTTTAAGAGTTCCTGCTTAACTGGGGTTGATCAGAATGGCAGGGTATTTTGCTCAGGTGCTTCCATTTGGCTGTTGCTGAAAGCAGGATAGATTGAAAATCAACCATCCAAAGTGTATTATGATGTCTGAATTCAGACTTCTGATTTGTTCCAGTCTTACGAATCAGAGTTGAAAGTCATGAACAAAGATTCTAGAATGAATTCTAAGAATTAAAATGATGCAAGCACAGCCTTTATTTATAGAAGTGTGTTTCTTAATGTTCTTAGTGTGTTTTTCTCACTTCAGTGCACATGAGTAAAAGTTCTGGCATATAATAACTTCTCTGATATCTTCTTAGAAGACCTTTAAGCTTCTTAAAAATTATCTAACTTTTTTGATAATATGACCCATTATTTTTATTCTAAAAAGTAATGGGTAGCATTTTTACAAAATTGGAATATTGATTAAGCCAGTTGTTTGGTGTGGGGAGAGTTACTTAAATTTGCCAATGTTCAAGATCCCAAGCCCCGTGCAACTGGGTGAGCTCCTGTTACTTGTGCCAACTTCTGCCAACCTAACAGTTTGAAAGTATCCAAATGCAAGTAGATAAATAGGTACTACTTCAGTGGGAAGATAACAGTGTTCCGAGCACCTTGGCATATAATCATGCCAGCCACATGACCGTGGATGTGTCTTTAGACAACATTGGCTCTCTCAGTTAGGAAACAGAATCACGCCTTAGAGTCAGACATGACTGGACAGGGAAACCTTTACCTTTTTTACCTTGCCCTACTGTACTTGTTGAATGGTATGCTGGAGAGTGCCCTTAATTAAAAGTTGGACATATGTGCTCTTTTTCCTTTGTGCATAAGAACAAATTAAAGTTTTTCTCTCTTGAAAAAATGTATTTTTGCATTATGGATGAATATGGATTTGGAATATATTGCAATATGGTTTAAGCAAAACATGATTTGACATATTGAATACATTTGGCTAAAACAGAATGCATTCCCCACATAATGTGAAACTTAAGTTTTCTCTAAAAATGCTTTAATACTTGCTTTTCCTATACATGGAGGGGAGGGCAAGCTGACAATATAAACCATGGTTTATTAATTGTAAGCATTTAACATGCAGAGTAATAGAAGGCAGATTATCTGTGCTCTCCAACTCAAAATCTTAAAAAAGAGGGTAGAAAAATTGGGAAACTTTGGGACCAGTCCCTAATATGTTGGTATTTCCAATCTCTAACAGTGCTAAAAATGCTGCTGTGGGACACCCAAAACCAGTTGTCCCACAGCACCATAACAGAAAAATTGATTCTGCTAGACTCCTTTGACAAAGAACCGCCCCCGCCCCCTTTTATATGATGAATTAATATAGGAGGTTTTTCCTGGCTGTTTTGTGTTTTCAGACAGTTGTGTGATTCAGATTAGAGTGTAGTTATATTCTGTCATTCAAAAATTCATTATGGTTTATGGAATTGCACAAATCAAATTTGACTGGGAATAAAGGTAAACTTCTCAAAATCAGGCAGAAATTTCCCCAGAGCATAAATGTGCATTTGATGCTTTTTTAAGCATATTCATATAATTGTTCTTAACATCAAAATGTGTGTACTAGAACATTCATCAAATTATACATTTAAATTGATCTTACACAGAAATAGTATGTAAGCTCTCAAAATCAATTTTGCCAAGATTCATAAATTAAGAGAAGATAAAAGTTATAGAAAAGGTCAATGTAATCCTTTCGATATGTTGTTTTGAAATGTATATAATGTTAGCTTGTAACTTTTTCACAGACATTGAAGCCCAGATTCGAGAAATTCAAGGCAAAAAAGCTGCGCTTGATGAAGCTCAAGGAGTTGGCCTTGATTCTACAGGGTATTACGATCAAGAGATCTATGGTGGAAGTGATAGCAGGTTTGCTGGATATGTAACTTCAATTGCAGCAACTGAACTTGAAGATGTAAGTGTAACTTATTTAATTATTTATTTTTTAATTATTTAATTAGCAATAGCACAACTGCATTGTTTAAAGACTTCGTGGATTCAGTTGTTTAACAGTTATGCTTAAACAGTTCCATTTACATTTTTAAAGAAATTTTGAATTTTTTAGTACAAAAATATATTCAATAAATATAGTGTTGATCTCTCCTAATCATTTTGATTTATGTAGGATGACGACGACTATTCTTCTACAAGTTTGCTTGGCCAGAAGAAGCCTGGGTATCATGCACCGGTGGCATTACTTAATGACATACCACAATCAACTGAACAGGTGATTTTAGAATATATTAATAATATACAGATGTATTTATTATATATATATAATATGTAGAGTATTGACAACCCCTGTGCCAAGAAGAAAGAACACAACAAGAGTCAATGGGGGTCGGCAGAATACAGTGGCCTCTTTATCAGCTATCCTGTGCAGGGAGTCCAAAAGACCAAAGGTGGAAGGGGTGTAATAGATAGGGGAGGAATTGAAATGGAGGCTGTTTGTGCAGGACAAAACAAATGTGAGGTCTTTGCCCAAGGACTCTGGCTTAATGACCACAGCAGAAACTGCTTCCACTAAGAGGCATGATTACATGATTTCCTGTCCAGCCCATATGAGGTCAATTGGAAATTAGAAATCAAATATACATGTATGCCATGAACGCAATACAACTGCTTCACTTTTATTTTGAAGGTGACTGTTTCAATTTACATATGTGCATGTGTGTCTGCCTATGC